TGTGTTTAAGATATTGTGATCCACGTTGTATGTGAACTATCATATTGAATATAATAGGACTGGGTTGTGATTTTCGGTTCAGCTTTTATTAGGTTCTTTACGTTCTTAGTTTTTTTAGTTCTAGAAACATAGAAACTGTTTGTTTATCTATATAAATTTATTTGTGTCCGGTTCAATTTTTCGAACCAAAAAATTCGACTCGAAATTCAAACCGAAATAAAAATACCCGGAAATCCGACCCGTAATCCGACCCGAATTATTGTTAAAAACGAATATTCTTAAATATTGTTAGTGACTAAAATTAATTATATTTACGATTTTAAATAAATAGCAAATCTTTGTAACAATAAATACCAGATCTTATTAAATATTGATATCTATGTTTCCAAACTTATTTATTTTAAATACTGCTATCTATGTTTCCAAACAAAAGGTTAAAGTACTTCTACTTTAATAAGATAGATGAGAGCTACGCAATAATACAATCAACAACCTCCTTTCTCAGATATCAAACAAAAAAAGGTAATGATACGACAAATCTTTTGCTAGTCTTGATAAAAAAAAATATTTTACATATGTTATATACCACAATTTACCTTCACTTATTTAATTACTGTAGAGCCATTCTTCCATCACCATTTCTTCTTTTTACAACTATGTATTCGCATATGATTTTAGTGGCAGTTCTTCAGGTAAACAACTTCATTCTCTTGAGTTTTGATTTTTATTTGTATTTATTAATAATTTTAAAACTATAGTGATGGTTAGATCTTAAGACTGTTGACGCAATGTAGGACGTCCACTCATCTTTTATTAACCAACACAATATTAGTTTTCCACTTTTACCTCAAAAATTTATAAATCTTCTAGTTATACTTTTAAGTTTACTAAATTTTTAGTTATACTTTTGATTGTTGTGAATTGCGCTAACACAACTTTAATACCAACTTCTTTGAAGTTGATTAAAACTAATCAAAAGAAGAAAATAGACAACTACCGAAAAATATAATAAACAGTAATATAAGAATCACTTTTGAGTTTGTCTTTGAACTTTTTACATGTTAGAAAGGTAGAAGTTAAGTATGAGAGAGCTTTTTCCATAAAGGCATTGCGTGTCCATGCCTGATAACACGCCGATTTGGTTCTCTGCATCACATATCTGCCTCACAAGTCACGAGTTTCAAGTTTTTATTTTCCTTATTGTATAACAGTACATGTCTGTGTCTCATTAATTGACTCCGACATGGATCTAAAGTCTAAACCATCCAAAACAGGGACGTATATACCACATCTAGACTTTGTACACCCACCATTTTTTATAACATGTGTTATAAACCATACTTCGGACTTCGGATGAAACCAACTTCAAATTTTGAGCAGTCATCAAGAGAATTTATAGCAGCTATATTCAAGGTTATGTGATAACGTGTTAGCAACTGTGTAGAGTGGCTCTCCAAATTCCTTTTTTTCTTACGAAAAGACGATCCACACAAGTCTCTTGGAAGGTGGTATTTTCTAGCAAATCGGTTCAAACTACCTCTTTCAAATGTAAGAGCAAGTCCAACGCTATTTATGAAAGTATCTAACTATTAAAAAAACTGAGAAAATTAGAAAAAAAGAGGAGATAATTGGTTTAAGAACTCTTCTATCTACTCTTTTACCACCTGCTATTTACTCCTTTGTTTATAATTGGCTCAGTGCTATTATTTTGACTTTGTAATTCGCTTAATTTGAAAATATGTTTTTTTGTATATATTTGATACTTATAATAGCATACTAGTCGATAAAGTTGCCGTTGTTACTTTTGCAGTTACATTAAATTTAAGAAAGTTGTCACATTTTTTTGGTTCCATTAATATATAATAATGTATATATAAGAAATTCGTTGAGGAAGTTTACATTATAAAATAAAGATGACCGAAGAAACAATAGCATGATCAAAACGTGATCAAATATAATTTGTGGCCCACAGTTCCATAATGGGAAAACGCAAAATAGGACAAAGCCATTGGTTGGTACAATAAGATTTTTTTTTAATAATTCAGTATATCCAAAGCTGAAAACATATGTTATCTGATATTTATATTTATAACAGTGAAAAATAGTGAGGTACATAATAGTCATCTATCATTTTGTTTATGATCAAGTAGTTTAGTAGTTATAAGCTAGATAACTTTAAATAAAAAACACTGGCACGTGTAGCGTGGGAAGACCATGACTACGACCAGAAGAAACTCTAGAATATTGCAAGGCGACATCACTTGAAGAAAAAGTCTTCATATCATACCCGATCCTCTTCCTTTTTTGTCAACACTCTTTGCTCACATGTTCTAAGTCAAACCAAACGTGACCAAATTGTTTTCTCATTTTAAACAAAAACACTGAGATACTTTTCTCACAAAATCTGGTCCTCATACATAAACAAATCCACCAAAAAGGGAAAATAAAAGAAGTAATTATCTAAATATCCACACATGACAACATCACTCTTCACACTTTACCCACTTGTCACGCAACTTCCTCTCCACCTACTATATATATATTTACACTCTTTCATTTCCTCTTCAACAACAATTCTCCTTCTCCAACAGTTTTTAATGGCACTTGAGGCTTTAAGTTCACCGAGACTAGCATCTCCGGTTCCTCCTCTGTTCGAAGACTCTTCAAGATCCCATGGCGTCGAACACTGGACCAAAGGTAAAAGATCCAAACGATCAAGATCCGATTTCCACCAACAAAACCTCACTGAAGAAGAGTATCTCGCTTTCTGCCTCATGCTCCTCGCTCGCGACGGCGACCGTAGCCTTCTTCCTCTTCCTCCGGTGAAGACGGTGGCTGAGAAGCCCTTGGCCAACTACAAGTGCAGCGTCTGCGACAAGTCTTTCTCTTCTTACCAAGCTCTCGGTGGACACAAGTCCAGCCACCGCAAAAACATGTCGCAAACTCAATCCGCCGGAGGAGATGACCAGTCGACGTCTTCGGCGACGACTACATCCGCCGTGACGACCGGAAGTGGGAAGTCTCACGTGTGCTCCATATGTCACAAGTCGTTTCCTTCAGGCCAAGCTCTCGGCGGACACAAGCGGTGTCACTATGAAAGGAATAATAACAACACTAGTGGTAGCGTGTCTAACTCCGAAGGAGCGGGGTCCACCAGCCACGTCAGCAGCAGTCATCGTGGGTTTGACCTTAATATCCCTCCCGTACCGGAGTTCTCGTCTTTCAACGGAGACGACGAAGTGATGAGCCCTATGCCGGCGAAGAAGCCTAAATCAGATTTTTCATGTGCTCTGCTTTGAGTTCTTATAGGGATTTGTTGATTGTGTATACAAGTTTGGGACTTTGATTTATTCAAAATCTTGTTCTTTATTCTCAGTTAAAATCTTTATTATTAGACTCATTCTTTTATCATAATATTTAGACTGATGATACATGTTAGAAATCTTTGAGTTTTTCACTTTGATATGAATAAATCTTACTTCTTGCTACAACTCTGTTTTTAGTTTGACCTTTTTTGTTTGGTGCTTAGGAGTGTGAGTGTTTTGTCAGTCTTACGTTAGAAAAAGTCACGTTTTATTTTTGATTAAATCTTCCAAAATGCGAGAAGGGACCACATGTGGTTGGTAGAAATTGTAGAAGCAAGAATCAAAGACATTGACTTGGATATGCTCAAGAGTTTGGTGGCTGCTCTTGCTCTATCTTTAGCCACCACATTTTACAACAAAAAACCCAGTATAGGTAATAAGCTGAAAGGATAATTCACTAAAGAAGCAACTTGAGCCAAGCAATAACCAAACAAGAGAAGCCCAATTAGCCTAATCATAAACCCAGTCTCTACATTAGAGAGCAATCATCCTAAGCTAAGATAATATCAGAAGTCTCATTTTATGCTGGTAAAATAATCCAGCTTGTTTTTTTTTTGAGGTTCCCCTTGAACAGCCTTTATTCTAATTTGTAATTGTTCACTCATCTCCTACTTCGTTGCATTCTACATTTTAATTAACCGATTAGACACAGTAACAACAAAGAAACTAAAATACATGTACTGTTTTAATAGAAAAACCTCCTTAAACATTCATCATATTGAAATTATGCAGCATGTTTGGGGTATTCTCCTCTGCCCCAGCAACTGCAAAAGATATAAACGTATCCATTAAAACGTTTCTCAAAAGTGCTAACCACACAATAACAACAAAAGCACTTACCTTCTTGAAAGTTCATCATTTTGGGACTCTGCATGTATTTTTGTCGTGCCTTCTTTGGCACATATGCATCCTCTTTTTCAACGGTCCCTCACTGATTTGTCTTAGTAGTTGGAGGTGCAGATGAAGTTTCAGTGACAGAATCTGTAATCTCTCTCATTAAATTTTGAGCATACTCTTTTACTCTCCAAGCTTGTTGATACTTATTTGTAAACCATGTTCCTTTCGAACTTGCTCAATAATCTGTTGGCGTTTAAATCCAGCCTTATTTTCTCCATACTTGCTGCAGATTAAAGATCCAAGAAGTTTCGCACTTGCCTGTTTATGGCTTGCATTTCAATGGGTTGGATCACAAGTATGCGCATGAACATAGTCTTTCACCACAAAAATTATTACCAACTTACAAATTTAGATTGAACAAAACTATTTATATATATGTATTAGTATATTAATATATTTTATAAAATATAAATATAAAATAAAAAAGAATTGATTAATTTCTTTTTATAAATTATTATAAAGTATTGATAATAGATATGAATAAAATTTATACTGTGAACACTATAATCATAAAATACAAGTTTTTAACTGTAAACATTATTAAAAATAATTTAATAAGACAATGAATAAAAATTGAAAGACCTAATAAATAATTGAAATTTTTATTAGATTCTAAAATTATAGTTTTTACAGATTTTTATTAACTTTTTTTTAGTAACTTTCATTAGTGATATTTTAACGGTTTACTAACTTATGTGTTTGAAAAAGTATTTGGTCAACAAGGGTAGATAATAACATTTTCGTGTTTTGATAATTAAATCTAAAAATTAGTGACTTGATAAATTTTTGGCTTAAAGTTGTAAACTGGAAACTGTTTAATCAATTTCTGTCACTCTTTGAGTAATTTCTGCCTTATGGTTTTCTTAAAAAAAAAACAAGAATTAATGAAATGCTGCTGTTTTAAAATGTGCTGGCTTTGGTTGGTTTTTACAGGATAAAATGAAGAACTTGGAGATCAAAGGTGCTGCATCGAGGGAGTTTGTGGGCTCTGCACTTGTGGCAGAAGCGCTGGCAGTCCGTGGCGCACTTCAAGCAGCATCATTGGAGAAGATCTCAAGTTTACAAGTCATGTCGGACTCAAGTGTCCTCATCTCTGCCCTGCGATCAGGGGAGGTTCTGAATGAGATAGCGGGGCTTTTATTTGATATCAGTCACCTCATTCCTCTCTTCACTACCATATCTTTTGTTTTAATTCCACGTTCAGCAAACTTTGTCGCTGACTGTTTAGCGAAGAACGCTCTTGCATCTCTTTGTATGCTTAACATTGTGTAAGCTGGTTTCTAGTAATCTATTAAAACCTACCAAAAAAAAATGAAACGCCGCGCAGTGTTCAACCACAAGACAAAATCTACACGATGTTTCTGATCAGCATCACCGTCTATATAAACACATCCTCAATTTCAATGCCACAAAATCAAATTTCCTTTAAATCCCTCTCTTCGCTTCTGCTCTTGCTAACTGCCACAACGAGCTTCCTCTATGGATTCCTCCCTCTTGAAGCTCCTCGAAGAAGATGACGAGGTTAGGTTTCGAATTTCAAACTCTCGTTTTTCAGTTCCGTATATTCTCTGCGGAAAATCTACGTGGCCGGATCGGATCGTCTTGATCTCGATTTTCGCTGATTGTGTTGTAGGATGAATCTATGCACACGAAGGAAGAAGTCGACGCGTTCGAGGCCTCTCTGTTTCGAGAAATCCAAGGTTCGTCTGAAACCTAATTCGATCGTTTGCTTTAGGTTTCTTGGATGATTTAGATGAACGAGTAATGATGGTTTTAGTGACGGTTAATATTGATTCGATCGCATCACTAGTGATGGTTATAGAGATGAGCGAGTGTCATAGAGATGCATTTAGTTTTGTTAGTCAGGTTAGATGATGATGATGATGGTTAACATTGATTCGATCGCATCAATATAGTGTGCCTCTGGGGCTTTGGAGATGGCCACTTAAGAAACAGATAACCTGTGATCTGTGGAAGCTGTTGAACATGAAATCTTCAACATCACCTGTGACAATTGAATGCGATTTCATGATTTTCACTTTCTGTTCACTTTGGATATTGAATTACTTTGATTAAAACAGACATTCTATTGTTTTTGAAGGAGGAAACCGTTCTGGGAGTCAGCATTTTGCAGCATGGGATAATGGTATTCAAGATGCTAATACCAACAATCTCCATGTCCTTGGGAGCACTCAGATGAAAGAGCAACAACAACAATCTTTTTCAGGGAATCAAGATCGAGGGATAAAGTCAGAAGATGTATCTCATTTACAGCACAACCTGCCTCAGGAACATCTTCAACCAGATCGACTCTGTCAGAAGCCTTCACATGTTCCCCAAGCAAGTAATTTGCACTCTATTAGTACTGAAACAGATAGCCCGCAACTGCAAAACATGAGTGTACAACGGACTCATGGGGTGGAACAGTCTGTTGGTTCTGTAAATCTTTCTCCGACACAACTACAAGTCTGTAAATTGCTTCATATATTGAAACTCCAAGTTGACAAAGATAGATGGAAGCAGCTCGATACAACGTATCATAAATTCAAGGTGAGGTTTTACACCATGGAATCTCTCATTGACACTCTCACTACAGTTCCTTTCATTTAATATTTTTTGCAGAGTAACGAAGTTACCCAGGAAAGTTTCTTACGAAAAGTGAGGACTATTGTAGGTGATCGAATGACCTTATGGGCAGTTAGGAAACTGCAACAGCAGGTATCATCATCTTTTGGCATTTCGTTTTTGTGCCGCTCAGTTATTAATACTTAATATTAGAGCAATTTACTTGAGTTGCAAAGTACAAGCTAGATACTTTTTTTTTCTTTTGGCATTCTGGATCACTGAAATCATATGAATAATATGTTCCAGGGAAATAGGGGGGTCAAGGTACCTGCTGCCCCAAACCATTACAGAGAGTCCTTTACTTCTGCTGGTATAGATTATTCAGCTGATGCCTTTACTTTTGCGATTATAATTGAACTTTCTCAAGTAGATTGTATTTTATGATTTTCATTGGCCCACAAGACCAATCCCTGATACAATCTTTAGCTGAAGACATCAGTGCTAAAAAATCTGACACCCTTGGAGGTCATGCTAACCAACTGCATTCAACAAGTTCGGGCACCTTAAGCAGTTCAGCTACTGTGCACGGGTTACACAGTTCTGAGAGACCCATTTCTGTGAATGGTCCAAGTCTGGTTCATGGTGGCCCTATATTCCCCACCCAAAACAGCTCATCCTTGCCTCTATATCCGGATACTTTCCAAGGATCAGTCACCAAGGACCAGACAATGAGAAATGATCAGACAATGGCCCACGTGAAGCAGAAATTTACTGATCAAAGCTTCGATCAGGTACGGAAGTCCTGTTCTTTGGTGCGGCAAGACGTGTCTAATGTTCCAATGAAACAGAGCAATGGGATCCCAAGTAGGTCAAATGATGACTTAGTGAAGCAGTCTTCTGATATGTTCTTATCAGCATCTACCACCCATGCAAACTTTGCCTCTCCTTCAATGAAAGCACCGCTGGACTCTAGCACAATGGTAACCACACTCTAAGAGAGATACTCAAATGCTATTTGGTTGATATTTCCTTAAGCTCACAGGGTGACCATCTCTCTCTCAAGAGATGTTGCATTTGGTTTTCGTTTTGCTTATATTGCCACCACCTAGGCTTCTGTTTATCCTTGTTATACAGATTTGAACTTGGCTTGTGAAGAGTTAATTTTTTTTGTGAAATCTATTTTGTTTACTCATCAGGTTAATTTCTCTGCTCCAACTGCGACCATTCCCCCAGGAACTATTTTTAGAACGACACAAGGTCAGAAAAAAACTCTGGAGGCACAAGGTTCTTCGCTACCACCATTGAGGTAATAGAACTGGCTGGTTTGTGAAAGAAAAACTATTTACAAATGTCCAGAAGTTATTCTTCCTTTTTATATATACTTTTCTGTTAACCTCCTTTTCATTCCTTTGCAATATATAAGTATTATCGAAATCTTATAAGCATGGGTAACTTACAGTAAGAGGCAAAAACTATGTGAACCTTCTTTAGCTCGAAGTGATAAAAACTTCAATGATGTTACCGAAATCAGTGGCATCAATCTTATGGTATGTTCTCTGGTAGCTACACTTCTCGATTCGGAAAAGCTGGACACAGAAACGAATAAACCAAAAAAAAATTTCTGCATATGTTTCAGGAAGAGGAAAGAGAATTATTATATTCTCTACCTAAAAAGGACAGTCATGTTTTCAAATCATTTCAAAGAGTTGCGCAAGAAGAGGAAGGAAGAACGATTTTGCAGAAAGTTCCACTGCAGAGAAAGCTGGCAGAAATTAGTTGGGTTTAACCCATCTCTTAGCTGCTTCTTAGATATTTCATTGGAATCACTTGGAGAAAGAAGTTTATATATACTTTCGTATATGACACAGTGGCAAAAAGTGGTATAAAGCATATCAAGAATGATGTTGAGCGGTGCTTGTCTCTGGTGAGATGTCATTGTTTTTTGTGAATTATCACTTTTTCAGCGTACCATTTATCCTTTTCTTTTGTTTTCTCCTCATGGCTTTGCGTATTTTAGTGTGTGGAGGAAAGGATGCGTGCACTGTTGTGCAATATAATCCGGATGTCAAAGCAGGTTAGTCTACTTTCTTCTCTAGCCTTGTTAAACCTTGCTGTGTCGGCATGTTTGTGAAGGTTAACAGAACTTTTGCAGCGGACTGATCCCGAGAAGGGTAGAAATCAGATTTGTATCACATCTGATATACGGAAACAAATTAACGAAATGAATCAGAATGCGAAGGAGGAACAAGAAAGGAAACATGTTGGAGAAGAAAAGCTTAAGGTTTGTCTTAAGCTCAATATCTATTTTTCTTAGTAAAGTAATAACGTCTTTGTTTCTCTGTTTTCCTTGATGTAGATTGATACTTCAGAAGAAGATAAACGTACAGAGCAAGTGAAGGTATCTTAGAAACTGAGCCACCTAGATAAACCTTTGGACATACTGAGAGAGGTTCTATAATAAATGTCAGGCAAATAAGGAGCAAGCCGAAAAGAGAGCGAAGGCTGCAAATGATGCTGCCCTTGCATCCGTTGGAGGAGATAATGTGTTTTCAAAATGGAAACTTATGGCAGAAGCACGTCAGAAACCTTCTTCAGAGATAGGAAGAAACACCAAAAAACTTTCTGGTGAAACTCTTGTTTCATGATTTTTAAAAATATATATACTGGTTATGTTTCCAGGTTTATGATTCGATTTTTAGTTTTTTTTGTGTGTAGGTGGTAGAAGATTTGGGAGGAACCATGGTTCACCAAAAGTGGTCCGCTCAATCTCTGTGAAGGATGTGATTGCTGTGGTGGAAAAAGAGCCTCAGATGTCCAGATCGACGCTACTGTATCGCTTATACAATAGGATCTGCTCGGATGATCCAACCTAAGATAAGACATAGAAACTATTGAAATCAAAGACAGATTGTCTAACACTTTTGTTTCTTTTTATTCCATTGAAAATGATACCACTACAAACTCCTAAGCATGATCAAGATGCTAAAGTACATCCTTATTCCTTCTTCTTGAGTCTATGATCTAAAGAAACCTGCTTGCTTTTTTCTAGTTTTTGCCTGATCCCTTCATGCTAACTCCATTGTGTCCATATCCACCACCACCACCACCAACACATGAACCGCCACACCCGCCACCAACACATGAACCACCACACCCACCACCACCGCCGCCAATGATGACTCCACCACCAATACCACCTGACCCGTATCCTGGACCGCCTCCGCTGTTGCCTCCATTCCAACCCAAACCACCGCCGGACCCAAACCCACCTCCACCACCGATCACAACACCACCACCACCACCACCTGTCCCGTATCCACCTCCATAGCCTGGGTCACCTCCGCCATATCCACCAGCTGTGAGTTGACCCTTAAATCTTGTTACGTGTCGATTACTCTTTCCCATCTCATTGGACCCTGCTTCGTTTTTCATGAACGCACCTTCTCTTGCAGCCTCAATCATATGGACAATGAGGCATAGATACAAGGAAACAAGAAACCACAACATTACTCTGCCCATGATGGCTACTTACTTAGTGACACAATTGTTTGGGTAGTGTTGGAGAAAGAAAGGGCTTATGATTAAATTAAAGCCACACACACAATCACTATATATAATACGAGGTGATAGTTAGCATGGGCGCGTCTGTAGAGAGTGAGAGGTGTATATATGGTTGCTCACCAAAACGAGTTACAGGTGAAGGGTCGGATTCGCATGATATTTTTTTTGTGTGTTATGTTGCATTTTGCTAAATACTTACTCCGTATTATTCATTTTGCACTCATCCATTCAAACAGAAGTATGTAATCATAGAGAAAGCTAAAAAAATAGATTAGTTTCTTATACTTTATTTAAGCTGTAGATTGGGTCGGACTCATGTAATTTGTAACAAATGAGCTGTTGTTTCTTCCCCTAATTAAGTCGTCAGCAGTTTGAGGCTCGATCTCACTCTCACGTGTGCCTTGTCTCATGTGCTCGTTAATGATACTAACCTGGAGCGAACCATCCGAATGTTAGTGAATGAGATAGATATTTTGATCAACCACACTTCCTTCTACAATAGAGATGACATTATCGAGTGACAGACAATGTAGTTGCTATTACAAAAGATGAATATATTTAGTGGAAGTATTAAACAAATTCTAAACACCGAAACACAGAGAATAAAGAACCGGTTTATTAAGAAGTCGCGTTGGTATTGTATTGGTATTGGATCTGTTTTGATTTATCGAACAAACCAAACGTACTATTTTCCGCACGTGACTGTAATGAGAGGCCGTAATTCAATTTGGTATTCGATGAACGTTCCTCTCTCCGATTCATCGTCATTTCCCCATTTATTCTCTCTCACATTCTTTCTGGGTTTCTCATCTCATATTCGAAGATAACCAGAATTATTTCTTTTCTCCCTCAAAAAAATGACGACGAGCTTAGATCGTTGGGAGAAGGATCCTTTCTTTCCCGCTGCTGAAGAGGTTCAGGAATCTGCTGACAGGTTTCCTTCTAGATCTATGCAAAAAAATCCTAACTGTCATTGTTCGTGACCTAATGTCGATTTTAGATCTGAAATAAACAATGTATGTGTTGTTATCTTTGATTTGATGTGCTTACAGGATGGAATCAGCTTACAGGACATGGATCAAGCGAGGCTCGTCGAACGTATGGGACGACTCTGATCAGCTTCACAGAGACCTCCACGCCGCTCTCGGAACCACCAAATGGCAGGTTTCATTCTCTTCCTCCCCTTCCCTTCTCTTACACTCTGCTCCTCTTTAGGGTAACATTGATTGATCCCTCTTTATCCATTTTGTATTCAGTTAGATGAATTCCAACGAGCTGTTCAATCTAGCTACCACAACCGTCAGAGCGACGAAACTCGAGACAGGCACCGCGAGTTCACTCTCGCTATGGAGACACAAGTTGCCAAAATCGAGAAGTCTCTCAAGGAAGCTGACGGCAAAGGAACTCCGAGATGGATTCGTCTGGACGAAGATGACCGCAACGAGCTCGCACTCTTCTTGACCGGACCCTCTGAATCCGAAAGGAAACAGCTTTCTATAAATGGACATAGAAGGGCGGCTAGTGCTACTACTCCTGTTGATATCGGTTCTTGGAACATTGCTGTTTCCGACGACCAGAAACCTCTCGGTGAGACGCCGTTGGTTCGACCTCCGAGGAAAGTTCCTAGCGTCTCTGGCTTCTTGAACCATATGGAACCGAAAAATTGTGTTAGAAAGTGGAAGGCTTTGGATCGTCTAGGAGATTCTGATGCTGCTGCGTTGTTGCCTATCCAAACGAATCAAGTAAGATTCTCCGAAAGCTAGATCTTTTGCAAATGTTTTTACTTAAGAGGGGTTTTCTTGTTTTTTTTAGCAAGGTGTGAATGGGTGTTTTGAGAGGGACAAGAGCTGTATGGAGTGTGAGGAGGAGTGTTATGATAAGCAGCTTCATGGTTGGTATGGAGCTTTGCAGAGGCAACTTCAGCGGTCTCAGTATCAAATGCGTTATAGCAAATCTGTTCAAGCTACTATTTGGATTCTTCTTTTAGTTTTTCTTATAGGTAATAATATATTTCGCATGCATATTAGAAACCAATGGTTATGTTTTTGAGATGGCCTGTTTTGTCATTGCAGTGGTAGTGGCAGTGCACAGAATGTAGAAGAAGACAGGTACGGAAGAGCATGTTAGAGTTCATTCATCTTCTGTGTAACGGGTTGTTCAACTGGCGAAAGTCTACATTTTTACTGTACAGTAGTAATTCCACTGTTATCGATTGTTTTGTAACATAGAAATGCAGTTTTGGTTCGATTTATTCATTGAGAAAAGTAAGGATCTTGGTTACCACCAAATCGAGTAAGCAAGCATATTCGAGATTGGGAACATTGTGAGAATGGATGTTTTGTAATTCAGAAATGCATCTTTCATTCGATTATGTTCATTTGTATGAGGGACAACTAAAATAAGTACTCTGAGAAAAAGACTGAAGGATATTTTGATTTGAATTAATACTGTGTTCGTAAATTGGTCCAGCAGTTATTTTTGTTTAGGCCCAAAAATATGGGTTGGCCTTGCTAAATGCTGACGCATATGACCAATATTCAACAATGTTATTCTCCTCATACTCCTCACACATACTCAGATACTCTACCAGAATGTTTAAAGGAAACTAAACTCTTTTAACCAAACAGAAGATAGTACATAGGTTCTAAAGGACACTGGTGAAGAAGATCAATAACAAGGGAACACGAGCCAACAACAAGTCTGTCCTAATCAAACCTACAAGAAAATAACCCCCAACATTTTATATAACCTAAAGAAGTTGATAATACTCCCATTCCAAGTTCCCAAATTAGAACAACCACATGAAAAATCCATCACTAGATTTCACCGACTTCAGAATACATCAACAAAACGCAGAGAAGCTGACAACAGAATCCACCACATTGCAGCAGTAATGTTTCTTTCTTATGCTCCTCCCTCTTCCTTCTCCTCTCGTTCTCTGTTCCACTGCTCAATCCTTGCCCTCCTCTCCTCGCTTCCTTCTCTCCCACCACCACCAGGACTCCCTCCTCGTCTAGGAGAGCTCCCATGTCTCCTCCTCGAACCCTCCCTCTCCGACCTCTCACTACTCCTTTTCCCACTACCATGCCTGTAAAACTCTCCATCTCTATCCCTGTGACTAAACTCCCTGTGAGAAGGATCACGCCTGTCATACTCCCTCTTCTTCCTAGGGCTCACACTCCTAGTCCTACTCCTACTCCTGCTCCTACTCCCACTCCCCCTCCGGTAAGACCGCCTAGACCTCCCAAACAGTTTCCTCCTCAACTCCCTCGAAACAAGCTTCACATGCATAAAGTTACAATACCCACCACGGTTACAGTTATTCTCCTCATACTGCCTACACGTCGCTTCCCTAAAATCCGTAACAGGAGAAAAATCCGCAATAATCGGCCTCCCGGAATAAAACCTCCCCTGCAGAGCCTGCAAAGCAGCAGCAGCCTGATCCTCCTCCTTAAACTGAACATAGACATTCCCAATCATATGGTCAGCAAGATTGTCACAAATGTTGAGACTCTCAATCTCCCCAAACTTGCTCAACTCTTCGAACAGATCCTCGAAGAAATCCTCGAAATGCTCTTGGATCTTGCGCGGGTCGAGAGGCTGCCCGTTCGCGTCGACTCCCGGGGTGATCATGTCGGGTCTCTGGTACATGTTGGAGAGGAGGAGGGTTGGGGAGATGGTGGGACGGTTGTGGAGACGTGAGCAACGGTCACCGTGACGGCATGCGCCGATTTTGAAGTAGAAAGGACAGTTTACTCTGTCCTTTTCGGTTCCGAAGATTGAAGCTAAATGCTCAGCCATCGCTAACAAACGCTTAACCCTGTTTTTTTTTACAATAATCAAGAAAATACAAAAGAATAACAAACTAATGAAATATAATGATTATCAAAATATATGTAGAGATCTTCGTCGGCTATTGAGTTCACTATATAAACAAATCAGATCATTAGATACATGAGGAGAGAAATCCAGGAGTAAAATCGTTCGAATGAGCTAAAGAAAGCTACAGAGAGGATCTAAGAAAGAGAGAGAAGAGGAGGCTTACTTACAAAAGTGTTAGAGAGATCTGAGAATTAGACGACGCCGGTGGAAGAGATTTGCCGACGAAGAGCTGGAGTCTCCGTCGGATTGATGATCTTAGGGTTTGCTTTTGTTCGCGAACTTTCTGAAAGAGAGGAAGAGAGGATTGATGATTTTTATAATTAATTGAATTTAAAAAAAAAAAGGAAACTAGAAGAATCGAATTTTTACTTTTTTTTGGTCTAAAATGTTTTACCGCGGTTTTACTTTTTGATTCGCCTTTTCTAGAAATATTTAACCGCACACGTCACTGGCTGGTTTATTCGATTGGTATAACATCCGAAAGTAGTTATTTTTGATTTTCAACAAATATATTAGTTTCAGGATTATGTAAAACACCTGAAAAACTATTGTGCATCTTGATATATAAGTGATTAAGCTATTTTTTTGTTTAGCTACTTCAATACACTGAACTGATCATATGAATTGACTAGTTTGATCAAACTTGTCTGCTTCAAAAATGACAGCGACGATGCACTTCATCAAACCAAATTAATGTACGTACCAATGAGAAGAAGTAAGAAAATATATAATTTGAAGAGACCCAAAAATACAGATTCCAGATATACAATAATATTAAGTCTGCTTGTATTATAATTAATAACATTTGTATTAACCAATAATTCTACATAAATCACTTTGGTGGAGATGGCCAAACATGAGAGGCTTAACTTAGTACCCAAAAAAAGAAACACCTCACTCGGATAACCTTACACTGCCTCTCTCATGAGAAATCCATACAATCTTCCTTTGTTTGCCGAACAGACTAACACTACAAGAGAGATTTACATCTTCAGTCTGCTGAACAATGCCCTCACCAGATGCCACGCTGTCTATAGGATTGCATAGGGTAGCTGTGAAACGGGTAGCCTCTAGCCAAATGGACCGGCGGTTTCATGGATGCAGGTATTGCCCAAACTACCTCTCTTCTTGGAGGTGGCATAGTCCTCCTTCTGTTCACTCCTATCAGCATGTACATCTCCTGGATCACCTCTGTTATCATTGATGAAAAACAATTTTTTTAATTAACTGCTAAGAACTTGTAGCTTTCGTGCAATACCTCAATTATGGATTGTTACAGGCACGATGTATCAAAATAATATGGTCTAATGTGATTGAAGTACTCTTTGATGACTTGCGTACTTTGAATAGATACAATGGATTCTACTTGTTTTTAGAGTGCCTTTATGAAATACCCATCCTTCTATATATCTTCATCAATTTTTTAAAAATTTTGTGCAACATTTTTTTAACGATGGTTAATCAGTTCTAAAACGTAACAAATGTTCTGATAAATTGTTTTATATCTTTCGAAAGTAAAACCTAGAAAATCTTATTCTTAAATTTATTTTATATTTAGCATAAAAATGAAGGTAAGTTTCATAGGTTTTACTTTCCAAGAATTTATAACTATTTATCAGCATATTTGTTACAATTCCTTTTTAGGCTTTTAGCAATTACAAAACAAAAATATGATCATTTGGAAACTTCACAATGCATGTCTTTCTCATTATGATGTACCTTGTACTGTACCATCAGTTTGACCACATCAAATTAATAGTTTAGCAAAGCTCACTAAAAATTCCGATTAGTACTTGAATAAGCTACGGTATAATTTTGCCAAATTTTGATGGATCTTGTTTTTTAAAAGATAGTTAATATGATCATTTATTTGTTAAACTATAGATATTTTATAAGAGGATAGATTTACAAAATTATTGAATAAGGAAATACTGTGAAAAAATTAAAACCTTCGACACGAATACTAATTTATTATCTTAAAATCCAACTAATAATTTATACTTTCTTTTATTTTACACTATTCGTTTGGGATTAAAATTAATCATGATTTTATTTGGACAGATCCCATCAATAGCATTAAAATATTTCTATCACAATATAGTACATAAATAATAAAATAATAAAAGTTTGTACATATCATTAACTAAACAAGTAAAAAGTTTAATTTAATATAGGCCAAAACTTCACCTGTTAAATATAAAAGCTGAAATACTAACCAATGAAACATTTATTTTCTATATAATTTATATACTTATAGAAATTTAAAAAGCTTTGAATTGTTATCATTTAAATTACTTAATTATTTAGTTATATGTTGATAAATATTGTTGGTCTATTTTACTCTCTGCCATCCATCTCTACCATTTTACAATGTTTTCTCCCAAACCATAACCAGGCCACGTGTCACACGAACCTGCGTAGCTAATTCCTTCCTTCCCCACTCTCTCTCTCTCTCTCCCTCTGCAACTTTCCCTCTTTCCAGATCTTCGCGGCGACAGATCCAAATCGGCGACTCACACCCCCCAACACAAGAGATTACCAACTCCGACTTTGAAGCTCGAAATCCTGCGAATTGCTTCTCTTCCAAAATTCTCTCTTCAAATGTTTGATTCAGAGCATGTAACTCTCACCACAATCTGAGAATGGCATCAATCCGGCGAACTCTCTCGCCGCTCTACCACGATCGTAACGGAGCCGCCGCCGCCGCCGCCGCCGCCGCACCATTCTCCTCCCCCTCTCAGAAATCCACCACTAAACACACCTCCTCGCATCTCCTCTCCTTCCTCACATCAACAACCGATCCCAAAACCTCCCGCAGAGGTCCATGGCGTCGTCCGTTATTCCAATTCCTCGCCTTCTTCCTCATCGGCTTCCTCTTAGGCATGACTCCCTACGGTCAAATCGACGACATCAACGCCACAGATCGCTCCTCCTTCGAGATCAAACCTCCCAACAACGCGAAACGAGAAGAGGTAAGCGTAGATGGAGTAAGTTTGGTGGAGATTGAGAAGACGAAGGAGCTTGTGCCGAGGAAGCTTGTGATAGTGGTGACGCCAACGTACAATAGAGCGATGCAGGGGTATTACTTGAACAGGGTAGCGCAGACGCTGAGGCTAGTGGAGCCGCCTGTGTTGTGGATTGTGGTGGAAGGGGGAAATGCGGCGTCGTTTGAGACTTCGGAGGTTTTGAGGAAGACTGGGGTGATGTATAGGCATTTGGTTTGTAAGAGGAATATGACGAGGGTTAAGGATAGAGGTGTTTATCAGAGGAACACTGCTTTGGAACATATTGAGTTGCATAGGCTTGATGGGATTGTTTACTTTGCTGATGATGATAATGTTTATGAGCTTGAGTTGTTTCAGAGGTTGAGAGAGATTAGGTGAGTTTGAAAAGAGTTGATTTTTTTAACTTTGTTTGTGGTTATGGATGGAATTTATTATGATCATCACTTTTGACTGGTAGTTTGTGAGAATTAGAGTTATTGGATCGTTGAGAGATCGTGCTTTAGTTTTAAGGTTGTTAGTCTACCAGAACTCTATTGTCTTCACTTTGTGCTTGTTGCTTGTAGTCTTAGTGATCCTAGACTCCTAGTACTGTTGGTGCTGTGTTTCGACACTCAAATATAAATGCTTTTACTTCTGTATCATGCGCATGTTACTCTGATGTTGGAACTGATGAATAGATGAAGTTTTCTGCACAAAATCTGGAATTTTGCAGCCTTGTTTGTTTGAGAAAATATTTCATTCTTGTTGTTTGAATGGGGTTTATTGAACTTCTCTTATGTCTATGTACATAGTCTTGGTCTCTGAGAATTTCCATTCGTTTTTAGTTAACTGTAGATGCTGCGGCTTTATATTCAAAACCGTGAATTCTTCTGAATTGGTCCCTCTGTTAAAATTTGCAATGCTTATCTATCTCATTTGTGTAGGCGATTTGGAACTTGGCCTGTTGCGATGCTTGCGCCAAGCAAAAACAAGGCCATCCTTGAAGGTCCAGTATGCAATGGAAGTCAAGTAATTGGATGGCACACTAATGAAAAGAGTAAAAGACTACGAAGATTCCATGTTGATATGTCAGGGTTTGCTTTCAACAGCACTATACTCTGGGACCCTAAAAGGTGGAAACGTCCTTTTTCACATCCAACCCGCCAATTAGACACGGTGAAGGAAGGTTTCCAAGTATGACTTTTTCCCCTTTATCTCTGGTGGCCGTCTTTGTAATCTTACTTATACATGACATGATGTGTTTCCAAGCAGGAGACAACATTTATTGAGCAGGTGGTAGCAGATGAAAGCGATATGGAAGGTATTCCACCAGATTGCTCTAGGATACTTAACTGGCATCTTCATTTGGATGCCCTAGATGTCCCTTATCCACAAGGGTGGGTGATGCAGAAAAATCTCGAAGCTGTCCTAACTGTGAGATAGTCCCAAGGTCACAACTTTTGACTGGTAAAGATTTATAGGGTTATCAACTTTTGAAGTCTCAGGTTTTCAGGAACTTATAAGCAAAAAAGGTGAAGTTCAAGAAAGTTTGGTATGTTTTTGAAATTGGTGTATTTAGTATGAGATGGAATTATATTTTTTTTTCCTTTTGGACATATTCCAATACACGGTCTGAGTCCAGACAACAATGAACAAAGTAACGAGTCGTCGTTAACCATCATTGCATAATTGTTCATATCTGTGTCTCAAACGTTTACAAGTATCTTCTCAAGATTTAGATAGCTTCAAACAACGGTGCTTCTAGGCCGGTTTGCCTTGCATCTTACGGTCTCTTCCAAAAAACAATGGTGATTTTATGTTTTTGTTCCATGAAGTGTATTCATTCTACCAGTTTTGTCCCGAAATAATCAACTGATCCAGTTAAAGATTCAATGCGTGTGGTTGTATTGTATAGTGTGGAAGGTGATAAATTTTGAATCACTTGGCAATTTCAAACCCGTAAATTCTAAATAGCAACTCCCCCAAGACCTCTCAAACCATACATACCCGTGGAAGGTGAAAATTAAAAAACGGTTTGATTTTTCGGGTTTGATTTTCCTTTTTTACCCCCAATAAAAAACCGCATAATACAAAACCGGTTTGACTTTTTCGGTTACATTATTCTTTCTGGTCCTGATGCTCTTCCGACAATAAGCTAAAGAGGAATCAGAATAAAAGCATCCAATTCCGATCACGCAAAAAGAAAAACACATTTTAGGGTTGAATACTCACTCCCAAATCATCGACACAGAGAAAAAAAAATGGAAGGATGGGATCCGAGCACGAAGTCGACGTTAACCCGAATCCCTCTCCTGACAACAAAAGCAGGGCCAAGAGACGGCGACGCATGGAAACAGAGGCTTAAAGAAGAGTACAAGTCTCTCATCGCCTACACACAGATGAACAAGTCCAACGACAACGACTGGTTCCGTATTTCCGCATCTAATCCTGAAGGTACTCGTTGGACTGGCAAGTGCTGGTACGTTCACAACCTCCTCAAATACGAGTTTGATCTCCAATTCGATATCCCTATCACTTACCCCGCCACTGCTCCCGAGCTTGAGTTGCCTGAAATCGACGGTAAAACCCAAAAGGTTAGGCCTTTCTAGGTGGGTTTCTGCTCAATTGGATTTGGCCTTTTATTGATATTTTTTTGTGTGTTCTGTGTAGATGTATCGAGGTGGGAAGATTTGCCTGACTGTGCATTTCAAGCCTCTCTGGGCTAAAAACTGGTAACTTTTTTTAATGCTTCTGTCTTCATTGTTGTTGGTTTGGATCAGTTTAGTCTGGTTTGTTGTCTTAAGCTGTTACTTTGATTGGTTTGTTGTCGATGTTATTTCCGTTTGGTCGGGAGAATCTACTATTAACCTGTTTGTGCATGTTGAAATGAGTAGTTATTGTCCTTAAGTTAAGTGCACATCTAAATCTTGTAAAATGTAAATGAATAAGAGGACGTGACTCGTTTTGTTGGCATTGATGAATGGCTTTTTTGTTTTGTTTATGCAGTCCTAGGTTTGGTATAGCACATGCACTTTGTTTGGGGCTAGCTCCATGGCTTGCTGCGGAGATTCCAATTCTTGTGGACTCGGGCATGATTAAGCACAAAGATGACGCAGCTTCGTCTGCTGAATCTTAGTCTATGTAACCTTTTCTATCAGTTTCAGACTTTGAGGTGTTTGTCAGTAATAGCTGAAGTAAGAAATGACTGAGGCGGATGCGTCTACCTTATATAAAGCTTACATAAAACCCAATAAGATTTTAAGCTATTGCAATGTTTTTTTTTCTTGAAATACTTGTACAACTTGAGAATATATGATCCTCGTTCATACTTTGGTAACTGGTTCGTGCAAGGTGTGGATGTTGTTATTACAAACTTGAGGTTCATTGACTGGTTTGAAGTTGCCATGCTAGCATGAACCATGGAAGCATTTAGTGTAGAGACAATATAGTTGCTAACATCCACATTAAATGTATATAACTAAAACCAACTAGCTCTACTTGGTTTCAACCTTACTAATTGACTGTCCTTGGTCACTCTTGTCACTAACATTAGCTAATCCAGAATTAATAATCTTTATCTGCTTCACAATCTCTTTAAGTGCGATCTCATCTTTAAGTATAGAGGTATGCGAGACTCCACCAATCTCCACGGTCTCCAAACTCTCAACTTTATGAATCAACTCCAAAGCTGCCAAGCTCACCAGGTTAACCGTGCCGTCTCCATCTCCGTACTTGATCTCCGGTTGCTCATCGAATCCTCCTTCTCCATAAACCAAAAGCTCTGGAGTTTCAACTCCTTTACCATATATGCAAGTCACAGGCACTCCAGGAGTCACCATATCCTCTGTTAAAGGCAACACTCTTGTCTTGTATGGTACAACTCCTTGAGAGAAGCCAATGTCTGCAAGAAACCTGTCCATCTCATAAGCTGTGTAGCTAACCCGGGGAGTAACCACAAGCGGTTTAGTTCTGTCGTGAAACACTTTGGAATGTGGAAGTAGCCATTGGTTACTCTCGGAACTTCTCTGTTGCGGTCTGACAAGCAAAGGGTTAACAAAAGGAACACCAAGTGTGTTCCCCGAAGCAAACGTTCTCATCTGCTCAACGGTTCCACCCCATGGCGTAGCGAGTGCAACAAAGTGTTTGATGTACTTGCGGCGCCATGTAGGGGAGCTACGGTTGAGGAAATGGAGGGCGAAAAGACCTCCTAGGCTATGGGAGAGGAGTATCACTGGCTTTCCTTTGTTCTCCTTGCTAGTTTTCTCTACCAATTGTTTAAGGTCTTCAAGATATTGCGAGGCTACACGTGTCGAGTGGCCTGGCCCGGCCAGGCCGTACCTAAAATCATATGGAGCTCCAAGGATGGTTTGGTCGTTAACATACCCACATCTTTTCTCTAAAGCTTTGACCAATTGTGACATGTAAGATGTAACATCTCTACAACCAAAACTATTAATGTTATGCCCAAAAAACGCAACACAAGGTAAGCTAGTAACAAGAAATGTTGGAAGGTTACTATTACCGGAGACGAGGGTCGAGGTAGAGAAGAGATTTGGTCGAACCGAAATGAGAAACCCGGGTTTTGACACCAGGAGCATTTTGGTAATCATCTAAATCTGCGTTATAGTACAACATCATACGTTCGTTGAAACATTTGGTGAAGGGAGAGAATAACACTGATGCATCAAACCATAGCCTGAACCATCCATCACTCTTCTTACGGACCGGGTATAACCAGCTGCTACACCAGATGCTGCTTGGTTTGTAGTCTTGGGCCAGTCGTGCCTCTAACTGGTTACCACCGTTCCCTGGAATTAGGATAAGAGGGTGGACGTTGTTACCAGTAGCTTGACACATCAAAGTCATTGTCACCGTTATGAACATCGCTATGTTCTTTTCAGGAGACATATCTCATGGGTCTGAAAGAATCTGGAACTGGAGAAACGCTCCATCGAGTTTGGAAAAGAGTAATTCAAAGAAAGTCAGAGAGCAGAGTGGTGTCCAAGCAAAACGTATGGCTTAAAGATAAGCAGTGTGTTCAAAAGTTATGGTGATACGGAAGCCGCTTTTCCACGTAGAAGCTCTCTAGATATTTCTTTCCCAAACTATTTTTTATTTGCTATATGTTATGACGTCCATCTGACAACAGCTGGGCCTTTTTGGACCTCTTTGCTGCTCTATGTAGAGAGTACAGAGATTTCTTTTGAAGTAAAACCATGTAGCATACACCAAGGAACCTGCGTGCTTGGCTCAAAAGATGTTCACCGTTTTTATTTGCCAAGTCAAAAGCAGCTTAATTATTAGCAAAAGTGATAACAGTCCCCTGAGTGTTTTGGACCTTCAGAGCACAGCTTTACTCCAAATAATAACCAAAAAGTGTGTGATATCTGTCTTTATTAATGTAAATTTTTTGTATAGATGGGAAACAATCGAATGATCCAGGCATGAAAAATGGCAATTTCTTAGCCTGAGCCAGTTATGATAAGTTGAAAACAACATAGTGGATCAAATTTTTTAAAATATAACATTTTTTTTTTTGGATATTCAATAAACTCCATTACTTCCTTGAGGTTTTTTCATTGTTAAGCAGCATCGGAGGTAACAAGAATAAACAGAGGCGTCTCTCCAAGTTTGTCCCTTCCCTTCAGCTCTGGTAACTCAATCACGCATGCACACTCCACTATCTTCACTCCTACTCTCTCTGCAAAACCCATAGGCGGTCGAGAAAGAGAGTCAAACTTTAAGGTGTGGAACATTTTTGTTATCAAAAGAATTGAATAGAGAAAGGTTTTGCACTTTACCAAGAAGTCGGATTGCAGCAGAGAGAGTCCCACCCGTGGCAATGAGGTCATCTATGATGATAGCACGCTCACCTGGCTCTACTGCACCTACATGCATCTCAATCTTATCTGTTCCATACTCCAATGAATACTCCTCCGAGAACACCTTCCCTGTTAATAAACAAACCATATATCATTATTGAATCTTAGGTATTCACTTCCAAATGACTCATCAACAAACACCTCTCTCGTAATTGGTCAAGATAAACACTTTACTCCATCAATATGTAGCAACAAAACCACAACCCCTTAGGCTATTGTGGGTTACCTAAAAGAAATATAGACTAGCAAGTGGCAAAGGAGTAGCATCATGAATAATCAAAGGCACCTTTCTCAAGTCCGAGAAAACAATAATAATTGTAAACTTAAAGAGCAACTTAAAGATAACAAACAACTCCTTAGACCCCATGTTATCGACCATATTAGGAGACACTAGTAGACTAGAGGAAAGAAAAGAGATTACCAGGCAACTTTTTGGGCTTCCTCATGGGAACAAATTTGGCACCAATAGCCAACGCAATAGGAGGTCCAAAAATGAAACCTCTAGCTTCAACACCTGCCCATTTCAATCAACCACAACCATTAATATAGACACCATTTAGTCATCGACCAAAACCAAAATCATCCGCCACATACCAAAAGAAAAGAAAAACTTTCCACTTAAAGAGTATGAAAGAGTTTATAGTTACCTGCAACAACAGAGATGCCTTTGCCTTTGTATCTTTCAACAAAAATGTCAATGGTATCCTTAAAGGCCTCAGTGTCCAAAAGAAGCGTCGTTATGTCCTGAAACATGATCCCTGTTCAAATATCCAATTATAAAAAAAAAAAAATCGAAACACAGATCAATGGTGTTAAACAAGTGGAAAGAGATGACGTTATTCATCACTAAAAAGAAAAAGTTGAAAGGGAGACCTGGTTTAGGGAAGTCGGGGATGACTCTAATGGAAGAAGCTATCTTAGGGAGTCTCGGATCTTGCCCATCTTCTTTACTTGTCATGTTTTCACTCTCCTGACTCACTGCTGGCTGCTGCTTGTAACACACAAAGAGAATCGTCTGAGAAGAAGGAAAGGCCTCGTCAGATGTTAACTAAACACACAGAGAGACCTAGAGACCCAATGAGAGAGAATCATTGTGATGAGAAAATGACCATTCTATCCAAATTATTTTCAGACTCTTACGTAATAGCCCCCAACTACCCACCAAGGTCCAAAAATATCTTTTAGTCTATTCTAGACCACAAGAGACGAGGCTGAGAGAACGGTGGTTCGGGAGGAGAACGGTGGCGAGGGAAATGAGGAGAAGGAGCAAAACAGAGACGATGAGACACTAAAAGGAGAAATTATTGATTTTGCTTACTATTCTTTTGGACTGATTGACAATCTTAAAAAGGGAATGTAATAACTATGTAGTTGACAAAGGGAGCCGTGATCATCGCTTTTCAACTCTAAAAGCACACCTTAACTTTTAGTCCTCGGTGGCTTGCGTTTTCTTATTCTTTTCACATATTACATCCACATCCTAAAAATCATTTTTTCACTTGGAATCACACATTCAATCATTTCTGTTTTTCTCTTCTACACCAAGCTTATGCTCAATCTAGTCTAGAATTATTACATAAACAACTCATTAACATCATTCACCATTCGAACCTACTTTCTAAATTTTTAGCTTCAGAAACGCTCTTGTTACAAGTATGGCTACCTAAACCTATTATTAAATCACCATTGAGTTTTGTAAGTTAGTTTAAGCTCGTGAACGATGTAGAATAGCTACATATGCAATATAATGGGCCTGTGGAGTTTAGCAAGGCCCAATTCACATTATTTAACCAAACCATAATCGTATATGACAAGCAAAAAAAATCTAGTTAACTGTGACTTGAAGCTATTTCATTTTCCATCGTCTTCTCCGTTTCATTTTCAAATTAGCTTCTTCTTACCTTTCTCAATTAAAAAAAAAAACCTAAAACCTAATCTGGAAGTAAACTCGTCAACCACTCCCCTCATGACCTCTCAACAATCCTCTTCCCTTAAATCCCTTCTCTTCCTCCAACCCCACACACCACACATCTCCCTCCACTATGACAAACCGCTCCTCCCTCTCCACTCTTCTCCTCTTCCTCTTCTTCACCTCTTCTTCCTCTCAACACAACCTCCAAACAGAGCGAATCTCAGGTAGTGCTGGTGATGTATTGGAAGATAATCCAGTAGGAAAGCTTAAAGTCTACGTATACGAGCTCCCAAGCAAGTACAACAAGAAGTTACTTCAAAAGGATCCTCGTTGTCTTACTCACATGTTCGCTGCTGAGATTTTCATGCACAGGTTCCTCTTGTCTAGTCCTGTCCGAACGCTTAACCCCGACGAAGCTGATTGGTTCTACGCGCCTATCTACCCTACTTGCGATCTCACTCCTACCGGCTTGCCTTTGCCTTTTAAGTCCCCGCGTATGATGAGAAGTGCTATACAGTTAATTTCATCGAATTGGCCGTATTGGAATAAGACTGAAGGTGCTGATCACTTCTTTGTTGTGCCTCATGACTTTGGAGCTTGCTTCCATTACCAGGTAGATATACTCTGCACTCGTGATCTCAATTTTATGTAATTAATTTAATACCTTAAATATAGATTTAATAATAATAACATTAGTTCACAATTCAATGTTCTAAAAATTGGTAATAAGAAGATTATTGTTTAGGCGGGAGTCTAGTCCAATTTTCTGAATGTCTAGACCAAAAATTGTTTTGTTCATATCCGATTTGCTGACTAGGCGATGTCTAGACTAGACGGATTTTTAGAACACTAGTTCACGTATCCAATTTGCTGACTAGGCGCTGTGTAGACCGATTTTTAGAAAACTAGTTCACATGGAGACTGAGCACCTGCTTATGAATTTATTGCATAAGTTTGTAGAATAGTGAGTGGAGATTGAAAGATTTGATTTTGACATTAAATTAGGAGGAAAAGGCGATTGAAAGAGGGATACTTCCATTGCTCCAGCGTGCTACTTTGGTTCAGACATTTGGTCAGAGGAACCATGTGTGTTTGGAACCAGGCTCGATTACTATTCCTCCTTTTGCACCACCACAGAAGATGCAGGCCCATCTAATTCCTCCAGACGTTCCACGCTCTATCTTTGTTTACTTCCGTGGTTTGTTTTATGATGTTAACAACGACCCAGAAGGTGGCTATTATGCAAGGTACCAATATCTTGTGGACTTGTGGACTCTGCTAGTTACCAAGTTTTTAGATTTGTTTTTGAAGTTTTCTGAATTTTAATTTCTCTCCTTTGTATAGAGGCGCAAGAGCAGCGGTGTGGGAGAATTTCAAGAACAACCCTCTATTCGACATCTCAACAGACCACCCAACAACATACTACGAAGACATGCAAAGATCAATCTTCTGTCTATGTCCTCTAGGATGGGCTCCATGGAGTCCGAGGCTAGTTGAAGCGGTTGTGTTTGGGTGCATTCCAGTTATCATAGCGGACGACATTGTTCTGCCTTTCGCAGACGCCATCCCTTGGGAAGAGATAGGAGTCTTTGTTGCGGAGAAAGATGTGCCTGAACTAGACACGATCTTAACCTCAATACCAACGGAAGTTATTTTAAGGAAACAGAGACTCCTAGCGAATCCTTCGATGAAACAAGCCATGCTTTTCCCTCAACCGGCGCAACCAGGGGATGCGTTTCATCAGATACTTAATGGGTTAGCTAGGAAGCTACCACATGACGGAAGTGTATACTTGAGGGAAGGTGAGAAGGTGCTGAACTGGACCGCTGGTCCTGTTGGTGATCTTAAGCCTTGGTGAAATTCAGAGAGCTTTGTTTTTGTTGTATTGTTTTGGGTTTTCACCTGAGAGTTATTTTTTTGAGATGAAGAGCATATGTTTGTCGTTGTTTTTCAGCACTTAAAAAACAGAGTAGCACTTACTTCTCTGGTGGATTATTTTTGTAGATATGTGGGATCGAGATGAATGTATTACTTCTCTTTGGTCTATCATACCTCTCACTCTTTTTTTTTTTTTGTCTTCACAATTTCACGTTGTTAACTAATTGTAACGCCTGTCTCTTGCTTCCATGAGTCAGCATGTTAGTTAAACTAACTTACTCAACACACGATTAGTCTCCAAAATCCTTGATCACTAAGAATGGACTTAAAGATTAAAGGTAGTAGGCACTGTTGGTGTTCAAAAATTGCTCTGTATGTGACAACTTAGTCACATAAACTGTGTGTGAGATATATTTATGGATTTATCTAACATGTACTTAGCAAAATTGATATGGTCTGCAAGTTTAAATAGGCTGAATATATTCTAATAAATGGGCTGATAGACGGAAAAAGCCCAAACTAATCTAAGACCATTCGTTTTGCTTCTGTCTGGAGATTGAGCTAGAGAGAGAGAGAGGCGTCGAGGAATGGGTGCGTTTTGGGGAACAAGGGTGATGGAGATAGTGAAGAAGCATGATTCGGGTGGGCTGATTTGGAAGAGAATCAAGCTTACCTCTACTCGTAAAGCCAATGCCAAAACCCGCCTCCGTCGCGTTTGGCAGGTAACTCTCTCTCCTTCTCCATCTTTTTTTTTATAGGGTTTATGGGGTTTGACCGACTTCCACCTCCGTCTTTTTCCTGATTTGCTCGTTTTTATTTTATAACAGTCTCCAGTTTTCTAGGACAAGGATGGATTAGGACGGTGTTCTTTGGTTTTTCTTGTTGAAAATGTTCATGAGATGAGTTTCATTGCAAACTTGTTATAGGTTTTGTTTAGTTTGTATGATTTTGTTTCCTCAGCTATTGATTAGCTGTAATTACTTTGTGTTAAAGCCATCTGTGTAGGCTTGTAATCATTTATGCTACTCAAGACAGAGTTTATCAGCTCTACTGATGTTATAGTTAACTAGACAACCAAACATTAACATACTTGGAGGTCATTTGTTCCTTTTTTAGTGTTTTGATTCATCATGCAAAGCTCTCAATATACCTGTTGTTGATTTCTTGAATAATTGTCCATGAATTTTACTTAAATAATGAGGCCTCTACTCTCTTATATATCTTTTTCAACACTAGTATCTTTAATAGTTTTTGAGAGTCACTTGCAGAATGAAGCTGTTCTAAAGGCGTGTGGTGCATCAGATGCATCCGGAGTTAGCAAGACAGAAAGCTGTACCAGTGCGGTTAAAAATGAGTAAGGCGGAAGATAAAGCGTAGTAAATCTATAATGGTAGATTAAGTCTTATGTCTTTTGACCTGCTGTAACAAAAATAATGTTTGAACATTGTGTTGTTGGGTTATTGCTATTTACATGTTGAATCTGCCACTAGTTTCAACAAGAAGTTTTTTCTTTAAGAGTGATGATGCATTCTTTTGTCATTAGCCTTGTTCGTTTAGTCAACGCCGCGATCACACTAGCGTCTGATATTTAAAGGGAGAATTAGAGAAGAGTTCCATGTTTAGTAGACGCAGCGATCAACACTTCCATATTTTTCAGTTGCAGAGAAGAGAGAGAAAAGATAAACAGTGACGCTAGTTATTTCCGCGTCACAAACATCACATGATTTCATCGATTACTGTGACGCGCGTTCTTTGTTTTTCTTCACCAACGACCAGTGCAGAAGAAAATTATAAACAAATTTCAGACGCTAGTGTTAATAGTGGCGTTTGATAAACGAACAGGGCTATTGTCATTTCGAAGTTTTTCTTGTCAGCTACTCAGATACTTGGTCTTTGCAGCAAACACCAACGAGGATTAAACCAACTTGGTTAATCCTCAACCTCGTTATTGTTTATCTATGATGAATTAAACATAGCCTGGGCAAGTCAGTGGTTTCGTAGTCACTAGCCATTGCATTCTTATGGGCGAGATTCAACTGTTATAACGTGGATCATGTCACAAGGATAAAATTGACCAAGGGTTTTCGTGGATAATTAATCATTTTCAATGTTTTCAAACAGAGGCATGTTTCAAAATCAAATTTACGATTTTGTATAATTTTGCAATCCAAGTCACGCCAATGGGATCCAAAACGGAATCATCATTATGTTTTCTACTAAATAGGATTCGAAGCCTTACAGAAATAAAAGTGAACAAAATGTATCACACAACGTGACCACACGATAAATTCAAGTCTCTAGGCTCAAGACGAGGCTCCTTTCTTTGACTTGGCAGCCAATTGTGACTCCGGCTGCAATTTATTAAAACCAATAATGATAAGAGAAAAGCAGAACAATGGTAATGAAAAACAGCAAGGATTACAAATGGGGGCATTGATAAGTTACCTCTTTCTTCACAGGCTCTTCCTTCTCTGACAATATCAACTCAATGTGGCATGGGTTTGACATGTACGCTGGAAATTAAAAAGAGTAAGCACAATGCGAAGAAACAAAAGTTAAAAATAAAAAGGAGTTTCGAAGAGAGTATTACGATTGATTCTTCCATGAGCTCGGTATGTCCTCCGCCTCTGCTTTGCCGCTTGGTTCACTTGGATGTGAGAAATGAAAAGGGCATCAACATCCAAACCTTTAACCTGATCAATCAATAATCCAACGGTTTTAAGTAAAACTGAAGCCAAAATCAATAAAAAGGTCAACATTAAGAAGGCAAAAGTCACCTCAGCGTTGCTCTCAGCATTCTTGAGAAGATCAAGAACAAACTGAGCAGACTTGGCAGGCCAACGACCTTGACCGTTTGAATGCCTGTTCTTTGCCTGAGCAGTACGTCCAACACCACGGCAGAAACGTGTGAAGGGGATAGCTTGCTTGTGAGCTATCACATCTTCCAAGTACCTTTTTGCCTTGATCAATGGTAGCTTCCTTATGGCATGCGCTGTTTCCCTTGTGTTCTGAAATTTACAACAATTAAAAAAAACACTATTAGAAAACAACGTTCGTTTCCTTTAGCATTATTAGGATAATGTACAAGACGTTGAAAGATGTTTAACCTTTAGAAAATGTGATATTTACATTCATCTTAAGAAAGTGATATAACTCACTATTTCTACAATCATTTAAACGGTTGCTATTATTAATAGATATCCTAATTTAATACAATAAAGGATCAAAAGCTAAAATGTACCATCATGAACTGAACCCATCAGATATAATAAGAAACGTAGGTTCACCCAAACACGATGACCAATTCGATTTTCCTGACATTTACGTGAACTCTGTTACGTGTACAAAACAGAGCCCTGCTTTTTGCTAATCAGGTTCTGTCCTAATCCTAATTAAAATACTCTTAATCAAATTCATTTCCCTGATTAGTTACCTTGAAGTGGACCCTGAGATCTGCTCCCCTCGCCTTGCAAGCTACACGAACATAAGGATATTAATTACCACAAAACCAAAAACAATCTGAAGCTAGATAAAGAGTTGAGAAAATGTTCTTACATTTGGTTGAATTGTCGGGTTCTTGCGAGTACTTCACCTGAAAGAGAAAGAATAAAACAATAAGGTAAGCATAGAAACACGTATCATAAGCTAAGAAGGTTACTAATGAGCTTAAAGCATTTACCATGGCTGCCAAAGAGAAGAACTGACGGAGAAGAGAGCCCCAGTTAAAACAGTTAGAGAGATTATATAGCTGGGAGACATATAAAACCCTAAACGAAAACGTGTATAAAGGCCTTTTTGGGCCTCTTTTCACCACTTTTTATTAATGGGCTTTTATAAGTACAGACGGTGATGTCATTAGCACAAAGAAGTATATAAAAGAAAAAGGGTTAAGTGAGCTATCATCAAAATCTAGGGCTTCGTTTTTGAGAGAAAGAAAGAGAAAAGATGAGTGGAGAAAACGACAACGGCGGTGCTAAACGCAGAGGATCTGTCAAGTGGTTCGACACCCAGAAGGGTTTCGGTTTCATCACACCCGAAGACGGCGAAGATCTCTTCGTTCACCAATCCTCCATCAGATCTGAAGGTTACCGTAGCCTCGCCGAAGGCGAATCCGTCGAGTTCCTCGTGGAGATCGACAGCAACAGTGGCCGCTCCAAGGCCGTTGATGTGACCGGACCCGATGGCGCTCCTGTTCTAGGCACCAGCCGTGGCTCATCCGGCGGACGCGGTGGATTCAGCGGTGGTGATGGGTATGGAGGAAGAGGTGGTGGAGGACGTGGAGGTTACGGAGGAAGAGGCGGTGGTGGCCGTGGAGGTGGAGGAGGTGATTGTTACAAGTGTGGTGAGCCAGGTCACATGGCGAGAGAGTGTTCCCAAGGTGGTGGTGGTGGTGGAAGAGGAGGTGGCGGCGGCGGTGGTGGGAGCTGCTACTCGTGTGGCGAGTCGGGGCATTTCTCTAGGGAATGCACTAGCGGTGGACGTTGAAAACGGACACCTGTCGGGAAGGATGAGTTCGTTATGGTGTGAAGGACAAGTCTTGTCTCTACGTATTATCTATTTATGATCTTGTTTTTTTTTTTTGGCTTGTGGTGGATGCATCTCTGTCGTTTTCTTATGTTTGTTTTCGGTTTAAAACTCTTTGATGGTTTCGGATTATGGTTATTTTGTTTGTTGGTTTTGCATGTGATGGATTCATTTCATAAACAAGGCTCAGCTGTTTATATATTGGTATTTTCGTAAATCGATTTGAAAACAGTATCAATTGATAAGCAGTGACAGGATTACTCTTTAATGATCTTACCTAGAATTATTCATTAATGTTTAATGGATGACTACAGTTTTTTTTATTACCTTTGTTTTTTTCTTGTGGGAAGTGGGGACCCATGACAGACCACTTCTCAAATGGTTTGGTAACAAGAATCCAATCCCTCTATAAATAGAACAATTATTCTTTGAAAAAGTAATAATTGTAACCAACATATGTAAGCCGTTAAAATTGCTAACCCTCTGTAAGAAATATACAGAAATTTCAACAAGAGGTTACTTTGTGGAGTATGAGAGTTATAGGAATTGGGGATATCTCCATAACTATGCACGTCTGAGTAAAATTCGTATGAATTACTTGTTTACCTGATGCTACATACTTGGTTCTCATCCTTCAGAGATTACGAGTGTAATAGGAGCATCCGTCGACAAAAAGATCGCCATAAAATGATCATCTCATGGCTATTGAGAACGAATCAAATCAGATAGTTCTATTTCGGTTCTCATCCTTACACATGAGCATCCGTCGACAAAAGGATCACCCTAAGATGATCATCTCATGGCTATTGAGAACGAATCAAATCAGATGGTTCTATTTCGGTTCTCATCCTTACACATGAGCATCCGTCGACAAAAGGATCACCCTAAGATGATCATCTCATGGCTATTGAGAACGAATCAAATCAGATGGTTCTATTTCGGTTCTCATCCTTACACAGGAGCATCCGTCGACAAAAAGATCACCCTAAGATGATCATCTCATGGCTATTGAGAACGAATCAAATCAGATGGTTCTATTTCTCAATCTTTCGGACGTGTTCCTACGGAACCAAGGTTGAAACGATTGAGAAAAATCAGTCATTCACAACCACTAATGAAGAATTCCTCAAAAAGTTAAGGATTAGTAATCCGTTTTAGAAAGGATTTGATCTTATACATACGCGAGGAAAGTAATCAAAAAAGAAAAAAGATGAGTTTTTCTTTACTTTTATCACTTAGAGCCGTGAGAGATGACGGTTAATTAAACCATCTCATCTTAGGAAAAAAAATGTTTGGGAGAATATATCCAACTAGGATAAGATCTGCGCCTTGTGCAGGGTGAATATACGTAATTAAAATATAAAATTTTAATATTGATAAATTTAAAATTTACATATAATTTTTTTTTTATGTATTTGAAATTTTAGAATTCTGGAATTTTTAAATAATTATCTATACGTAGGATCATACACAATTATAATTAGAACTGTAGATCAAATCTTAGAATTTAATAGACCCGATTTCATATATCTTTTCACTTTTTAGTATTCGAGTGATGGAAAATAAAAATAGTGTCATTTGGCTTGATTGGTAGAGTATTAGCAAATTTCCTAATGTTTTTTTAAGAAGCACTTGGGAAAAAATTGCATTTAAAATATATAAAGTTTCAAAACTAATTTAATATAATTTATTTATTTGTATAATAATATTAGAAAACTCTATTTTTTACAAATTATTATTTTTTAAATAATTTTATAAAAAATTATGTTACATTTTAAATTATTTTTAAAAACAATATTTTAAGGTTTTCAAAATACAAATAAAGAATTTAAAATTAATTATGGTTATGATTTAACATAACCATAATGATTTAAAAAATTAAAAAAAAATTAACAAATTAAAAATTAACTCAATTTTATATCATGATTTAACAATTTAAAAATTAATTATGGTTATGAGAAGTTTACGTTCACGTGTTAATCCTACTTATCTTCAATTGTTTGTCTTGTTTTGTTTTTTTATATTTTGGTTATTACTCGATATAAATATTGATTTTGAAGTTTATTCTCATTTCATTTATTTGTTTTTATCTCAGATTTAGAAAATACTCAAAATTTAAAATAATTAAAAAGATACATACTTAGGTTAAGATCTGCACTTTATGCACAATAAGTATTTTATATTTATAACTTATTTTATAATATTCTGCATATCATAAAATAATAAATATATATATATATATATATATATTACATAACTAAGAAATCAATCACTATTATGTAATAAATTGATATAAATTTAACTATCACTCTTGTTTATTCGCAATTAGCGTAAATAAATCAAAATAATCAATCTTATATATTTTATATGATATATAATTAAATTTAAATGATATAAACATAGTAATATGGCACACTTTTAATATTGATATTTATTAAATGAGGATTCTACTCATATGATTTTATGATTATTTACATATTTGTGTAACAAAACTTTACACCAACGATTTTTTTTAATATGAGATGTTTAGTAGTTTCAATAATTTATAATAATTTTTAAAAAAACATTGACGTATTTCAAAATTAAAATATTAACTTTTCAATATATGTTGAAGACAAATATCAAAATATATGTATTTTCATAGGATTTATAGTTTAATAAAAACGATATGAAATATATATATAAACTAAAATTATTTCTTCATATGGTCTTATAATCATTATATTTTAATATAGAAAAAAAAGTTAAAACCTTGATCCTAAAAGTTTATGTGAGATTTTTAACAGTTTTAGTAATTTATACTCATTTTGAAAAATTCGAAATACAACATACACAAAAAAAAATCTAGATTTTTATTATATGATTAATGTAATTGTGTAATTTATTTTAATAATAAATAAATAAACAAAATGAGAAAAAGTATACAGATTGTTATCAAATCTTTATTGTTTAAAATCATTAATTGTCATATATATTTTAATCACATTAGGTAATTCCGTAGGTTTTATTTAAGGAAAGCATGCGAAACAATAAATATTTGATATATGCAACCAACTATAGTCTACGAAATATTATATTGCTAGAGAACATAATTTTTAGACTATACATTATATCACATGTTCTAGAATCCTTGGGATTTGAAATAGAAGCCAAAAAGCTATGCCACATAGGGTTGGGGTTATTTTTAATTCTTACAAACTTAAGGTTACAATTTTTTAAATGATTCGCAAATAATATACAGTAGAACCTCTATAAATTAATACTCGATAAATTAATAATCTCTATAAATTAATAAATTTCACCGGTCCCAACTTGGGCCGGTGTAAAATATGACACAAATCGATAAAATAATAAGATAATAATATTTTTAAATCTGCCATGTAAATATATGGTCCCACTAAAATTATAAATTAATAATTTAGCTATATATAATTTTATATAAGTACAATCTAACATTATATTGTTGGTTTTATATTTACTATAAAAATACTCTTATTTTTTAAACATTTCAGTATATTTTGATAATATTTAGTTAGGGGATTTATATTTACTCTAAAAATACTTTTATTTTTTAAACATTTCAATATATTTTGATAATATTTAGTTAAGTTACATCGAAAATCATTAACAATTCTATAAAATATAAAAATATACACCAAATAAGATAATAAAACAATAGAAAAGTCAAATTTCTAAAATTTAAATAATGTACATATGCTAAAATCAAATATTTTTTTATCTTATAAATAAAAATAGAAAAAATCTAAATAAGGAAACTTTCGTAAATTAATATCTCTATAAATTAATAAAATTTCAAAGTCCCAATATTATTAATTTATAGAGGTTTTACTGTATAGGGGATTTCACTTAACAAAATTATTTTCATTTGGGACTTTTATTGGATTAATGAGGTTCTTCCGAATTTGAAACATGGAATTGTCAGAGGACAGCATCAAAAGGCCTAGTTCGACCCAAAAAGGCATTACAAGAAAGCCCATTAAAAAGCCCAATCAAGTTACAAACATCCGGCTAAAACCCTCGGAGACGTGTACTGTTCCCAGGTCTTCTTCTTCTTCTTCTTCCAAAACTTCCCCAAGCCAAACCCTAGATTTGATTTCCGCTTGCCAGAATCTCAAAATGGATTTATCTAACGCCGATTTCGAGAGGCTTATGATGTTGGATCTCGCTCGTAACGCTTGCGCGGAACAGTACATGAATGATCCTCACGATTCTGAGGTTTTGTTACTATTCACTCTCCCCCCCTTAAATTCCTATTTATGCTTCGACATTTGAGTTTTGTTAGATGTATAACTTGAATTAAGAGTTTGGTGGGTCAGATTGATTGATTAATATAGGTTTCTCTGATTCGATTTTGGTATACAGAACTTGCTCAAATGGGGTGGGGCATTACTTGAGTTTTCTCAGTTCCAGAGTGTTGCTGATGCAAAGATCATGTTAGATGGTATGACTTACTTCTTAACAAAATTAGATAAAAGGCTTTTTTGCTAAGAAAATAACAAAAAAAAAATGCATTTGTTTGTCGTGTCAATTTGTAGATGCTCTTTCCAAGTTTGAAGAGGCATTGAAGATAGACCCAGGGAAGCATCAGGCTCTTTGGTGTCTTGGCAACGCCTACTCTTCCCAAGCGTTTCTTAATCCAGATTCAGATGTAGCTCAAGGTCTCTTTGATAAAGCTGCTGACTATTTCCAGAGAGCTGCAACTGAGGTGCTGGTTTTTGGATTTGAATATGAGGTATTGTTAATGAAGTTAACTTGTTATTTTGTTGTTTGTTTGATTTCAGGATCCAAGTAATGAGATGTATATCAAGTCCATGGAAGTTGCAACAGAGGTATTCTTTAAACTTTTCCCCGAGTCAAATCTTTGTTTGTGTCATTATTACATTAATAAGCATGGAGAGTGTTGTTGTTATAAAAAAAAAACTAAGGGGAGAATCGTTTGAGATTTTGTTCAGTGATCTTTGTATGGTGTTTGTTCTTCTTGCTCCCTTTGAGGAACATAAAACTTTTCTGTATATTGGAGCAGGGGCCGAAACTGCATAAGGAGATACATAAGCAAGGTGGAATGATGCAGCAGGCACTAGCTGGAGGAGGAGGAGGAGGAGGCCCCTCTGCTTCTTCAAATGCCAACGTAAGTTAGTTATCACATGTTTTATTGCTTCTTTAATTTGCTTATTTTATACTGTTATTCCAGTAGTCTCAAGTTTTTGAGAAGGTAAAGCAGAAAGTGAAATACTTTATCCTTTTGTTTTTGCAGGGTGGTAAGAAGAAGAATAAGAAGAAGAACAATGACTTCACTTACGATGTATGCGGATGGATAATTCTGGCATGTGGGATTGTTGCTTGGGTTGGCATGGCTAAATCCCTTGGCCCTCCACCTCCTGCTAGATAAAGTCCTTAGTAGTGAAACGCCATCATGCCATGAGGAAAATAATGCTCTCTGCTTTCCCAAACAGAGCCTTTCTAAAGTTGAAGAGATTTTGACGTTTGTGGTGGCTTATTTGATTTTGTTTGCCTACCAGGTCGTGTGCGTCGAGATCAAATTGTTTTGTTTACTTAATTACTACATTAGGATGTTTGTTTCTCCCATTCGATTTACTATATCCACGTATCTAGTGGTCAAGAGAAGAGAACTATACTTTGTTTTTGTGGTACGTTTACATGTACACGATTTCTTTTATCAAGAATAATCTCCGAGGGAGCTGCTCTAAACAAGTTAAGTGCAACATAACATGTGTTGTCTCTTTTATCATTAGCAACTATAAACTTCGAAGACTTAACTCAAATCTCACAGATTGAATAAAAGTTAGACATTGACAAAAAAGATCAAGGGCATAACTGTCTTTAACCTTATCGTCCCACGGCAACGGCAGTGACAGAATCTATATAAACAACAAAAACGCAGCGTTTCGTGTCATACTCATCATCTCCCAAACAGAGAAGCTCGAACGAAACAAAAATGGCTTGCAAAACGATTCTGCGCTCCGTCTTCCTATCGGAATCACGTCGGACCTCCGCCGCGAGCAGAAGCTTCTTCCTCCCTCCGTCTCCGACGTCTATTCCGGTTCACGGTTTGTTCCCGGCGCCGAAGAGAATAAGTTTCAGTGGTTTCGCCTCTGTTCCCGAACGCCTCCCTCGTCTCAATTGCACAAACAACGATCAATCGGAGCAAGGTCCGCCTCAAGAGGCCGTCCTCAAGGCGATTTCAGGTGGCGATTTCTTCCTAGTAACTCGTTTGAGAGTGATTATGATATCCTTTGGATCTGTTATGAAGAGGAAATGAAATTTTAGTGTCGATTAATGGTTTCGATTGTTATGATATGAATTTAATCCTTTACTTGTGGTGATGATGATTCTCTTTAGGAGTATGGATTATTTAGTGTTTAGCGATTAGTAGTTTATTGATACTTGTTTTCATGATGGTTATGGGATGATGCAGAAGTGTCAAAGACTGATGGGAGAGTTGGGAAGACTACTAATGTGATAATTGGAGGCACTGTTGCTGATGATTCTGCTAAAGAGTGGCTTGAACTTGACCAGAAGGTATCTAGTGGAGCATGTTGCCCTTCAAACACTATGTGGTGGTGTTTATGGAGCCCCTGTATATTTGGAATGTGCTCACTTAAATTTAAGATGTTTGCTGACTCTGAGGCTGGTGTTTTACTTGCCAGGTGAATACATACCCAACGGAGAGAGGGTTTACTGCAATAGGGACTGGAGGAGATGACTTTGTGCATGCTATGGTCGTTGCTGTTGAGTCTGTTATTGAACGTCAGATCCCAGAGGTAACTTGATTTCCTCTCAAAGAGTATCTTGTCAACATCATACTACTGTTGATTGATAAGAGATTCTAGCTCAAGTATCTTTTACCCATCATACCGTTGATTGATAAGAGATTTTTATTATATCAAAGCTTCTAGTTTTAGATTTGGAGATGTAAACCTGGTATCTCAAGTAGAATCATGAGTCATGGTGTATTAGTGCTTATATAACTCATCAGAACTTAATTTTACACCATCTCTTTGTTTATACTTTTCACTTCTTTCGTGTATAAGCATCCAGCGGGTTGTTCAAAAAAGAAAAAGCATCCAGCGTTTCCTTTAGTACGTGAAATCAATAATATTGGGACTGTGGGAGATAATATTAGAAATTTTGGATTGCGCATGCTTCATTATTACGAGCATAACGTTGTATACTAGTGAAAACCGTATGCACCCTGCTCTCCTTAGTTTTGTTCTCTTGCTTTGGTCTATATGCTTAGTCTTATGCAGTAGCCTAGCTACTTATTAGTCTGTTCCTTTACATTCCAATTAAATGATAAAATAGGAGTATCTTTTTAGGTAATGTCTTTCAAGTACTGAGAACACAAGAATCCTACTAACCATGTATATCTGTTTTTCCCCACTTCAAAGGATTGTGTAAAGCAGACATTATCAAGCAAAGGCAAATACATATCGGTGAATATTGGCCCTATCCGAGTTGTCTCTAGCGAACAGGTCTGTGTCTCTCTTTCCTCTCTTTCACACACACACACAGACATACACATATATAAGCAATATAGTAAATAGGCACAAGAAGCATGTGAGATTCAAACAATAAAGATTGGTGTGATAAAATATAAATTTGGTGTTGATTGGTTTTGACAGGTACAAGCAGTGTATAATGCAATGAGGAGAGACGAAAGAATGAAATACTTCTTATAGGCTTAAGGTGTGATGGTAGAATCACGAGTCTTCCCTCTCCCCTCTTTTCTATTGCGACTATGTAAATTAAGCGGGTGTAAGGCCATCATTTATTCGTTTCGTGCTTATTTACACCAACTAAGCCTTCCTTCTTCAGTTATTATATTAAAGATGGCTTATGGCTTTATATGCAAATGAATAGTTGGAGAAAGTTAATAGCTACTCTACCACTTCCTTTTTTTTACCACTTCTCAGTTCTCATCCTTTCAGTAGAACTCAAGGTATGAACTGGACTTGATCTAACCCGGTTAGTCATAGGTCTACCGGTTTACGGGATTGAATACTACTAATTCATAAAGATGAAAACGTTGTTTTAAACCGAGTTACAGTAGGACATAAGTTACGTAACTATGTTTCTCTCAATGGTCGTGGGAAGCTTATTTATGGTATTGATTATAGTTACGAATAATGGAGATTATTGGGTAATACTGAATGTTTAATCCAGAAATTAGGTTAAGTGGCACTGTTGGCCAACTAAAAGCATCCCCAAATATACTCAATAATGACACTCTCTATCTGTCTAGTCCTTTATTAGGTTAGAAATTACAAAATTCTTCAAGGTATTAATGATTCTAACTTGCTTACAAAGTCATTAACAGGCACGATATTGCGAATAAAAAACCCTACTAATATCCCCACTTTTTCATCATTTCATACACTTGCACACGCTAATAATCAAATCCTTAGATATCGTATACCATACGACGTGCACATACATTTCGAAGGTTGCCAGAAGCACACCAGAGAAAAAAAAAGAGATGAAAGATCGGATTGAGCGATATGTGGTACTGCCATTTTCATTGGGTTGTTCAACGCAGTCCAGCGTCGCAGTGGTTGATACTCATCATCAACACAAGAAACGAAACCGTTACAGATCGTTGGGTTGTTCAACGCAAGCCAGCGTTGACGTGGCTGATACTAATCATCAACACAAGAAACCAAACCAGCTCATCAAGAGTACTTTCCTTCTCCTACACTTCGTCCCTCTTTTTTTCTTCTTTGCTTCTTCCTTTTCTTGTTGTCTGACTACCTTTTTTGTCTTTTTGGTTTTGAGAGAAGAAAGTGATGCAAATGGCTTGTTTCAAAAAGAGATAGACAACAACAACTACGGTGATAATATCTCAGACAAAATTATTCGAAGCTTCAAGAGTTTTTCTCACTATTTCATTCGTATGTCTTTTTTCCACTCTCGTTTTTTCTTTCAGTCTTTTTTTTCTTTTATTGTGGATAAAAGTAAAAGGAAATCCATATTATGTTCAAGTGAAGGATATTACTTCTTCCAGGATTTCTACACTTTTTTCTTACTCCCTTTTGTTTTTGAAACAAATAGTCTAAATTAGTATTTAGGATAACATATTAACATGTACAACATAATGTTACTACTCTAATAGCAATTCCCTATACCAGTTGACATTCTTGGTGTTAGCCCAAAATATTTGTATAACAATCAGAACTATGGGTTTACCTAATAGAGGTGGAATTTTGACTAACGTCCAACGCATGGTATATTATATGGGTTTTAACCTGATAATTCACACATATATATAGTTTAACTACAATTCACAAGTAACTAAAGAATACACATCCTATTTCGTATTATATAGATTTTTAAATTTTATTTGTTTTCTAGGTAATCACTCTTTTTAATGTATATATAGGACATAACACATGAATCACTTTCGGGTCAACGTGAATTTACTTCTGTATATGAGCAGGTTACGAAGAGGAGAGGGAAGAAGGAGCGGAGGAGATGGAGATAGGGTTGCCAACGGATGTGAAGCACTTGAGCCACATCGGAATTGATGGAACCATGACCACTTTTGACTCATCTTTTCCATTCCCCGGTTTTCATCTCGCTGCCGTCTGATTTAATTTGTATCTTTAACTAAAAAGTCAACTTTGTTATACATTTTTTTACATATACTATTCAACATTTCTGTTAATATATAAATGACTTGGGGGAATTTGTGGTGATAGAATGTTGGTGTTTGATTTGCTGCATAGATATTAGCTACTTTAAGAGGACCTCATACACATAAACATACACATCCACATCCACTTTTTAAAATAAAATTATAATTTTTTTTACCATATAATTGCCAGAAAATTGATATACCATCTCCAAAATGAAAGAAAAAAAAAACAAATTAAAAAAGGTAAAAAAGAAAGAAAGCAAAACAGTAACAGTAAAAAACAAAGGGGTGGAAGAGAGAATAAAGCAAAAGGAACAAAACTGAAAAGAAGACAGTGAGGGACTGAGAGAGGAGAGGATGAAAGTTTATTCGGCAATGATGTCTTCTCCTCCTCCCATCCTTCACTCTCTCTCTTAGTCATCAATCCGATTCCTTCTCCGATCAGTCTCCTCCGGCGACGTTCCCCTTCCTCTGTTTTCCACTACTTCAGGTACCTTCTCCTTACTCCTTCCCACCTCATATTCTAGGGAACCAAATTTGTATCCTGAGATTTGGAGTTTCTATTTTTAGAAAGTTAGCCTGAATTTATCAAAAATGTTTTCATATTGAAACAGTGTTAGGTAATACAATGAAGAATCGTTAATTAGTGAAGTCTAATTAAATTTGATTGTAGCATCCATAAGGCCATCACTATATGGTTAGGTTAAGATGAATTTATTGATGTTTAGGGGGGGGGGGGACCATTAGCTAAGAGGGGGACCTTGATTAGGATCGAAACCTAACTCATTCTCAACTTTCTTTTATTACTTTCACTCTTTTTTAGTTTTCATTCATTCATGGCTGAGATTAATGACATCCTTGTAGTGTCAGCTTCTTATTAGCCAGCCTTGGGTTTAAGTTAGTAACCTTTGTGGAGAAAGTACATTAGGAGGAATGGGTTTAGGGGAGAAAGAAATGTTTGTGACTACGATGTTTATTGTATTCCGTTTTACATTTGTGTGTGTGTTTGTTTGACAAGTTGCTCGTATTCTGGGCAATCAGGTTTCATCACTGTGGGTCCTGTTTATTAAATGTCTTTTTGTGTTGTGTGATGGAGAGTAGACGAGGGAGGTTTGAAAAGTCATATACCCTTTCTAATTCCCATTTTTGTTGGTCTGGTTGAAACATAGAAAATTCTTCTCTTGCTGAAGCTAATGGTCATAGAAGGTTTTTAGAGTGAAAAAACGTTGATTAGCTGCTGTGTATGGTTCTTAAAAATCCATTGGCTTCTTTTTTTTTATATTCTTGCTTGTGGTATTTGTGTAGCTTCCTCTAAATTCTTTTAATTTCTGCAAATTTGTGGTTCTTGCAGGATTTGTTGATCTGGCTCTGGTGTTAGTAGGTCTATGAAATCAACCCACGTCTTGAATGGATTGCAACATGGTATCTCCGTTGTGGGACTGGGACCATTTGATAATGCCCAACCTGTCAAAGACTGAAACTGACAAAAAGCAGCCATCTACTGATTGGGAGATTGAGAAAGGTGAAGGGATTGATTCTATATTTCCCTGTTTTGCTGGTCTGGAGAAAGTCAGTACTGGCTCCAACACTGGTTTTCTGCACACTCCTGTATCAAAAAGCTCACAGTTGACCTCCACCAACTCATCATCACCAAAACTCAAACGAACCAATCTTGCATCAGAAAGTTCCCGTGGAGATTCTTGCAGCAACATAGATTTAGACCAAGTCAAGGCGTCCACACCTCTCGAGGTATCTGTTGCCTCTACTGAATCAGATCTTTGTTTAAAACTAGGAAAGCGGAGTTACTCTGAAGAGTTTTGGGGTAGAGACAACAATAATGACCTTTCAGCCGTTTCTGTGAAGCTGTTGACTCCATCTGTTGTTGCTCAGAAGAAATCCAAATCTTGTGGTCACAGCATGCAACTCCCACGTTGTCAGATTGATGGCTGTGAACTGGATCTCTCATCTGCTAAGGGTTATCATCGTAAGCATAGAGTCTGCGAAAACCATTCAAAGTGCCCGGTAGTTACTGTGGGTGGCATAGAACGTCGGTTCTGTCAACAGTGTAGCAGGTAAAAAACTGTGACTATGGTTCTTACTTGTGTTTATGTTCATGGCCTCATGTTATTCGTTATCTGCATTCAGGTTGCATGCCGTCTCTGAATTTGATGATAAGAAACGTAGCTGCCGTAAACGTCTTTCGCATCATAATGCAAGGCGTCGCAAGCCACAAGGAATGTTTCCTTTGAATCCACAAAGGGTGTACAGTAAGAAACTACAACCCAACTTGATCTATTTTTATTCTCAGGATCTTTCCTTCTTTCTATTATATCTCTCTTAGTCACACACAGACACATACACAACTTGAATTCAGGGAACTCTATTCTAATATGTTTACTCCTACCAGATCGAAGACAGCATACGAATATGTTGTGGAATGAGTTGTCCCTTAACACTAGATCTGAAGAAAACTATGCATGGGGTACCACTTATGATACAAAGCCTACGCAAAGTGGTTTTACTCTGAGCTTCCAGAGAGGTAATGACGCTGAGGAGCAGATGTTTGCTGGTAGCAACCTCTCTTTCTCTGCGCATCAAACCTCTGGCGGGTTCTCAGCAGGGAAGTCCAGCTTTCAACTTCCTGGCAAAGGTTTTGATATACTCACTTCTTGACTGGTCATCTTGGATTTGTAGATTTCTGATGCTGAAACTGAGTTACATCTTTTGGCAGGTGTAGGAGAATACTCAGGAGGCCTCCATGAAACGCAAGATTTCTACAGTGCTCTCTCTCTTCTGTCAACGTCTTCGGATTCACATGGAATCAAACACCATCCCATGTTTGAATCACAGCCAATACATGGCACTTTCTCATTTCATATGAATGAGTAGTGAATGCCAAGTCACTCCATTACAAGTCAGTTTGCATCCAATGGGAGTTTCTTTTCGAATAAAATTATAAAACGTGTAACGGCCATTGTTCAATATAAACCGGGTACACTGATAGCTCTGGTTGTCTCCACTTTTCAAAACCTATGAAGTTAACTTATTCTAGGATCATGTTGTATTGTATGTCTTCTTGGATTCTGTTGTATGTCAATCTTGTTTACTCTCTCAGACATGTGTTTGGTGTTTCATAAACAATATATCAACTGTTTTCATTAAATGAGGCCTCGTGTCAAAGATTTTTTGAGGTTAATAAGGGCTATAAATAGAGAAACCAACCATCAACAAACCTATATAATCCATGGCTAGAAAAAGTAATTCTAATAGTCTTTTTGAGCATCCAGAAGCATCACTTGTAACATCTTCCTCCCTTACCGACCAACTATCCATGTTGATTGAAATTTCAACAAGAATGTAGATTCTGAACAGGAGCGTGATACTTACTACATACTATAGCGAAAGCTTCAGGGAAGATCTTTCTTAATTTTCAATTTGCATATCTTTAGGTAAAAAGGACTTCCATCAGACTGATACTTTGCAAAGTCTTACCATGTATATTCATCGTTTAGTGTTTTGCTGACAGTTGACTTTGTTACTAACTAGAACGGAAACAAGGATAAAGATAAGAAAGCAGCCCAAGTCAGCATACAAATGCAGACAGTAAGAAGCTGTTCTGATGGGTTTTGATTAGTATCCACTAACAGAAGCAAACCGGTTTTACAAAGTTCACACTAGTTACTCATCTATTTTGGTACACCATCATATGAAAAGAGTAGAGAAACTGGCTGTGCATGTGGTTGGACCAGGGGATCAGAAGAAGTTGACAGAAGAGAGAGAGCACGGTGGAAATCTTGAGATTCATGGAGGACTCCTGAGTATTCTCCCACACCTGCCAAAAAACATTTCACCTCTTACTTCATAGGACTAGAGATAACACAACGAAACAACATATATCTACTAGAACCTTAAACTTAAAGAGCCTGTGAAGAAGTGCAAATACAAACCTTCGCCATAGAGTTGAAACTTGGACTTTAGTGAGAACCCGCCTGAGGTTTGATGGGCAGAGAAAGAGTGGTTGCTACTAGCAAACAACTGCTGCTCAGAGCCATTACCTCTCTGGAAACTCAGAGTAAAACCCCTCTCCGCCTGTGTAGGCTTTGTATCATAAGTAGTATCCCATGCAAACTTTTCTTCAGTGTTTAGAGACAAACTATTCCACAACATATTTGTATGCTGTCTTCGATCTGCAAGAGTAAAACATTTCACATTAGATTTCCCTGAAATGAAGTTGTGTGAGACAAGATCCTGATTAAACATCGATTTGGTCAAGTTGTGATGTCGATTCTTACCATACACCCTATCAGGATTAAATGGAAATACTCCTTGTGGCTTGCGACGCCTCGCATTATGATGAGAAAGACGTTTCCGGCAGCTTCGTTTCGTCTCATCAAATTCAGAGACAGCATGGAACCTGTAAATTACAAAAGATATCAGTACTCACCCGTGAGAATGGCACTTTGAAGTAAAGAGAATGTAACTTGAAAACATGAAAGGAGCTAGAACATAACCACCGGTCTGAACAATAATTATGGATTTACCTGCTACATTGTTGGCAGAACCGACGTTCCACGCCACTCACAGTAACTTTGGGGCACTTTGAATGGTTCTCACAAACTCTATGCTTGCGATGATAATCCTTAGCAGATGAGAGATCCAGTTCACATCCATCAATCTGACAACGAGGGACTTGCATGCTCTGACCACATGATTTTGATTTCTTTCGAGTAACAACAGGAGGAGGAGGAGTCAATGAAATGTCATTATTGTTGTTTCCACCCCAAAGTTTTTCAGTGTGTGTCCGCTTTCCTAGTTTTAAAGAAAGGTCCGATTCAGCAGACGTCTTCACCTGGACAAAATCAATGTTGCTGCAAGAATCTCCAGGGGAACTTCCTGATGCAAGCATGGACTGTTTGACTCCAGGAGATGATGAGTTGGTAGAGGTCGAATGTGAGCTTTTCGAGACAGGAGTGTGCCAGAGACTGGTGGTAGAGCAATTACTGACTCTGTCGAGGCCATTGAAACAGGGAAATATAGATTCAATTCCTTCACCTTTCTCAGTTTCCCACTTAGTAGTAGTAGTTAGCTGCTTTGTGTCATTTTCAGACTCTGACGGGTTGGACATGATCAAATTCTCCAAGTCCCAAAGATACGGAGATCTCATGTTGCAGTCCATTCAAGATGTGGATAGATATCATAGACCTACCACCAACGCCAGAGTAACAAATCCTGCAACAACCAAAATATGGCAGAAGAGAGATTAAGTACATAAAAAAGGAGAAGACTAGAAAATTTTGTGAATATAAACAACTCTGGTTAGCCAGATATGAGTATATGTTTCAACCATAACAACAAAGAGGGCAAGAAGAAAAAGGGTATTCCTTTTCTTGGCTCCCTTCTTCTGCTCTCTCCATATATAACACAAAAACAAAGTGGCATTTAATAATCTTGGCCCAGAGAGTATCAATCAAGAAACTTGACAAGACACAGCCATCTCAACTGCAAATATTTTCCCCAACTAATTTTCTAAAGCTAAAAGCTTTTATCAAAGGGTCTACAAAGTAGACACATTTTGATTGAAACTTTTTATGACAAAGAAAACGGAAGAGACAATAAGTGGATCTGTGTAGAAACATGACAGTAAAAGAGAGTGAGAGTAAGTTAGGTTTGGATCCCGATCAGTAGCTAGGGTTTATCAAGTGGTCCCCCGAAGTCAATTAAATTCATCCAAAACTAACTAACTAACCAACGAACGACAAGGGATTAAATAAATAAAAATTAAAGAAAATGTTATCTCAAATGTTACAAATCAAATGACCTTATAAGAGACTATTAATTCACCATGAAAAGCTCAACTGTAAAGAAACATATAATCCCAAATCTAAAGATAAAGAAAAGAATCTAATAACCTCACGTAGTTGATAAAAACAGATAGTAAGAGACAGTCGCCGGAGGTAACCGATCGGAGAAGGAATCGTGTTGACTAATAGAGACAGTGAAGGATGGGAAGAGGATGAAGAGGAGGACACAATCGCCTGTGGGAAAAAAATAGTATAATAAGCTTCTTCAGGAGTCCTTTCTATTTCTTCATTCCCTTTTTCTTTTTAGTATTTTCCGAACTGTTTTGCTTTGCCCTTTGCTTTTCCTTGTTTTGTCGGCATTTCTTTTTCTTTTTCTTTTTCTTTTTTCCTTCTTTTGGTGTGTGTTGTTTTGATTTTTTTGCTAAAACAAAATATTCCAAAAAATTCAAGATTTATATAATTTTAAAATATTTATAATAACTGATGTTAATAGCTTTTATACTTTTCCAAAACTTAATTAAAATATTTGAATTGATTAAGTATTAGAAATTAATAGTTATTCCAAAAAATATAAAAAAATAATTTAATTTTTTTTATAATTATAATGTGATCCCAATTTTTTTTTGAAATCTAAAGATTAATCACCACGAGATCTATAGAATCCATACTTTCTTATCATTTAAAATGTATCGAATAGTCAGATTTAAATTTATGTGGCTATACTCACAACTGTGTATCTTTTACCACAAGAACTGGAGAATTCATATAATTTAGTACAGTTATAAATATTTGATATAGCTCAAAGTTCCGCCTAGTTTAGTATAATTATAAATATTTAATATATTTTTAGTATGTATGAATATATTTCTTTTTTAAAAATATATTGAGAATAGATGGAGTATATGCATATACATTTTTTTAATTATGTGCTAGCAAACATTATCAAGAATGATTCAAATGTATATTAATTGGTTGGTTGTGTGAATGTCTGATATATAATTTTTATTGAATCTTATAATGATTCACACAACCAAACTAATTAATATACAGTTGAATCTTTGTTGATAATGTTTCCTATTATTATTAGATTGCTAGCTGAAAAAAAGAAATGAAAATGTTGATTTACACGTTCTCAAGATTTTCAGCATATGACATGACACGTCTGCTATCTGTCAAAACGAGTCTTAAATCTCGAGCTTTCTCAATTCTTAGAAAACCGTCCACTCATTTACGACCACGTTGACATGACACGTCTTATTACCCAATCAGAAATAGGCTGTGACGATGTACGTTGTGAGAATAGCAATTTCGATCCCTTTTTAAGGTGGTGGTAGTAAAATTGAATACGATCAAGACATAATAATAAATAATAACAGTTGGAAAAACAAAACAAAAAATCCTTTTTTTTTCTTCAGCTCGTGATCATCAAAACCGTTTCTTTCTCCGGCGTAACCATGGTATCATTCGATCTTTGCATTTGGATTCAATTTTTCATATGATCAGGATTCATGTTTTTATTGTTCGTTTGATCTTATTCATGATGTATATGGTTTTAGGAGGTAGAATGTAAATGGATCTGCTCTCTCTTTGTATTGTATGATCTATGATTATGAATCATACCAAAATTGATCTCGCATTCATTTAGCTAATATCAACCCGGAATTTGAATTTGATTAGCTATTGTTGTTTGATTGCAAAAAATTTTTTTAAAAATTGTTAGATGCATGACCAAATCTTACCCAAAATGGATTTTTTTTGTTGTTGTATGTTAATGAAAGAGATTTTGATTTGGAATATGTTTGATTCAGAAAGAACCGTTACTAATGGGCAATGTATAAGACTGATTGAATTTTGATGATTGCAGACAACTTCAAAGAGACTAGCAGACAGGAAGATAGAGAAGTTTGACAAGAACATTACTAAAAGAGGTTTCGTCCCTGAGACCACCACCAAGAAGGGCAAGGATTACCCTGTTGGTCCCATCCTCCTCGGTTTCTTTGTCTTTGTTGTCATTGGCTCATGTGAGTTCTTTTCACTTTATTTTTGGTTTATATTCGTTCTTATTAAACTTTCAAACATCACCTTGCTCTGGAGGAGTCTGGATCATTTCATTGTATGTGTGACTAACCTTCTTACATGGTGTTTTTGTTACAGCTCTCTTCCAGATCATCAGGACTGCAACTAGCGGAGGCATGGCTTAAACCAAACTCCACCATTCAAGCTTAGAGGAAGCAGTTTTCTAAAATCTCTTCTTCTGGCTTGTCTCTTTTTCCCTTGTAATGTGTACAATGTGTTAAAACTTTCTGTCTACTACGTACTATTGTTATGCACAATGTTTTCTTTATATCCAAACGTTAAATCTTTTCTTAAATCTAGACACCCTTCTTGTTTATATATGCTTTGATATAAAATACAAAAAAGAAGGGTTAAAAACAGTTTCACTTCCCTTATCACACAACCCAAGTTACATTACAAATACCAAAATGTTTTGTATATTACAATTACAGTTCCAAAAACCAAAAGAGAAGAGAGCTTCTCAAGCCCTAGCCGTAGGGGAAGGATGAAACGCTGTTCCACAAGCGATCCAAAGTCTCTTTCTCCCTCGAGAAACAGCGGTACACCCAGGTACCTTGCTCCACTCCCTAGTAACAACATTATACGTTATCAAACGATTCATCTGTCTAGACCTCAAGGACAACAACACCAGACAACCTTTGTTGCCCAGACAATTCATCCTAATGTGCTTTCCGTAAAACTCCAAGCACCAAACATTTGGCATTCTGTCAACCTCCTTCCACAACAACGTCATCTTCTGCAGCTCCCATATGCAAACACACGTGGCTGCGTTTTTAGACACAAGACCCACCAGCATCAACCTCTCTCCGCACTCAGCTAACGTGTGATCGCTCAGGTGCGGTGGAGACGGTATGATGTATTGCTTCCATCTCCCAGAGACCATGTCGTAAGACAGTATCCCTTCTGGATCTGTTAACATGAAGTAAAGAGTGTTGTGGATTGCCACTGGTTGTGACTTAAAGTTGAGTAGTACTGGGAGCTTTATGTTTGACGGAATGGTCCCACGTTTGGTCCATACGTTTCTTAAGGAATCATAGACTTCATACTCTCCTTCACATCCAACCCACAAGACCTTATATCCATCACTTGTTAGAGTCATTCCCACTGCAACACGAGACCATACCTTAAAGGACCTGGCTGGCAACTCTCTGAAAGACTTGGTCAGAGGGTTGCTCACGTAGAAGTTACGATGACCAATGTCTAGGAAGCACACTAGACCTCCCGCGGAAGCCACTGGCAGAACAATGCTCTTCTTTGGCAAGGCAGGGATGACCGGATGTCGCCATTTCTTGGAAGAAGGGTCGTAGACTTGTCCTGAGTTGACATTCTCGTGGGTTATGGTGTAGAACCATGGGATGGTGGTCTGAGGGAGCTCGGTGTAGTATTTGGAGAAGCTATCTGAATCAATGAGAGTGTTCCATTTGCGGCAAACTGAACGGAACTGGAAGAGTGTGGCAATAGGTAGTCTGGAAACAACAGCTTCAAATAGATCTTGGGGAAACTCCCGCCAGATTTCTTGATCCATGCCATTTGATTCAGTGAATGATTTTGTTTGATTCTTTTGTTTTCGAGAACGCTTGAAAGGTTGCTTGACAGTCTCTGGCCTCTTTCCAGCAGCCATTAGAGTACAAGGATCATCAGAGGAAGTTTCTTCAACAAAGGGCAAATACCATCTGCCATAAAAGGAGAAAACAATATCTGTCAGGAAAAAAAGACACATTTGTCCTCTTTTTCTAGAAAGAGTTCATAACAATGGAAACAAAGACCTCAAATAAGTACTAAACCAGGGGAGGGAGCAGTAAACTTAGCTAAAAGAATAACATTATCTCGGTTTAAGCATTTGTAACTACTTGTTCAGGATTACATACATAGAGTTAGATGCTTCAAGAACTGAGCCTTGTCAAAATAGAAAGGGAAAGACCTCTCAGGTTACTTTCAAATGGGACCAACCAGCATTTAGACAAGAAGATTTAAGTAAAGAAAGCATCTGTAATAAAGCCAAGCACAAGAATCTAATGATTTTGAGTATGAAATTGAAATGAAAACAATTGAAACTGAAGCATAAGCCCTAAACGAAACACATTGCGAGGTTCCAAATTCGCCCCAATATAGATCTAACCAGAGAGAGAGAGTGGAGCTCACCGGTTCTGATACTGAGGATTTTGTAAAACTAAAAACGAGGGAGAAGAAGAGGAAGAGGGAGGTGAAGGAGTAGGAGGAGGAGGAGGAGAGGCGTTGTTTAAGAGCTCTTGAAGATGGCCAATGAGCTGTCTGAGCATAGCAAGCTCTTCTTCCATGTCCCGACAAAGAGACAAAAGAGAGTGTTGGTTGTTTAGACAAGAATTATTAACCTTAAGCTCCTCTCACCATATCCGTCTCTCTCTCTCTCCCTCTTCTTTAAAACAACATCTTCATCTTCTGCTGTCTTGAAATGTCTTTTTTAATCTCTCCCTCTCTCTCTCTCTCTCTCTCTTTTGCCATGTCCCCCCCCCCCTTATGATTATATTTCTTCCTAATCATTCCATCTTCTATTCATAATTCCTCTTTTGCCTCCTTACTTTTCAATTTTTCATTCTTCCCCCCCCCCCCCTAATTTTATTCTTCTCTACGTTTTGCCCGAAAAATATATATATAACTTGTTTTTCATTTTAACTAACTTGTTATAAGTTGTAACTGTATGTGGAACAAACACTCCAAAATGCGATTAATTATATAAAAACTCCCCAAGGAATCACATATTGAAGGGAATGTTAAAACAACATCTAGTGGAGTTGGAAGATAGATTATGTTGCATATGACAATTTTAGTTGAGCAAGGTGATGTATAATGAAAAAAAAAAAGAGAGACTACTATTATGTGCCATTTTGTTTTAGAAGAAGAATGCTAAATAACTTAGATTCCAAAAGTTATACTAATGTATTTTGTTTCTGTAAGAAAGTCATTGAAATGCAAGAAAATAGAGTATGAGCATGGAATGTAATTAATTACATGTGCATAGTTTGCCTGAGGGGGTTATCTTTTTCTTTTGGTGTAATAATTAGGTTTTCAAAAACCATTCCACACGGTATGTAAAAGTAGTCGTAAAGCGTGAGGGTTCATTTTTGTCGTCCCATCAATATGATGCTTTGCTCAATCATGTCACTTCCATTTAAACACCAATTACCATTATCTTATAAGAAGACAAAACATGATTAACTAACTTCATGATAGCCTCTCAAATGTTTCTTTTTCTTCTACTACTATTCTTACTAATATTATCTATACCGTCCAATTGATATAAAGAAGTAAAAAAAACAAATTATTAGTAATGATTTTATCTACCATCATTTGTTTGTTTCATATTTCTACCTTTGAATGATGATGAATAAGCTTATTTCGTTTTTCAAAAGCATTCTTGCTTCTCTTCACTGGAACTGTGCACGAACAACTTTTGACTTAAAAAGTTGTTCGTGTGAAGACTCTATTCTCGGTTCAAAACTGATCTTAGTTCCCCCAACTGTTCTGGTCGAGTCATTGTAACCCGGTCTGGTTTGAAGGGAAATAGTGTAACCGTATCTGTATTTGGAGAACCATGTTGAGACAAGTCAACAAGACAGCATTACAGGTTGGATATTTATAAAAAAGACCCTCAAAATTCTTCATAACATGTAATAAAAAAGAAAGTTAACGCATTTTACAGACTACAGTACAATGAAAAAAGGAGACACAAGTCAAGAAGAAGAGATTTTGAAAAGTGCTTTCATCTACTTGAATGGTGATTTGGTTTATGCCATGCCTCCGCTGGTTGCAGTCCTTATGATCTGGAAGAGAGCTGTAGCAATGCATTGTGTAAGAAGGTTAGTAAATATATAAGAAGACACACATCCAAATAGTATATATAATCAAATGATTCAGAATTCAAGATGATGTTTGTTTATTGGTATTATTTAAAACTAGAATTACTAGCAAACTTATAACCATAAACTAAGATGCTTCCAGCATAATCAATGAGCACGAAGCTACTCTAAACATAACATAAGAGTAAGTTAAACCAAATAAAGTGAAAGGAACTCACAAGAGCCAATGACAACGAAGACAAAGAAACCAAGGAGGATGGGTCCGACGGGGTAATCTTTGCCCTTCTTGGTGGTGGTCTCAGGAACAAAACCTCTTTTAGTAATGTTCTTGTCAAACTTCTCTATCTTCCTGTCTGCCAGTCTCTTTGAAGTTGTCTGCAATTACCAAAATCATCTTAAAGAGTCAATAATCATTAGTATACATTCCCCATTGATGTCTGACTACAGATAGTAATGGTTCTTTATGGATAAAAAATTATTCAGAATCAGATTCCCTTCATTTACAAGAGATGACATGATGCAGTGATTCAAAATTTAAATATTAAGAGTGAATGATCAAATCCTAATACCATAGATACTGAATCAAATTGGATAAAGAAGAAAAAAACAAAGCGCAATGATCCTATTAACAAAAAAAAAATCATAAAAAGGAAACATGCAACAGATAGAGATCGCATTATATACCATAATTACGTTGGAGGAGTAGAAAATGAACAAATTGATATCGAAATTGACTTATCGTGAGCCAAAGAGAACAGTAATCTCCTTTCGTCCTTTTTAATAGGAACGGTTATGCAAATTCACCGCGCAAGTCCCTCCCGCTCAGTCACAGCCATTTTCTAATTGGATAACGAGACGTCAGAAATCTACGTGGCGGTTAATTATTGGACATCAAATATTGGGTTTTGAAATGCTGGAGAAAGCCTCATTAAAGTCAATCTCTGAAATATGAAAATCTCGCGGTCGTGATTCAAAAAAGTCTTTATTTGGCATCATCAAAGTCTTTATTAAAGAACCAAAGTTAAGCATCTTCTCAACAAGTTGCTTAAACGAATAAACAAGTGTGTTTACTTGTTGCTTGCTATGTACAGTTACAAGAGTTTAGTTTCGTTGTAAGAACCATTTGAGACGGATCCAGTCAGTGAAAAGAAGAGAATGAGAAAGTAAGCCATCTTCAACTTTATACCACAAGCACTATTGTATATATATATGTAGTAAACAAACGTCCACTCTCTATCATTCTTGGACGATGATAACTGAAAGAAGCTGCACTGTTTTCCTAATATAAGAATCCTAAATCATTCACACACATACACACTTTCTATGTCTCTCTCTTCCCTCCCATCCAAAGCAAGTCAGAATCTATAGATTCTAGCTTCAACTCATCTACAAATCCCCACAAGTTTTGGTCTCAGAAGAGAAGAAAAGAGCAAACTTTACAGTGGAAACTAGTCTAAACTTCTTGCCTTGTTCACTATCTGATCGTCACACAGGCCTTTCTCTATATACACTCTGTTTTCTTTTGTTCCTACAAGACAATTTAGAAAGAATGATTACTGGAAAAAGAGACGGGGGGAAGATAGAGAATTATATGTATGTGGCTTACTACTACTTCAAGATGCAGCGGAGACACGAGTTTTTTTGTGTGTTCCTTTCACCCTTCTTCTTCTTCCATCCCATTCCCTCTTTCATGATTCTGTATCTGAAGGTGAACTGAAAAAACGAGAAACTTCTCTGTACAGCTGCTCTGCTTCAAAGGGCTTTGATACATACCCATCCATTCCACACTTTAGACACTCCTCATGCGTTGCTTGAATCACATCTGCAGTCATTGCTAGTACAGGAAGATGCCATCTTGTTCTGTTACTTTCCTCTACTGTCAAACTCTCACCAGTCTTGTTTCTCTCGTTCATTTCCTCTTCCATATCCCTTATTCTCCTCGTTGCCTCAAACCTGCAGAAACACATCTCAAGTTCTTATTAAATATTACATACATAGCACAAAACTGCTGTAACAGGCAGACATACCCATCCATTTCTGGCATCTGAATGTCCATAAAACAAGCATCAAACTCGTGTGGTGGCTTTAGCAATGAGATTGCCTTTACCCCGCTCTCAGCGCAGACCACATCAGCTCCATACTTTTTCAAAGCTCCGGCTGCCACTCTGAGGTTTACGTTGTTATCATCCACAATTAATATTTTTCTGCCAAGGAGAAGATTCCTGAGAATTAAAGCAGGAGGTCCCTTTTGTTGAGATGTTTCACTGTTCCCAATACCCAAACCTCTCTGCAAAGTTGCTGCTAGCATACTCGCCCTTAATGGCTTCACTATCAACACTGGAGGGTCTATGATGTTTCTTAAAGAATCTGATATTGAGGTGTCTATTGAATTTGCTAACAAAAACAATTTAGGAGAATGGACAAGAGGGTCCTTCTGCAGTTTCTTAATGAACACATCTGCTTCTTTACTCCACACTTCTTGCTCTATGAGTATTATATTCACAGTGGTAGTGAAACGTAGAGCCTGCTCAACACCTGAAACTATTTCAACTCGAATTCCTAGTCGCTGAAAATGGTACCGTGAGACTTGCCCTCTAGCAGGCTTATGGTCCACAAGCACAGCTTTCATTCCCTTAAACTCCGATAATATGGGCTGATTATTGTTATGCAGTTCACTCTTTCTTTCAGATGAATGCATGCCATTGGCAAACACAGCAGTAAATGTGAATGTTGACCCAACCTTGGGAATACTAGAGAATCCAATCTCTCCCTTCATCAGTCCCACTAGACATTTGCTTATGCTAAGACCAATCCCTGTGCCTCCATGCGTCCTGGATATGGACGGTCCAACTTGCATGAAAGGTGTAAAAATACGTGACTGTGCTTCTACAGGGATCCCTACGCCAGTATCCTCTACTGAGACGATTAGGTTGATTTCAGATGGAGCTAATGCAAAGCTTCGATGTCCACTGGAGCTGAATGATTTAAATTTTTGCCAGCTTCTCTGCCTGTCTGCAACTGGAAGCCCGCTCAGTGTATTTTCAGTAGATGTTGATGTCTCTACATCACTAGAGTCTAGTAGCTCCTCCACCAAATGAACAGTTACGAAGATGTGTCCTTTCTCAGTGAACTGTCAGGATATTTATAAATGATCAGCTATCACTAGGATGCATGGAACGATAAGCAAAGTATATATCATATAACAGTTTACCTTAATGGAATTACCCATAAGATTTGTGAGTATTTGTCGAAATCTCCCAGGATCCCCAATTAACATTTCTGGAACATGGTCAGATATGTATACTGCCAACTGCGGTTACAAGCAACACTCTAAAAGTCAGTACGAAGGACTTGATACAAGCTACAAAAAATAAAGATCATTTGTGTGTTACCTCTAGCCCTTTTTCTTGGGACTTGCCAGAGAAGAGTGACAGGACATCATCTAATATTCCTCTCAAATCAAACCGCACCTCCTCAAGCTCAAGCTTTCCAGATTCAATCTTTGCTTGGTCCAAAACCTCGTTTATTAGCGAGACTAAAGCTTTTCCACTAGCCTGTGCGGTCCTAACGTAATCCTGTTGTGTTACATCTAACTCTGTGTCCATAAGCATATGGAGCATTCCTACAACCCAAAGCAAAGTCAAAATGTGATCAAAAGTCAAGATATGTAGTTCAGTTTTTTCTTGAGTAATAGTATTCATTGGAAGGGAGATGAGATAAGGAGTTTGATACTCACCAAGAACACCATTCATTGGAGTTCTGATTTCATGTGATACAGTGGCAAGGAACTGCATAAGAAAGAATTAGATTAACACACAGTGGAAGGAAAGCTATCAATTGAGGATGGAGTATGTACTTGTGACTTGGCAACATCTGCTGCTTCAGCCTTTTTCTTGAGCAGTTTCATTTTATGACAATCTTCTTCAACTCTCTGTATTCGGCTCATGGTTGCATGGAATATATGTGCAATAAGCAAAGCAATCACAAGGATACAAAAAGATGTCACCATTGTTAGCACTGGCCATGGTGGTTTCTGCTTAAACCTGCAAAGTGGAAGAAACTCACAACCGAATGTTAGTGTCTGCAAACAAGAAGAAAGTAGCAGACATGCTGAATCGGCTCAAGTACCTGCAACGCATTTCATGCTTTCTAAATGGATCCCCAAAGTTTAGTGGACTAACATGTTCCAACCCATCAGCCGACACATCAGAACCATACATGCTAATGGGTTCAGAATGGTTGGTTGTATCGTATACATTGACAAGAATCGTTTGCTTGCTCGCCAGCTGCTGAAGCAAGTTTTCCACCAAGCTTTCAATGTCAAACACTCCACCAAGATACCTTCAGGGACATCAGAAGAGATAATGAGCTAAAGTGATATCTGTAAATCTCTTAGTTATTTATTTGTTTACACGCCTATGGTACAAACCCGTTAGTAGCCTCAATTCTCTCTTTTGGGGTTGCATTGGAAGGGAGATCTCTCTTGTATACAGCAAATGTCAAGATCACCCCAAGTCTATTTGTCTTTATCAGTGGGAAAGGAGCTGTCAAAACCCCTTTACCTGATTTCCTTGCCCGTAACACGTTTTCACGATCCTCCTGTCAATAAAAAAACTCAGTGAGATTCACTCAGCTCTCAGTAAGTAGGCACAGTAGTGTAGACTCTTATAGTACTGCAGAAGAGCTTACTTTGCCAGACAGCATATCGAGAGAAATAACGTGAGAAACCGTGTCCTGAGCAAAAATAACTGGAGCATACTCCTTTTGTACAGGAGATGGTTCCAGCGCTTCTATGTTATATTCATCCTTGTGAACAGGTTTTTGTTCAAATGAATCCATCCTCCTAATAATCCAACCTTGCTGCCTCTCAAATTCTTTCCTCTCTGAGTGAAGCACTCTCACAGCATATGCAACCCCGCTCGTAAGAGGCCTCTCAAAGGAAGTTCTATCAGTGTACTCTGAGAACGTCCTCTACAAAAAAAAAAAACTTCTTTAAGTTAGTATACTGTTCACTAGTACTAAAGAAAATACAAATCAAGCTACCACAAGTGTTAGCACTCTATGAACCATCATCAAAGAACCAAGAATCATCAATTAAAAATTCCAGCAGTCCCGGATCGATACCTGATCGATGGCAGAAGGAAACTTGGCATGGTGAAAAGTGGAGATCAAGATAGACATAGCTTGAACATGATTCATACTAACGTTGAACTGATCCTGAAGCATACGAGCTCTCTCATCACACATACTAGCTAACGTCTCTTTCCTCTTATCCATAGCCTGAGAGCTAAAGTAGCAAAAGGTCCAGAAAGAGATCAGAACCCACAAGACAACCCAAGCAACCACAACTTTCTTCCACCAATTCTTGCCGAATCTAACGGGATGAAGAGAGAAAGTCGGGATCTTGAATCCACTTGTGGAGATCTTGTTCCAGAAGAAACACATCTTATTATGATGATGATGATTTTTCTTCATCTTGGTTTTGTCAGGATCACCGACAGAGCCGACAGGAAGAGGAGACTTGTCGTCGATCAACCAGGAAACTAACCAGCAGCATAGCATCCAGAAGAGTTGTCCTATCTTCAGACAGAACTCTACAACATGGAAGAGACTCATCCACTACTTGGAAACACACAAACGATCAAACCCCCCCACTAATTGAACAGAGAACAACTCAAAAAGTAAAGAGTTTAGAGACAAGTAGAACCAAACCGTACAGAATCACAGAACTTTGTGTTTTTTTTTAATTATCCTCGTTGTCTCTCCCAGAAAAAAGAAACCAAAGACACAAGAGAACGTGTCAGATTAGACTACCGGGAAGTCTCAAAGTTAAATTGAGAGATCAAAAAAAAAGTCTTTTACTTAATCAAAGATAACGACAGATAAAAGACAAACAACCAAAAAAAAAAAGAAGAAACTTAAAGGTTCCAAAGTGAGAGATTGATTCCTAGAAATCCAAAACAGTAAAACAGATAAAAATTTTATAGCTAAGAGTACAATAGAAATTGTGAAGTGTGATGATGATGGTGATGATGAGAGAAAGAGAGAGAGAGGCAATAAGGGAGTTAAGGTGTTGAAAGTGAAAAAGGGTGGTGGCTGGTTTGAGTAGTGGATTATATCTAATGGTGGGAAGAGAACTGAGATTTAGGAGAAGCAGAAGCAGAAGAAGAGGAATCTCTCATGGGGAAAGATGAGAAGAATATGGTGGAAGACATATGTCGGCTTCCCCTTTCTCTCTCTCTCTCTCTCTTTTTCCTCTATTCATTATCTTTCAATTTCTTTTTCTTACTTCTATATATTTTAATAATCTCAAGCATATGTACTACTTACTACAAAATGCGAAGAATTTTTAAAAAATCCATTCCTGAAATTCCGTGGTACTGTTAAAAACTCGATTCTATAGCAAATTGCCATTTAAAATCTCTCTTTTTTTAAGTACATACTACAACCGTAATTAAGAGTTTAAATATACACATTTCAAAGGAGTGGTAAAATAACTTATCTTGTGAAAAAACGGCCGCATCAATTAAGAGAAGAAGAAAAGGTAAAGAGGGGTCCACCTAAGAGGGGGAACAAAGGCATATATGGTCTCATTTCTCACCCTCCAAAAAATAATTATTTTAAAGAAAAAAAAAACTTAAAATAAAAAAGGCGTGTTAGAATTTATTTATGAGATGAGGGGTGCAGTAGTTGGTATATGACGCTGACAACAAATGTTTGGCCATTATCAAAGACTAATACACACACTTCACAAATATAATACAATAGAAAGTAAGAAATAAGCACAAAGCTAAAAGCTATTTGTCTAATTACATAACACCCCGTTTATTCCACTTTCAATATACACCTCCTTTTTGTTTAAAAAACAAAGGATTTTTAACATAAAAACCCCTCAACTAAGTTTGTTTTGGGTAAAAACCCCTAAACTAAGTATTTAATGAAAAAACCCATAAACTAATTTTATTTAGTGAATTAAACCCTCGCCGTCATAATTACTCATACTACCGGTAAATCTTTAGTTTAGGGGTTTTATCATTAAACATACAAATTCAAAAAAAAAAAAATCAAAATATAATAACATTATCTAAAAATTCGTAATTTTAATTTTCAAAACTAGCATTTTAAAAATTTCTGTAAATATATGAGTGATTTCTTATCCTTGTAAAATGGATTTTTAACTCTACAATACCTTAATTAAGTTTGTTTTGGGTAAAAACCCCCAAACTAACAAGTAAACCCCCATATTAAACATAGTTGAAGGGTTTTTATCATTAAAAATCTTTAAAAAAGATTATAACATTATCTAAAAATTAGTAACTTAAATTTTTAAAATTAGCATTATTCAAACTTTCTGTAAATATATGAGTTTGGTTTGTTTTAACATCAACATTATATATATATATATATATTGATTAAAATTTTAAAACACCAAAATATAATAAAAATCATCTAAAGATTCATTATTACATTTTTATTAAATAAGATATAATTTTTATTCTGGTTTCTTGTTTTTATATTTATAAATTTTGATAATTTTTATTACAGGTAAATCGTTAGATAATTTTTCTTATATTTTCTTGGTTCTTACATTTTAAATTTATACATATATAATTTTGATTTTTAAAGGATTAAAAATCAGACTCATATAGTTACATAATTTTTTTTATAATGCTAGTTTTGAAAATAAAAATTACAAATTTTTAGATAATGTTATTATATTTTGAATTTTATTGATTTTTATGTTTAATGATAAAACCGCTAAACTAAAGATTTATCGGTAGTACTGGTAGTTATGACCGGAGAGGGTTTAATTCACTAAATAAAGTTAGTTTGGGGGTTTTTTCATTAAATACTTAGTTTAGGGGTTTTTACCCAAAACAAACTTAGTTGAGGAGTTTTTATGTTAAAAATCCAATAATAGCCAAAAACTAAACAGAGAAGCATTCCTTTGTTTGTTCACACGTCACACACCTTTCACTGATTCATAATCGTTATTGGGTTTTTAATAACATTCGACTGATTAAAATTGGGCCCAAAATTAAGAGGTGAAAGGCCCACCAAAGGTAATCTCACCCTCTGTGTTTCATTCTCTGTTTCTCTCTCTATAATCTCGAAAGCACGACGCAGATATAGAGAGAGAGATGGATCCAGACGCAGTTGCGAAGGCCTTCGTGGAGCACTACTACACCACGTTCGATTCGAATCGAGCGGGGCTGGTATCTCTGTACCAGGAAGGATCGATGTTGACATTCGAAGGGCAGAAGATACAGGGATCTCAGAACATCGTCGCCAAGCTCACGAGCCTTCCTTTCCAGCAGTGCAAGCACAACATCACCACCGTGGATTGCCAGCCCTCTGGTCCCGCCAACGGCATGCTCGTCTTCGTCTCCGGTAATCTCCAGCTTGCTGGCGAGCAGCACGCTCTCAAGTTCAGCCAGGTCTTCCTTCCTCTACTTAATTTTCCATCATGTTATTAGGGTTTTTGTTGATTTGGTATGGTATTAGGGCACTAGAAGCTTTGATTGATCTGGAATTGAGGCGAAGTTTCAGAAACTCTGCTATGTGTTTGAGTGATAGATCTGTGATTAGGTCTGAGTTCAAGAGTTTTTCCCCAATTGATTGCGTTAGATTTAATCTAACTCTGTAGTGTGTGTGTGTGTGTATCACATGGTGCTATGTGGTTGTGTATACTGTTATGTATTGTGTGTATCATCTGATGCTAGACGCTGTGTGTATCAGCTAGAATCAGAAACAAAGGCACAATCTTTCACACGAACTTGAACATATGCGAGCAAATAGAATATAATAACACACACAAAGGCATTATATGAGCAACTAGGTTTGTAATTGAATGCCTGCATCATTTGACTCTTAATTCTTCATTCTGTGTGAACATCAGCTTAGTAGAATGTAAATGCTTATGTATTAAGCCAAGTGGGATGTTTTCATGCCAATTGGAGATACGTGTAGTGAGCTACATATGCATCGCTCGTGTTGTGAATCGTGGATATTGTTTCCTTGTCGATTTAAGAGTGACGTAGATTTGATAACTGCACGGTTCATTAATAATATTCTGACGGAGCTTTCTTTGGTGCCTCAGATGTTCCATTTGGTGTCGAATCAGGGAAACTACTACGTGTTCAACGACATATTCAGGTTGAACTATGCCTGAGGAATGTGGTGGCATGGGTAATATGAACCATTGTTGCAAGTCCTAAAAGAGACTGATGGAAAGTTTGGGGGGTCAATGAATTCACGTTGGTTTTATTAGATTTTGGAACTGAAGCTTTTACTGCCTTGTCTTTATGTTTAATCAGTGGAGCTCTTTTGTTACTGTGGTTGATATGAATTCAGTAACTGCTTATTTGTTAAGGATAAAACAAAAAAGGTTTGTTTGAATGAAATATGTTTCTCTGTTGGAAACTATTTTCTCTTATTGAGATTTTTTTTTTTTACAAACAGTAGCAAATAATGAGAGTGTAACCCCTTGTTTCCAGATTGCAAATGTGTAATACAAACAGCTACAAAAGAAAGCTATTATCATTGGTCATCATCGTCGAAACCAATGTCTCGCAACAGCTCGGGTACTTGGATATGAACTCCAGTGTTTGTTCCATTCCCATTCTGATGATTGTCTTCGTCATTGGCGTTGGATAGTTTGTTCTTGATAGGACCTAACTTACCTTTAAACATCCCAGAAAACATACCTCCGATGGACTTGATTGGGTGGCTTAACCTCTCTTTCATCATGTAAATCATTGAGTATTCAGAGAGCTGCCAAGTCAATGTCAGGATGATCAAAGCAGAGAGTAGCATGTGGGTTACTTTGTTCTGCCTCTTCACCTCCTTGATGTCCTTAGCTATTTCTTTTACACTCTCTTCCAACTCTCTCTGGTCCACGCCTTTTCCTTTAGATGATGAAGAAGAATCTATCGATGGTTCTTCTTCTTCTTCTTTGGTAGTCTCAACTACTTTTTGGAATGGATTTGGTGATTCCAGCTGAGTTTTTTATAAACAAAAATTAAGCATCAGCCCTGAAATGGGAACAGGTCATCAAGACATGCCAACAAAGATAATGTTCTTCTGGCCATCAAATAGTAAACAAACACACAAACGTTACTCTATGAGAATAGATTTTTGTTTTGTCTGAAAAGACAAGCTCACTTTCATCCCAAAACAAGGATTTGGAGCTTCTTTTCCAAACAAAACTGTTATGATTGACAAACGACTAAACAGGTTGTTTTTTGGTCGATTCATGAACTGATCAGGCCAAGCGGATATCACCATATCAAAGCAAACATCACAGCAGAAGAATTCTAACACAGACTTGCTTAGTTGTTCATCAGAAAGTCAATGATTCAAACATCATCATATTCAATCTAGTACCCAGAAAAGGTACCTGAGAGATGATCCTAGACAGCAAAATCTGATCGTCATCATCCTCAAGAAAGGATTCACCGGCAGCTTCTCTATTCTTCTTCTCATCAATAAGTTTCTCGATGGCTCTGGTCAGAACCTCCACATCCTTGCTCGACTCCATTCACAAAACCTTTGCTTCTATAACCTCTCCGCCGCTCTCTCTAATTCTCTATATCTATCTATCTCCCTTGGGAAGATGTTTGTTGCTTACACTTCTTTCTTTTTATTTTATGTAGGTGGACACGTAACATCTATTGACCGCTTCTTGAATAACTCACGGCACCTCCACCATTTCTTCTCGTTTTATCTATCAGAGAAATTGATCGAGACGGTTAAAATCGGGTTAAATCCGAATTTTAATATGTTTTGGTTTCGGGTTTATTTTTAATTTCATACGGTTTAAGTCTATAAAATCCAAGCTAACAAATGAAGCTTCCGACACTTGCACATTTCGAGGTTATGATCCGGACCTGACATCTTTTATCAAGTACAAACAAATATTTTACGGCTAGTTGGATAATAATAGAAACATAAAACAAATGTAGTCGGAATCCTATAGTATGCTTTTTATAGGAAACCCATGTTACATAACAATAAAACCAACCATGAAAAAAGTACTAAATAAGAAGGCTTCTCTATCTCATAACCACTCGACATAGTGGACAATTTATCTTGTACTATCTCGAGAGAAAGTAAATCTGAAGCGCCCCTCTGCCTCCGGCGTTCAGGTGGCGGGTCCGGGCGCGTGCCGGCGCCGGAGGGCCCATCTTGGTTGTAATAGTTCGTCTCTGCCTCTCTAAAACTTCCGTTCCTTCTCCGCTTTGCTCTCTGTTCTGGTTTGGCTATCGTCGGCGGTATCTCTTTCGTCCGTGTTGATGACTGTTGATTCCGGTGGTGGTTTGGACAGATCTGGAATCGAGGCACGGTGAGTGGANGTCCGGGCGCGTGCCGGCGCCGGAGGGCCCATCTTGGTTGTAATAGTTCGTCTCTGCCTCTCTAAAACTTCCGTTCCTTCTCCGCTTTGCTCTCTGTTCTGGTTTGGCTATCGTCGGCGGTATCTCTTTCGTCCGTGTTGATGACTGTTGATTCCGGTGGTGGTTTGGACAGATCTGGAATCGAGGCACGGTGAGTGGACTGGGGTTTTTGGTGTTTAGGCGTTTAGGGTAGAGAAGTAGTTCGTGTAGTCTTGGCCGTTTCTTTCTTGATTGTTAGCTCTGTGGTCTTGGTGTGGAGATGATGAAGCTTGGCTTTTCCGGTTAGGGGTTGTTGTTGCGCCCCGGAGGTGGGAAGCTTGACGGGTCTCGTTGATTTTGCCCTAACCCGTTGGTTTGTGTGGGTAAGGGATTCTCAGCGTTTGCGTTAAGGGGGTTCCGATGTTTTATACTGGAGGCGGACCTTAGTGGTGTTCGGAGGATTGATTCCCGTCTCCTCTTGTTTTGTTTTGAAGTTCCGGTGTGTTCTGGTCGGTGGTAGTCACTGGCTTCTCGGTGCCTCATTGATGCGGCTTCCTCCACCATTGTCTCCAACCTTTCGGTTCAAGATGTTTGCGCTCTTTTGCGGTTCTTGGATCTTTGGATTCGAGTGCGGTTCGGGCCAGTTTGTAAGCGTTTTCAATGGCGGCTTAGTAGGGTTTTCCAGGATATGTGCCAGGCGTTTGCTTGCCGTTCGTCTCACCTCCGTTGTGTGTGTGTGGAGAGGTTCCATTGGCAAGACTTCCTTTTCGGGTGTTTGGAGTGCTTCATTCTTAGAGCTTATTTCGTTACCTTTCCCAAGGTGCGTGGACCGAACTTCGGTTCCCCTTGTTGTGTGTTGAAGTCTACATGGTGCTCGGTCTTATCGCTGGCGTGCGAGGCAGCAGTGATACAGATGGTTTGGGTGTGGAAGTAGTAGGTACCGGCTTGCGGGCTAAAGGCAGTAGCGGTATACCTCAATCTCTGGCTTGTATTCTGGGCTTTTTCTACTTGCCTTTTGTTAGGGTCCTTGCGTTGCTGTGTACCGAGTTATGGAGTTAGTAGCGAGTTAGTTTTTGGCTTTAGTTCTTTTCAATTTTTAAAGTAACCCCTGAGTGGGCTTCAGTCACCCCTGCGTGGGTTTTAGCTGCCGCTTCCTATGGGCTTTAGTTTCTGGGACTAGTTTCGGTGTGTCGCCAGCTCTGTATGATCTTTCGTATTTTAAGTTAAATGAATATCAATTTGACGGAAAAAAAAAAAAANAGCGAGTTAGTTTTTGGCTTTAGTTCTTTTCAATTTTTAAAGTAACCCCTGAGTGGGCTTCAGTCACCCCTGCGTGGGTTTTAGCTGCCGCTTCCTATGGGCTTTAGTTTCTGGGACTAGTTTCGGTGTGTCGCCAGCTCTGTATGATCTTTCGTATTTTAAGTTAAATGAATATCAATTTGACGGAAAAAAAAAAAAAGAAGGCTTCTCTATCTCTAACAGACAAATCTTTTTGAAAAAGTACAAAAAAGGAACAAATATATAGAACTCCTCAATATCCACATGATTCTCTCCCCAACCAAAATACAGACAAAAGAGGATATAAAAACTCTAAATCTGGATTCCTTTTCTTTTGAGTCCTCTGCTCGCTCTGCTTCATGGATGAAGAAGTTGTTCATCACTTCATAACAACTTCCACTCTACAAATGCATTAACAAACATTGTTTACCATGAACATGAGAACTGGCTTAGCTTTAATTTCATGAAAAAATGAATGATGGCACAAAAGACTATTCTGATTTGTTGAATTTCAAGAAAAGCGGTCACACAGTTACTTTTAGATCCTAATCCTCTAATTCAATTCTAACTATTAAACCTGGTGTAAGAAATTACCAGAAACATTCTTTCTCGGAGACGACGACGGTGGCGCCAAGAAGTAGCAGAGGATAGACTTCCCGACCATGGAGATAGCGGAAACGACCCCGACAACATAGAAAACAATGATCAAAGCCAGAACCCAAGGAAGCAGGAGGAAGCCGATGAAGAAAGTCACAGTTCCACAGAGCATAAGAGCAACAGACACGCCGAGAAGCAGCGACGCGAATCCCGACGGAGATATGGAAAGCGCCGACGACGACGACGAGAACCGAGGCCGACTTCTTCGCGGCGGTGAATCGGGGAGAGAAATGGGGATAGGAGGAGAACGGAGGAGAGAGAGAACAAGAGAAGATAGATCGTAGAAAGACCTACTTGTTGTCTCTTCATCTCTTTGTCTTCTTCTCATCATCATGTAATAGATCCGCTGATTGTTTAGCGAGAAAAGAAGTTTTTTAATGGCAGCTGAAGAGTAATGGAGAGACGATAGATAACCTTTCCCTAGAGACAAGCGAATTGAATCTTCTCTGCAAAAGGGTCACTTTTTATATTTTATATATTTTTAAAAAATCTCTGAAAAAAAAGCGGAATTTTTTGTGTTTGGATAACGAGAAAAGCAACCAAAATGAATTAAGAAAGCGCGCGTGTGAAGACGCGGAGGCGAGTTATGGGGATGTTGATGGAGGTGGAAGACAATTTTGAAGGGGGAGTGTGGGTCCTCTTGATGACGTGGAGTGCCTTATCTTCCACCACATAATCTTATCTTACCTTTTTTATATAAGTTTTGTTTTCAATCATACCAGAGAAGTCGTTATCTTCGCTGCTTTTTTCTTACATTTTATTTTATTTTTTTTGGTTATTTGACTTCTACGACTAATATAACACGAGTTTTAAAAGAAGAAAACATGTTGTGTCTCGAACTTGTTACATCAAATAAGAAAAGTTAATAATGCAACTGTACTTTTATAGACTGTCTATTCGATCCAGCTATTGGGGTTGAAAACAACAAATTTGTGAGAGTGAAATTAGTTAAGGTGACTAACAATTTTCTTTCACAGGTTGTTGAAAATTAATAAATGTTTTAATGATAATTGTGGAAAGATTATTGATAAGTAATAAATATTGCAATATCACTGATATTTTATTACTCATGAACAAGATACGTCATTTACTGTTATTCTTGAAATTCTGCTAGCAGTTACCTTTTTTTGTAATCATTACCTTTTCTTTCGGATTTTGGTTTAGCTAAGTTTGTTTTAATGCAAACTTTGTGGTCTTACATTAAAAGTAGCCCAAAAGAATATTAGGTATGGGACTATAGATAAAACATTGTGGATTCCTCCTTAGCAGATAAAAACTTCTTTTCTGTAGGTTTGCATAAAAATAAACAAGAACCCTCTGGATAAGCTAGTGTGAGTTATAATCATATGATTATTATCTATCCCCCATACACTATAGTTCATTGTTAAATTATATGTTTACACAAAGCCTTACCCTTAATACATAACAAAAAGGGGAATTAGACAATTTTGGAGCTGGACGCATATACTTCAATACTTATCACAAACTTTAACTATAGAAGCTAGAGGGGGATATATATACATGTGCACAACATTTTAGTGTGCATTGTTGGAGATATTGGGATTAATGTGTCCAAAAACAATTTTAAAATAGAATTGGGCATAATAAACATTACACAAAATGCACACAAGCAAGAGATATAGAAAGCGAGGTAACCTAAGAGGGGAGAAGAGAGTTTTTATATAAAATGTCAAAAAAATTGAAGAAAGATTCAAATAGAGTTGGTGTCACAAGGTAACCAACCCAACATGTAATTATTCGCACTTGGTCCTGCTTCCATTCCATGATTTTGCTGCCCCTGATACCTGCTACATCGTTCCAGAAAGTTTTACTTAAGATATTCTAAAAAGAAAATATTTTACGTACAAAGATAAAATAAAAATAAAAATTGATTGATCACATAAAGAGTGAGTTAGTTACCCCATTTGAAGAATGGGTTCGCATTCCAAAGGCTGGAAGAAAGCATGATGAGAGTGTTGTTGTTGATCATGATGGTCTTCTTGGTCCGGGTTGAGTTGGAGAGGTATTTGATATCCATCAGCCAACTGTCACGTTAGTTGATTAATTAATGTTTCAGTGATTACCAAACCAATTCGCCTTATTGACTTATTGTGAAGAAATATTATATATATTACCCTTAGCCTTAGAGTTTTATTAGTCTCTGTCAACATGCGTTCCTGCTCCAGATATTCATATGTATATTAGAGTGAGTTAGCTAGTATTATTAGAATATTATACATGTCATTTGCTTCATCATTCCATTCCTTAATTATGTTACCTTACTCTGGAGATCATTGAGCTGGTCGAGCATGAACTGTGTCTGCAAATTTGATATTGGGCCTTAATTAAAATGAACCTCGTAGTGTGTATACATGAAGAGAGAAATAGAAGAAGTAGTACCCGGAGAGCTCTGATCTGCTTCAAAGAAGAGTCAAGCTGCCTCTCAAGTAACTCAAGCTCCTTTGTACTAAGAGGTCCAAGATCTTCTCCTAACAGATTCCTTTTATTTCAAGACAAAAGCCATCACAAATCTGTAAGTAGAAAACAAACTCTAGCAGTAGCTGTAGGAGTTGGTTAGTAGTACCTTTGGGTTTTTTGTAAAGCGTCGTAACGCTCCTTGAGCTTGAGATACTCCTGTTGGCTACTAAGTTCCTGCTTGCCAGTTGCCAATAAGGTAATATTATTGGATTTGAATTAACCAAAGTTTTTATTAATTTCGATTAAGCAGAAAATTGTTAAGAAAGAGAAGGAGGGGGTACAACTGCTAAGGCTTCTCTAGAAGGTACATTGGGCTCTGGAGGACCATAGTTGCATTTTTGGTACCTCTCCAGTGTCCGAATCATGCTGCATCATACCAAAAATTGTTAATTAATTTTAGTCAATTATGAAAATTAACTTCATAATCTGAAAATAATCAAATTTCAAATCAATGAATGAAAACTGGGGGATGTTTCCTAGGATATACAGAAAAGTCATGGAGTCATTTCAGAGAAGATTTATAAGAAGATGAATTTTTCATTGGCTTCAAAATCAAACCAAGATTTGAATCCCTATAAGGCTTACTAAAGTGGGTAGACCTAGCTAGCTAATTGAATCACCCCCAAGAAGTTCTTGAACTTGACTGCAAAACTGATGAATAATTTGATTGGATTGAAGAACCAAAAGGTGGAAAACTCTTAGATGAGAAGTTATATTAAGGAAATTCTTAGCTGTGATAAAATTATGAAAGATAAATTAAACCCTTATTTACAACATCACTACCAGGGAAATAAACGCTGATTTCATATAAGATCAAATGCCTCTTCTGAGATAACATCAAAAACTCAAGGTATCAAAGAAATAATCAGAAACATATATAAAAGGTATTATCTTTTTAAAATGATCAGAAAATGGGTATTCCCCCATATTTCATATTTGCTTTATTTTAAAGGATGAAAGAAAAAGTACGTTACACCAACACATCAGATGACTGCCCATACAACATATATATACCATTTTTACTTAAAAAAATCAAATCAATACGTGTAGATAAAAATGGATATACATAAAATACCTGGAACTACTGCAAAACTCGTACAATTTGCCTCGATTAGAGAAGATGATGAGAGCAACCTCTGCATCACAAAGAATGGAAAGCTCATATGCTTTCTTCAAAAGACCATTCCTTCTCTTTGCAAACGTCACTTGCCTATTGATCTTGTTCTCTATCCTCCTCAACTCTACTCTCCCTCTTCCCATTCTCTTTTTCTTTCTTTCTTTCTCTCTCCCTTGGCAAATTTCTTCTATATAAATGAATGATCCTCTCTTTCTTCTACTTTTCTTTTTTTTCTTTCGATTTTTTCTCTTATTTTATAATGTTTTTAAATGGTTGCACAAAAAAAAAATGTTTTTAAATGTGTACATGTATATACTTTTTTAGAATGTATCTATATATCTCAAGTACATTAACATGTCAGCTTCTTTTCACATATATTCTCTTTATCTATACCACCTCACTTATTGTACGTGTACTACTATTACAAGTTACAAAACACACCACACAGGATTTATGCAAATCTTGCAGAACATAAAATGTTAAATCACTCTATCGATGCGATATTTTCAAACTTTAGGAAATCGGGACTTTTCTTTGTCTATACATAAAATGGTAAGAGAAAGTGTTCTACTAATCTTACCAAACACTAGTAGTGGTTTCAGTTTAAATCTTTAGCTTACACAAATGTGGTTTTGGCCCAGTTAAAGAAAGTTGCATTCTTTTTTACTTTGATCACGAGTTATTACTAAAGATTAAATGAAATCCCTACACATAAACCCTAGCATTTAAACACCATTAAATTAAAGCTTTAGTTAATACTGAATTTTGAGAGAGACATTAAATCGGATGAGTGATTGTTGAAAATGAGAGTATAAATCAACGGTGGAGAATCGATGATGAGAGGAGGTATAGTCCGTGGGATTTGAGTTGATGGCAACCCCAAACTGATAGTGTAGGGCAATGAATGATATTCAACATGTGTCGAATATTGGATGGTAGAGTTTCATAAATCCACCTGATTTTATTTTATTTATTTATTTTAATTGTTTTTACTTTTCTAATCGAGTTCATGGAATCATGTGACCTAACCTTAACTAGGTGAAGCCTCGTACGATTTTCTCAACTTACTGAACTACCTTTGTGAAAAAAGTAAAGTAAAACATACTCTTTTTGTGTGTTCGTTTATTGTTGTGATGATATCTAAATTCTTAATTACTGTTAGATTTGTTTTCTTCTCCTTTTTTTTCCAATTTTGATATTATAAAAATCGATAACAGTCTCATAAAATGTTTGTTGTTTTAGTTTGCGAAACATACCATGTTGATAACATTTTAGTTTGGTATATAAGAGTCTAAAACAAAAAAAAAAGTTTTTGAAGAAAACAAAAAAGGGAGAAAAAAACATAGTTTTGAATATAGGTTATAGTATATGTTGGTTATCTTAGGGTTCGTCCGATGTAAGAGATCATGTCTGACCAAAACTCTAAGTGCTTTCTGTTTGCAAACGTAATTGCTTTATTTTGACCCGTAAGTACGTAGGTGATGGAGACAACATGTATGATTCAATTAGAAAAACTAAACATATCATTATATATTATTTGGTTATAAAAGCTTCCTTACTCTGTTTTGCACGTTGGAGCATCACTACTTTGATCTTAGAAGCATGTAAAGCAATTTTGTATGTGTTCCAATTAGCCCCAGTCAAGTAGGACTCCTGATTATGTATTTATAATAGTTTGTTTTCCTTTAATTCAGGTAAAATAAAAAAAAATTACTGGTTAACTTACGACAATCAAAATTGGTAAGAAGAGGGTATCTAGGGGACAAGAGAGTAAGCCAAGTACGTATTCACTTCTTATCAGATCTGGTCATACAGTTCACTGTAAGATGACGACAATTGGTAAAGATCTTGTGCACTAAACCAGAGAAAGTAAAGTACATTCATCTATTTAATTCGTTCAGAAATAAATAAATATCCAGAAAACTTCAAATATTCCTCATCCATGATGTGTGATGGATTTACAAGGTCAAGAAAATAGTCATCATTCTTGAAGTCTATCGAAGGCATACTATATTTTAATGATAAGACGTGAGGTCTTGTAAGATATATAATCTCGTACTACGGAATAGATTTCTACTTCTAAAGCATATATTATTTTTGAAATGGTTGATATGAAAGAGAGAAGCACCTCAAATACTCTTTTTCGCTATGGATCTTAATGCCCTGGAGCACACACAAGACCTAAGAGCATGTTTATTACTAAAATGTTTTAAATATCTCTTAAGTGGACCATAATGAAAAAAAAATTAAATGGCGAGAGAGAAGAGAAACAGAAAGAGAGATAGAAACAAAACATGAAAAAGCAACGGAAAGAGATAGAAGGAACGTTTCTTCGGGAGCTTAATGAAGGTACATCCTTTCACTTTTTTTCATTTTTTCTTTTCTTTTAATTACAAAATATTCTAAAGAACCCATTTAAGCTACTGCAATAAACATGGTCTAAGAGCATCCACACCAATGAACCTCAGAGAACCCCTTTGGGGTTCATCTTTTATTTTTTTTAGTATTAATTTTTTTTTGTTTTTGTTTTTTGTTAAAAAAAATAGACCAGTCGCGGGTCGCCACGTGTTGTTGGATCCGTGCTATAGTGATGAACTTAAGGAGAGAGAGGATCATTAGAGAGAGGATTATAGAATTTTGTTATTTTAATATTTTTTTATGTTGAAAAATGTGTAAATCCCCTGTCTAAACCTTTGATGAGAGTGCTCTAACAAGGATAGATATCCATTGATGAGATCCAACGGTTATAACGAGTTATCAAAGTGTTTCTTTTCTGTGCACCAAAGAGTTCACCAAATCAAAAATGCTATATTCTTCGATGATGCTAATTAAGAAAAGGTGATGATCGATGGGGACCAAACATCAGCTTGCAAAATTACGATACAAACTGTAGAACAAATAAATGCCACATGAAATCCTACACGACAGCTAATGTGGTCCACTAGGTGTGAAGGTTGAATCGGACGGTTATGAGACGATGTCTTGGAGGTGAATAGGAACCGTCGGATTAAGCTTCTAAAAATAGACATACATGGTCCATGTCAAGACGTATTGGAATGGGGCCTCACTGCTAAAAATAGAAAGATGGGGTCATATTCAAATAGGTCACATCTTCGGGGGTATTGGGTGGGGTTTTTAAGTTCTTGGGGACCAGTCTTTCTGTATTTTTCACCGTGAGGCTGCCTCACTGAGGCTGCAATATCTTTCTGTGTGTTTTCACCGTGAATATATAGTAAGTTACTGAACTCATAGTCATTATGCATCAATTAAAACGTTTCAGCTTTTAAGAAAAATGGTTCACGCTTATGTAACTAAACTTGATTTGACTGTTTTTGGGTTTCATAAATATAATTAACGGTTTTATTTAAGGACGGATACAGTTTTTTTCTTTCTAAATTGTTGTGTTACGTACATTTACAACTAGCTATGTTTCACAAAGAGTGTAATTTTAGATTTAGTTTTTTTTTTTTTCTGTTGATGCTTCATTCAACTTTTAATACAGTTTTATAACATATCAAACCTATGTTTTACCTTTTTAATAACCAATTGATTTTTTATTTGAATTGTTTTAATTTAATTAAGCATATATTATACAATTTTCATAATCCGAGTGAAATATTTCAAAATGATGCCATTTGCAAAATGGGGTGAGCATTAAACTTCAAAAACAAACACCATTGAACATGTTGGCACTAATCAAGAAACTTACGACATAGAAGATATTCGTCAAATGTCAACCCATGTGAAACGTCATTAGCTTGTGTATGGTTTATATTGTGAAAGTCAGGTCTGAATGCAAGAGTAAAGACAAAGAATGAGAGATGTGAACTTAGACTTGTAAATTCCTTAATAATACAAACAGCAGAAAACACAAACCAAACAGAAGAAACAAGTTTTAATTATTTGATCCACGGATCTTTGTCACTTCAACTGTGACATCACGTAAAAGTCTGCAGGAGTCATCATGGATAGCCAGAGATTGGGGGATGGCTCTTTCATGAAAGGCGTCAAAACATCAAGCATGATCAAGTTCCCTGTCCTCTCACTGATTACTCTTCTCACTATAGCCCTGCGTTAAATATGCTCTTTAATCCCACAACTGGCCAAGCGGAAAGTTATGTAGACAAGTGCGCTTTTGGCTTTGAGTCTCGCATTTGGCGGTTCAGCCTCATCGATAGTAGCTTCTATCCAAACTTTCAATATCTTCAATTTGGACAAATGGCTCTGCATCAGCAACAACAATTTTCAAACAAACAACATATTCATGAGAATGTCAATTCTAATATATTTCATAAAAAAATAATTATATACTTACCGCTTTGAGTTTCTTATCCTTACAACAAAGGACAAGTTTCAAATACAGACAAATCCACTCATTGTCTCGCACTTCTGCTTCCTCAACCTGCAAAAGCAAAAATATAAACATAACAATCATGAGTCACTACATAATTGATCATGAGAACTGATCATGATGTTGTATCCCAAGCTTACCATGTAAAATCTTTTTCTATCGTTGAAAGCATCCTTGGACGGCCACTCAAACAATTCATCTTTGTAAAGCACTCTCTCATCCTGATCCTGAAGCATGAGGGGCTCCACGGTGGAGCTTCCTAAGCAAAACAATATTTACTAGAAAGTGAGACCATACTCAAACAAAAGAAAAAAAAACTATAAAAGATGTACAGTGTGCAGTTTATACCTCTAATCCTAGCAACAGGAACGGTCAAATCCAAACGGCCAAACATGTGCTCATCTACTAAAACCTGGAAGGTTTGCACCGAACCGGTAGCTGGCTCCGTAGCAACTAGAGTCATGTAGTAAGTGGAGAGACAGTTACTTTCCATGTTGTATTTGATTAGATCAGTGACTTGAAAGTTTGTACCCTGAGATCAAAAAGAAATTGTTGAATGTTATTACACAAAGCACCCAGATGACACTATAAATAGTTTATTTTTTACCTCCAACAAGTTGTAACGGTGAAGCCCAAGCCTAGCGTAAAGGTCTACAAACTCAGGATATCCATAGCCCTGTTTGCAGTCGAAGCGTATCAGTTGACAAGTCCCTCGTGGTGCATGGATACCGTCAATATCGAAACCCTAATGAGTTATTAAATTAAATTAGAGGTTAATCAATCAACAAACAAACGAACAATCACATCACATAAATCAGAAAATTACCCCGCATTCCTCCACTTTACGCCAATACTCCTTCTGGCCACGGATCAAAGCCGCAGCAGGATGTTCAATCTGACGATGCAATTCTCTATAAACAATAGGAAGGTGAAAGAATTACATGGGATTCCTCCAGTTCACGCCAGTACTTCTTCTGCCCACGGGCTTCTCGATCTTCCATCAACTGATCAGACGATTTTGATAAGTGCACATCTTCAGGCTTCCCTTCAGCCATTGGCAGAACTGAAACAACCGACAAAAGAAGATGAACGAGTAACTGATCAGAGATCGGTTTAGGTTTACTAGGTTGATTTTTCAATCATAGAGCAGCATATTTATATTAGTATTTTAAATATAATTTAATTTTTTTTATAAATTAAAACCTAAACTAAACTCTTTTGTCTTTCCTTTTTTTCCTGTCTTTTCTTTCTCTTTTTAATAATGAAAATCAGACTTAAAAATCTAAGCCAAATCTCATCTACAGAAATACCAATTATTTTGTTTGTAGCAATTTTTTTTACATCTGTTTGTAGTGATTAAAATATAGAGAGAATTAGCAAAATACCCATATTTAAAATCTATATTAGAAAGCTGCCATCCGATTGACAGTTGAAACATAAATTACACAATTTCGTCTAAGAATAGACATCCTAATGTTGATTTTCTCAATATGTGTTATAATTAAGATAAATTAGATTCATTGGAATAGTAATAAAATAGTAAAAGGTTTTCTACGCAACAATATTTTTTTACACAAAAAATAGAATGCTTTAACATAATATCTTCATACTAAAAATTAGAAATAAAAATATAATAAAGGAGAAATGTATATGTAGAGTAGAAATAAAAAAACATTTAGAAAATATTAAATTTTAGTTTCTTTATTTGTATTTTCATAACTAATATTTTGTTATATAATAAAATTAATTAATTTATTAATTCGTGGTTCATCCGCGGTTGATTCAGTGACCCAATTAATCCAGTAAGTCATCATGTTCGAGTTTAAAAATATTGGTTTTGGTCTTTTTCTGTAGTTATTCTTGTGTAGAGATATGCTGAATTTAACTATATAATACCGTCAACTTCTGTACGTACATAACTGATTTAACAATGTAGATGATTAAGTTCAATGGGGAGGAATCAAATTGTTTTTTTTAAAACTACAACAACCTGATTTAGGGGAATCATATAGTTGCAAACCCTTTTAAATAAAGAGAAAGCCAAGAAGTCCACTTGTGATTTCGTTTAATTGAATAATCAAATATACATTTTGCAACATAGCCTTTCGCTTAACTATACCAACAAAACACAAATCACCGATTTGGCCAAAGACTCTTATTAACCTTTGGGAGACATCAAAAGGCTCAACCTTTTCGGAACACTTGTCCTTAAAACTCTTTCTTCCCCTCACAACATCTCTCTCCTAAGCGCAGCACTTGTCAGATTTACAATTTCTTTTGTCTTTAAACGAACATGTCATCGTTTTCTACGTCTCTCTCCCGCACCACCTCCTCTCCTCTATTCCCGAATCATTCTTCTCTCATCAACAGCGACACATCACGACGCTCACTCTCATTCCCTCAGGGGCTTAATCTGGATGAGCTCTGTGTTAGATCTCAGAGGAAGCTCGTCCAGAGCTCCGTTGTATTGGGAGATGGTAAGTTTTGATTTTTCTCGATTGGGTTTGCTTTTTTTGTGTATTTGATTAGTGGGTTTAGCATAAAGGTTGAAACTTTGAATATCTATAGGCTTTGGTTTCTGTACTATTCTCCGACTCTTACAATTGGTTTTAGGCGCAGTAATCACTAAGTCAAGCTCGGCTGAGTTAAAAGACGCACCTTTATCGATTCCCTCACAAGTAGTAGCAGACAAGCTTGTGATAGAGTCTGTTGGTGGTGAACAGCAGTCAACGGTTAGTATCACGGTGGTGGGAGCCTCTGGTGATCTTGCTAAGAAGAAAATATTCCCAGCTCTGTTCGCACTTTACTATGAAGGCTGTCTTCCTGAGGTGAAAGAAGAACCCCTTTCTTTCTTCTTGATGTGTAGTAAGCTGTTTTGTTGTTGTTGTTGTTGCAGATCATTTGATTTTTCTTTTGTTCGTTGCAGCATTTTACAATATACGGCTATGCAAGGAGTAAGATGACAGATGCTGAACTTAGAGACATGGTCAGCAAAACATTGACTTGTAGAATTGATAAAAGGTGAATACTAGTTCTACCTGGTGATAAAGACCACCAAGACATTAGTCTTTTTTACTTTGGTGTTTTGGTAGATATGGTTTGTTTAAGCTGAATCTTTAATCTGATATTTATAGGGAAAACTGCGGTGAGAAGATGGAAGAGTTTCTTAAGAGATGTTTTTACCATACGGGTCAGTATGATTCTCAGGAACATTTTGTTGCTCTTGACAAGAAGCTCAAGGAGCATGAGGTACTTGATGTTTATCCTCTGCTAATTAACTTCTTCATTATTCCCCTTGCAACCACATTGCATCATTTTTCTGAAGGCTACAGGTTATAAGCGTTACTTAGGTAGGTGATATGATGTAGATTATAGGGACATGGACACTGATGTGTGGAAAGTATAATTGTTTCTGTGAGATTAGTAAAAACTAGAAAAGTTTGGTATTCTCACTTCTTTATCTTAGGTGTACTCTTATCCTATCACATTATTATTCACAGGGTGGAAGACTCTCGAACCGCCTTTTCTATCTTTCAATCCCTCCAAATATCTTTGTCGACGCTGTTAAATGTGCAAGCTCTTCTGCTTCATCTGTCAGTGGATGGACTAGGGTCATTGTCGAGAAACCTTTTGGCCGGGATTCCAAAACCTCAGCTGCTTTAACAAAGTCCCTTAAGGAGTACCTGGAAGAAGACCAAATATTTAGGTAAAGATATTGTACTTAATCTTATATTGTAAATCTATCATCTGCAGTGATGGTTTTGGATTAGCTAGCTAATATGGAAAGTTGATGTTTTACAGGATAGACCATTACTTAGGAAAGGAACTCGTGGAGAACTTGTCAGTTCTTCGATTCTCAAATCTTATATTTGAACCACTATGGTCAAGGCAGTACATACAGAACGTGCAGTTCATATTCTCTGAGGACTTCGGCACTGAAGGACGTGGAGGGTAAATGCCATTCTTGTCCTCTGTCTGATTTTTAATGTCTCGTACTTGTTTTGACACTCTTGTATTCTTTATCTTCAGGTACTTCGACCATTATGGAATAATAAGAGATATAATGCAGAATCATCTCCTTCAGATATTAGCTCTTTTCGCCATGGAAACACCTGTTAGTTTGGATGCAGAAGATATCAGAAATGAGAAGGTCCTCTCCATCCTTCCATGTCTTATATATTTTTTGTTGACTTCAAAGACGGTATATTGAAATCCTGGTTTGTATTCAGGTAAAGGTTTTACGTTCAATGAGGCCAATACAACTTGAAGATGTGGTGATAGGACAGTACAAGAGCACCACCAAAGGAGGAGTCACTTATCCAGGCTATACAGATGATAAAACTGTCCCAAAAGATAGTTTGACACCTACATTTGCAGCTGCTGCACTCTTCATCGACAATGCAAGATGGGACGGTGTACCTTTTCTTATGAAAGCTGGGAAAGCATTACACACCCGGAGGTAACCAAACTTCTTTTGAAAGTTTTTTATTATCTTCAACACGCAAGTAATAATAATACTTACACACTTGTTACAGTGCGGAGATAAGAGTGCAGTTCAGGCATGTGCCTGGAAATTTATATAACCGGAACTCTAGTACTAGTCTTGACCGGACTACAAATGAGCTTGTCATCCGTGTCCAACCAGATGAAGGCATCTATTTGAAAATCAACAACAAGGTTCCTGGTTTAGGAATGAGATTAGATCAGAGTAACTTGAACCTTCTCTATTCAGCAAGGTGAGTTGAGAAACACAAAATAAAGGAATCCGCAGCTCTATTGGCCTATTCTATTTAGTTTCATTTACCCTTTTTGTTCACTTGAAGGTATTCAAAGGAGATCCCAGATGCATATGAGAGACTTTTGCTGGATGCAATCGAAGGGGAACGAAGGTTGTTCATAAGAAGTGATGAACTTGACGCTGCTTGGGCGCTTTTCACTCCATTGCTCAAAGAGATAGAAGAAAAGAAGACAATCCCAGAGTTCTATCCTTATGGCAGTCGTGGTCCAGTTGGTGCCCATTATCTAGCTGCAAAACACAATGTCCAATGGGGAGACCTTAGCCTCGACCAGTGAAAGAGTTTCATTAATCAAACCTTTTTCTTTCTTCCATAGATCCACGTCTAAGGATTCTCATTGATGATTATGTTGTTGGGAACAATGCAAATTTTCTTGAATAATAACGTTAAGGATTTTCCTCTTTCAACCCTTTTGTTTCCACCATACTAAGCAGCAAACGAAAGCAATAAACCACATAATATACTGTAGCCTCTACTAAGACATGAGCAACAACAAAAAAAGAAATAATAACAGTTAGAGCCTATGTTCTTGATCTTGGCCATCACTTTCAGGCCATTCCAGGAACTTATAATGCAGAAGAGACGAAGGTAGATAGGTCTGAGCTGCAGCAGCAGAAGGGTCATTAGGAGGATATATATACTCTTTTCCATACCCAAGTTCCTTCATCAACTTGGTCGGAGCATTCCTCAGATGTAGAGGCACCCCTTCATTCTGACCAACCGAGTCCTTCACAACCTTCCTTGCAGTTTCCATTGCTCTATAAACAGCAATGGATTTAGGAGCCAGCGCCAAGTAAGCAGTGCATTGAGCAAGTATCACATTGCACTCAGGCATACCCAAGAAATGCGAAGCTTGATAGCAAGCAACCGCCTGAGTAAGAGCTGAAGGGTCAGCAAGCCCAACGTCCTCGCTCGCAAACCTTATAAGCCTCCTCGCAATGTAAAGCGGCTCTTCACCACCTTCAAGCATTCTAGCCAGCCAGTATATTGCAGCATTAGCATCTCCTCCTCGCATAGACTTGTGAAGCGCACTTATTAGATTATAATGTTGCTCCCCTGCCTTGTCATACGCCAAATGTTTGCTCTGAAGAGCCTCTTTAGCATCATCAAGAGACACAACAGCAACAACATCACCTCCACCCCCACCGGCTCTAGCAGTAGCCATAGTAGCCGAGATCTCCAATGCATTCAACGCAACACGCGCATCACCATCACAGTTATTAGCCAAGAACTCAACAACAGAATCACCAACCTCAACACTACCAGAGAGTCCATCATCTACACCTCGTCTAAGAAGAGTCACAACATGGTTAGGCTTCAAAGGATTAAGAGTAAGAACTCTACAACGCGAGAGCAAAGGAGTGATCAAATGAAAAGACGGATTCTCAGTAGTGGCACCAATGAAGATAATACTACCATCTTCAATAACAGGCAAGAAGGAATCTTGCTGTGACTTGTTAAACCGATGAACTTCATCCATGAACAAAACAGTCCTCTTCTTACCATCAAGGTTAAGCTTCTTGGCGCTCTCCACGACCTCTCTCACGTCCTTGACGCCGCTGGTGACTGCAGACAACGAGACGAAGCGGTACTGAGAAGGATCCTTGCAGGAGTTGATGAGAGATTTGGCGATGGAGGTTTTGCCTGTGCCAGGTGGACCCCAGAAGATGATGGAAGGGAGGCGGTTGGAGTCTACGGCGGAGCGGAGGAGGGAAGATGGAGAGAGGAGATGGTCTTGGCCTACGACGTCGGAGAGTGTGCGAGGACGCATGCGCTCTGATAGAGGCTGGTGGCGGTTGGTTGGTGGTGGTGAGAGTTTGGGGCGTTTGTTGGAATTGACGACGACGGGGGTTAGGGTTTTGGAATTGGGGAGGAGGAAACGGTCGAGTTTGGGTTGTGACGTGGCGGCGGTGGTGGTGGTGGTTAGGTGGGAGAGGATCCAGTCGGTGGCTTTTTGGATGGAGTCACCGCCGGTGGCGGTTAAAGCTTCAGCGACTAAGTCGCTGGGGAAACCCATGCTTACTAGTTGCTCCATCTTCTTCTTCTTCTAAACTAGTACAGTGGAAAACGGCAGAGTTGTGTTGAACTGAACACGTAACTTTATTACTTAACTAAACCCTGTTTTGTTTTGCATCTCTAAATTAAAAAAAAAAAAAAAAAATCTATATTTCGAAATGGAAATTCTGTGATCAAATACTTTTTAACCTAAAATGCAAAACATTTTAGTTTATCTTAAAGTGATTAAGCAAGCCACTGTGTTTTCATTTAACCACGTGGATGTGAACGAATGGCCAGACGACGGCGTTGATATCTAATTTTCAAATAGAGCAACCGGACTTTCCGCCGGTAGATCAGGCCCCTAAAATTAGTTTAGGCCTCGATCTGGAACATTCCATGTTATCCAAAAAAATAACATATTCTCTTTTTTCTGCTTCTTATTTGACTTGATGAAATATCGTATGCTGCATATGAAGTTCAAATGTAACATTGAAGACATTTCAGGATGTCTTGTAGCTGAAACTACAATAGGTCAACATACTGATTTGTAGTTTCGACATCTAACCAAACATTGCTCTACCTGTTTCAACTTCTCAGACATGGTCGGACAAGGGACAACCACGACCCAGCGTGTAAACTGTGAACTTGTGAAGGAGAATAAATCCTTTTCATGGTGTTGACAATTCTGCCGTGATGTTAATTTCACTTTCGGCTTTGCCAAGTTTCGATTTCCTAGTGCAAGTGCCAATGGTTATTAAACTTGACAGATGGGAGTGGATGCATCAAATAGGATAGTGGCATGATAAATAAGACATAACGGTATTAGGAATGATACCAAGGAGTGGGATATCCAGCTTCTACATGAATTTTTTCAGCCCGATGATATCCCGTTGATACTTGGGATTAAACCCTCCCATTCCTCTGCTCAGGATGGATATGTTTGGAATCACACAAAGACAGGAGTTTATTCAGTTAAAACCGGATATAATCTACTCCAATTGAGCAAGATGAGCCGTACACATGAAATGGTTCTCGAACCAAGTGTCAAAGGCCTCCAGAGTCATGTATGGAAGTTAAAGGCTCCAAGTAAGATGAAGCACTTTTTGTGGCAAGCTATTTCGGGCTGTGTGGCGACAGCAGAGAGGCTAACTTATAGACACCTGGGCACCGATAGGAATTGTCCTAGATGTGCTGGCCCAGTGGAGTCGATTAACCATCTCCTTTTTGAGTGCCCCCTGCTATGCAGGTTTGGGCTTTATCGGACTATCCGTCCATTCCGGGTGACTTCCCGAGTATATCTATTTACCAAAACATGAGCTTTCTGTTTTGGAAGCGAAAAGAAGTGGCTCCTCGGAGTCCACAATTCGACACCTTCCCATGGATCTGTTGGTACATTTGGAAGGTAAGGAACGACAAACTCTTTAATGGGAAAGACGTATCTCCAATGGACACTCTTCAACATGCGTCTCTTGAGGCAGAAGGTTGGAGGAAGGCAAACGAGAAGGAGGAAGTAAATGAGGATCATGAGATACCTCCTAGTTCAGAGCCCCCTAGGATCTCCCAAACCCCTACATGCCAAATCGATGCATCATGGATCGATAATGGTAGTGTCAGTGGCTTAGGGTGGAGTCTTAAGGATCAAATGGGTTCTGAATGGTTCGGATTACGGGCGTGTAGAAGGAGCCTATCAGCTCTGCATGTCGAGATGGAAGGCCTACTATGGGCAGTCTCATGTATGAGAGATTTGAGGATGACTTCGTTACGGATTGAGACAGACTGTTCGGATCTAGTGGATATGTTTACTAGACCGGAGGACTGGCCGGCTTTCGCGTCCGAGATCGAGATGCTATCGAGGTGCTTCAGCGACTACGAGAGGACTTCGAGGATGTGAGTCTCTCTCATATTCCGCGGAGTAGAAATGGACGAACGGATGCACTAGCTAAAGAAGCAAGGAGTAGAGGCTACTCATTTTCTCATATAGATCAAACCCGACCAGACGGAGTTTCTCCTCGGAGAATCGACTCGACTGACCACCACTTGATCTAGAGTAAATGGACGGCTGACAAAAAAAAAAAAAAAAAAAAAAACATAACGGATAGCTTTTTAAAAACAAAAACACAATTGACTATCTATTTCCTGTGTACTAATGTAAAATGGAAGAAATGTGTATGAAAAAAGATCTATCTATACACGCCAAAGAAGAAGGTTCTTTTATCTTCTTTACATGTAAAGATTTTGTACAAAAGAGTAAGAAAGTCTTTAAAAATCATCAGCCCGGTGAATCTCTCCCATAACGCGATTGCTAGTGACTTTGAAACCAAGAAGAGCTGGATCAAGCTGCCTCCCTTTCTTCCCTTTCTTCTTCCCACCACCGCCTTTGTTTCCTTCGTTTGGATCAGAAGATGACTCTGCTGCCACTGGCACTTTCTTCATGCTGCTGCTACTACTCTTCTTTAACATCTCACTGAACGATGCCTCTGACCCTCTGTTTCCCACTCCTGCTCCTGTTTCCCGTCTCCCACCTCCTGTTAATATATATTCTACAGGCTGAGTCTCATTTTCCATAAAATATAGACAAGATGATCCTTGAGATAGAAGATACCTTCGATTCCACCATAAGAACTAGCTGTCCTGTTGTTAGCTGCATCGGAAATATGCTCGAGCAGTCCTTCATGCGATGATGAAGAATGGGACGATGGAGGCCTTTTCAACAACACTGATTCCTGCCCGTGTGATGGAACTACCAACCTACAGGAAATAAAATACATTTAATCAAAATATGGGAGGAGATTCAAGGCGCTTCTAACTAATTTACCGGTGCTAAACGTCAGAATACAAAATTACCTATCCTTCCTTCTATCATCACCAGCCAAGTTGTCACTGTATTGGTCTGCATCAGGAGAATACCGGGATAAGCCCTCACACACAATACAAATCAAGCTCTCCTAAAACATGATAAATAGGAAAAATGAAATCTTGAAAATACTGTGCAAGGAGGACACATACCAGAGATATTGAAAGAAGACTGTTTGCCAAGCGTAGCAACGGGAACCTCGCCTTGAACCAAGGAGTCCATTACTGCTTGCTTGCCCATTCTGTCTTGGGCTTCAAATGACATCAATCCTGTTCCCTCCTTTTTTGGTGGCACATTGTTCCACGTTTTGATGTCATTCGCGTCTTTGTTCATACCAAACATATTACTGAACGCCTGGGATTCATTCTGGATTGACTGCCCACCATCGGTTATTCCAGACCGCAAGGAACTATTACGGTGCAATGGTCCCATATAGTTCCCCTCTCTCGGTAATCTGTTTACCTGTTGTTCATCAGAAAATGCCTGCGATCCAAAAGAAGATGAAGCATTCGGCCTACCACCGTGGTCCACAAGGCCGCGGCCTGAAGGAGCCATCCTGTCATACGGGTTCATGCTTGATGACTCAACAGATTGATGGCCTGGTCTCTGGTGGAGCAAATCCATAAAAAGCTGCTTTGACTTGTCGTTTGAAGACCCATCTACCATCCATGAGTTGGAATCTTCGCCGGCTCTCCTCATTTCTGACCTCATTTTGTGATGTTCAGCATCCGTGTTTGATCTATGAAATTGCGATTCGGCCCAGTCACCAGCTAGCTGTGTATCTGCTCCAGGCCAGCGTTCTTGCCTTGTTTCCATTTGTGAAAACTGCGGTTCACCTACTGGTATACGGGGAATCGGATGACTGAAACTGGAAGCAGAATTTCCCAATCTGCCAGAAGATTGCATGTGGGCAATAGCATCCCGAAACTCAAGACCCTGAGAGAGACCAACACCATTCAAAGCATCCAGATTCAGCCCCGATGTACTTACAGGTAAGGATGCTGATCGCTCAAATGGAATACCCTGATCGAATAATTCCTGGCGAAGCTGTTGCTGATATGAAAGGTTACGCTCAAGATGACCAAACTGATTTTCAAAGGGTGGACTCTGCTGCTGTTGATGAAAGTCTAGCGGTCTAAATCCGGCGGAAGAGTGCGAACGGTTGATCCCATGATGAGTTCTTAGAAGCTGTTCATTATGGTCAGATGGCCACAAAGGGTCAATTTGTCTCTGTTCCTCTAATAATGTATTGTGCCTCGCTCCATTTGCCAACTGCATAAGCTGTTCTTGCTGGAGTAGCTGGTACTCCAAAGACCGGATTTGTTCAGATTGCAGTTGTCCGTGTCCGTGTTGAGATTGCATTTGTCCGTATTGAGATTGCAACAACTGTTCGAGAAGCTCCTTTTGATGGTCTTCATGTGGCAGCTGCCCAAAATTTCCTGCAGCAAGTTGCTCAATATGTTGTGCAAAATCATGGGGCGGATAGCCAGATCTCTTCTGCAATTCATTCATAAGCTGCTGTTCTAACAATATCTGATCAACACTATTGGACCGGCGGAAATCATGCGACTGCCCAAACCTTGAATCAGAAGCTTGACCTTGTAGAATCTGTTGCAAATGTAACTGTCGAGCATGGGACTGTTGTTGCTCCTGTAAGAGATTCTGATGTAACTGATGCTCTTGTTCCAGTTGACGTTGTTGCAACTGAATCTTCTGCTGCTGTTGCAACTGAAACTTCTGCTGCTGCAACTGAATCTTCTGTTGCTGCTGCAATTGAATTTTCTGTTGCTGCTGCAACTGCAGAGTTAATAAATGCTCCAGATCCTGATCAGCTATATGTGAATGCGACAGCATATCCTGATTTTGGAATTGCTGTTGACGATGTTGATTTGATGGAAATTGATCCCCAAGGTTAAAGCGGTTGAATTCATGTTCAAACTGCGGCATCTGGCTAGCCGCCAGAGTATCAAGGGACATGTTGGGGTCAACATGTGGATTTCCTCGAGAATCGATGGGCCAATTGTCTATTGAACCAGTAGCCTCCCCCATTGCACCATATGACCTGTTAGGTAACTGATTAACTGGTGTATTACCACTCTCTAACTCAGACCACAGCACACCAAACGGGTGCAGCTTGTTCTCATTCTGAGTTCGAGTAGCAGCCTTATTTGATTCAACATGAATATCAGAGCGGCCAGGGAAATGCATTAAAGCATCATGCATACTTGTCGAGGATTTTACTGATCCATAACCAGAAACTCCAGCTCTTCCTGGGAATACGATTTCTGATTAAGAAAAAATACAAAAGATTGTTCAGTTATTATGGCAAACATAACAAATTAATATGGATATGAAGGAAAGAAATGCATTCGGCTACACACGCATGCAAAACACTAAGAAAGAAGAACGTTCGTCCACATCAATGCCCACAGATAAGAAAAGGTTAGCAGCGTAACAAACCTTCATCTTGTACTGAAAAGTCCACGAAACGGTCATCAGCATGTGGTAGTTTCGCATAAGCTTCTGACTCAGAATTTCTATGAAAATTATCGTGAGCGGAGGGGTTGTTATACTCAGGAAATGGGAGCGACGAGCCAGTTATAGAAGATAAACCATTAGATTCTGCTACAGGTACAACTGATAAACCAGTCTCGGAGTTTTCTTTTCGACTAGTATCTTCTCGCTCAGTCATTAGATCATTGATATGAGCTTGAATACTTTCTGTCTTTAAATATGACATGACACTGCCTAGATCTTGAAAAGGAGTTCCTTCTGGAGCACTTGCCAACCGGACCTGTAGGTCTGTCCCAAAAAACCCTTGTTCAAACCATGAAAGAATGTCAGATCCAATGAACGGTCCCTGAATCACTCCTTGAGGATCAATATACGAGAACAAAAGCTCCTCAGATGGCATAGCCCCTTCGGACTGATTCACTTCAATATCTGGTTGCTGCAGCTTGCCTGTATAGTCTTGCTCAAAAGAAGTAACAAGGGGACCACTCGCATCCAACATAGAGGTTTTAGTAAAAGCAGATTTAACTGCTTCAGGACTTCCATGAGAAACTTGATAACTTTCAGAGGCCACTGAACTCGGTCTTGAGACGTTTGAAGTACCACACGGAACTCCATTATGACTGCCAAGTAATCCTACAGCAAAAGTTGTTCGGTTTGGCTTCAGGATATACAGGAATTTATAAATGCTCATAAGAATGAACCTAAAAAACCATATGAATTTGAAGACCCGTTTGGCGTCTGTAGTGCACATACCTGAATTACTACCAAGTATGGAACCATTGTCACCATCCACAACCCCTAGCAAAGCACCATCTACTTTTGTCTCAGCTGCGTTAGGAAAGAGAATCATTCACTGTATTATGATAGGTGCAAAGACAGAAGCCAAGCAACCAAAAAAAATATTACATACCCAGACTGTTTTCACCTAAGGACTCTTCCGCAGTGTGAGCTTCGCTACTAGTGATCCTTCCCTTCCATATGCCGTTAAGGCTTGCCTAATAGATAATACCCGTCAACAGACACATGAAAATTAGTTACAAAATAAAAAACAAAAAACAGTAATGAGACACTTAATGGAAAGGGACATGGAAGCAAGTTCTCAATGGGGACCATACCTCTTCTTCAGTATCAGGTGTGATAAAAGCAAGAGGTTCGGTCAAAGCCATTTGAGTTATGGAGTCAACTTCCTCCATCTCAGACGGCATACTACCGAGGGAAGGGTCAGGCTTCTGATTTCTATATATGTCAAGAAACTTACACCTTAGATACCGACCCAGTGAGGCTGGGTTACCAGGGATACTTTCATTTCTTAAGAATCCTCCAGCACCAACAAAGGTAGTTGAGGAACCCCTCCCAGTTGCAGATGCCCTTCCTCGGCCAACGGTGAACCCTAAATTTGGGCCCTCGGTTCGTCCTTTATCAAGTCCAAACCCAGGTGCAGCACGATAAGAAGCGGGCCCACCAGACAGAGGTTCCATCCTATGACGTGGCCTCCATTTGTCACGAGGGTCAGCGTCCCGTTCAGACGTTGCACGGACGCTACCAACCACAGACTGACTCTCACTCTGAGGCTCTTCCTTGTCCTTGATAGCATCTGCCTTGTCACAACGGGTTTCTTTCTCTTTGTCTCCAGGACCCCACCTAGACGACCACTTGTTGTCGCGCCGAGGTTCATGTACAGCAGCACGAGAGTTAGCATCATGCCACCTATCAGAAGAAGCAAGGTTTTTACCGTCGCCGGTTTCTCTGGTTGAGACATTGTCAATGCGACGCTCTGGTTTTCTCCGATCACCTTTCCTAGGAGCGAGTAAACCACCAGTTTCTCTTTCCTCTTCACGCCATTTGCCACTAGCTTCATTCTCCAGCGCAGTTTTCCTCCAGTCCTTTTTGTCCTCAGGTGCATCCAAGCGCCACCCATCCTTGAGCTTCGGGTCACTTGGATTTCCTAGGGCCACAGGAGTAGGAGATCGAACATCCTACACCACAGCAAGAACATCAAATACATGAGAACAAAGAAAGAAATATCAGCGTAACTCATTTAAGAGGTTGTTATTGTGGATATAAAGTAATCAAACTTGTGGTATAATTTGGTTAAAAAGCATTAGAGTGAGTAGCCGTGGATTAGGTATTTGCTTACCATCTTGCTCTCCTTAGATTTGGAGTAAAGCCACTGTGGAGACAACGGAATGGAGTTATCGGACGCCAATTCTGCAGAGGAAACAAAAATAAAAGTCAGTAAGTTAAGGAAACAAGAGAATCCAAAAGTCAAGCATCCTTCGGATCCCAAACCCTAATCCAAGTCTATACAACGGCGATTCTTTTTTCCTTTCCAGATCCCAAACCCTAATCCAAACATGAAGAGACTTACGGACGGAGATAACCAGGTAGATAAGATATAGAACCTATTAGGTTTAATTTCGAATCTACAAGTCTGCCGCATCTAATTGAATCGAAAAACAATTCAGATCTAAGAATCGAATCCAATCGGTGGAGAAATCGAGATTGAAACCTAAAATAGAAAGAAATCGAGGAGGAAGAGTACCTTTCAACTGGTCAGAGGATTTGGACAAGATGAGATCGTCAGGCAGATTGAACTTCCCTTCAGCCATGGCAGGATTGAAAACAACCGACTTCGAGGGAGGAGGATGCGTCAAAAGATGAGGAGAGAGAGAGGGTTTTGGAGAGAGAGCTTTTGTTTGCTTTGGGATTTTGATTTCGCCGTTGGAGGAGAAAGCTGTGTTTGCGGTGAGATCGAGAGAGAGAGAGAGAGAGAGGAGAGAACGAAAGTGAGTGAAAGAGGCGAGAAAGATAGAGGTTAAAGAAGGCCTTGCGTGGTCAGATCTTGCAACACCGAGTTCGCCCCCAAGGTTTTTTATTTTTATTTTATTTTAATTATTATCTCTATTAATTTTGTTTTTATCTTTTCAGTTCAGGCAGAGCTTTTGTATAAATATATAAACTATTATTAATTCAGATATCATTAGAATAAGTTATTGTTTTTTTTTTGTCAACAATAAGTTATTGTTTATATATTTAAAATATTTAATGATAAATTCAACCACAGATTTTTTATATCTTCAAAGCTTATCATTCATCAGTATCACAACATAAATATTTTTATTACATAAAATAGATCTGAAAACATTAATGCATTTAAATAATAAATTAGATATCAAATTTTTACATATGACAAAAACAAATCAGTATTATAAAATGATCATTTATTGCATAAAATATACTTAAAACACTCATCTATACATAAAAATATATACATATATAGATTATATATGGATTTCTCTTTCTTTTTAAATTTTCTGAAATTTTATGATGCAAAATCATTTTTAGGATAAACACAAATATAACTATGTTTTATATATTGATAATTATCAAATCAAATATCTTTATTTATTTGCTTGTTTCAAACCAGTTCATTATTATAAAACTATGAACTGTTTTGGGCCTCTGTAAACCGGTATTGCAACAGAAAGTATTGAAGCGAGAGAGTCAGAGACATGAGAGATATGGAAAACATGATGGCTGAAGATACAGAAATGACTCTAAACACATAAAATGCTTAAAAGTCTTGTAAAATCGAAATACATAAAACACTTATAGAATCTAGTGAATTATTTTTGATTTAAAAGTCTTTGGAAGAGACCCCTTTCCTTATTTTGTTTCACAAACACGCATGGTAAGATTTGAAAGTTCAAAGTTGCAAAGTCTTGGTAATCAAATTTTGATTACTAAAATAGAGGGTACTCTTCGGACATGATTAAGAGGATAAGAGCAGACCAGCCAGTAAAGACACGTGCACCTTCTCCAGTTCCTTCTGTTTGGTCGTAGTGTTCCCAGATATATCCAGTCTGAACATAGTTACTAACCACGTTCCTGCATCAACCACACCAAAAAAAATATAAGGCCACATATATATATACTCAGATATCTTCATTTGGTCCAATTGTAACAAGCATTATATTCATACCTTATCAGGTTGCTCCTTAGTTCCTCGTAAATGGTTCTTGCCTTGGCCATGTACGGTCCATCCACTGCAGTAATTTTGATTAGTTAATATAGAATTTTGTACATCATATTTTGTTTGTCAATATGAGAAATGTACCTATAGAGTAATGGTGCAAGGAAGAAAGAATCATGTAGTTCATGTTCATCCATATTGGACCTCTCCAATAGGGTGCTTCGGTCTCAGTGTTATACACCATGTACAAAGAACTGCATGAACACAAAATGAATGAGACTCAAGTATATGTTATGTTCGTTCTTGCAGGGCTTACCTAGTTTTGCCAAGTGAAAGTAATCCATAGTCACTCCATACAGTGCTCCTGCTTGAAATGAGATCAAGCTGTTTCTCGAGGATTGAAGAAGCCTTTTCATCAAACAAGAAAAGAATGTGCAGGTTTAGGTAGCTTGTAAGGGAGTATATTAGATACTAATTAATAATGCTAAATGTATTGTACTCACAGGTGGGATGATTCTAAACATGAAGGGAAAGAAGCTGACGTAACCAATGTGAGGAACCAATCTTAGCTCTGGCTTCCCAAATGTCTCCCTTACAAGCTCTCTAGATACACGACCATCTTCTTCAGTTACCTCTTTCCAGACTAACCGAACCTAAATGAACAAAATCCACAAAGTTTTTGATATTCAGGTCTGTGAAATAATTCATTAAAATTTCCTTACATCTTCTGTATGGTTACCAAAGTCGAGGTAAGCCCCAAGATCATGGTCATAGTGCATCTGTAAAAGGAATTAAACGTGAGGAAAAGATCAAGTAAATAAAGGTGTAGTAGCCTTGTAGGCGTTTTTTTTTAAGAATATAAACCTGATTCAAGAGATTGAAGTCTGAAAGCAGCTTGACAGTTGAGCTGTAATCCACCTGCATATGATACAAATTCCAAAAACAAGTGATGAACACATTTTAGATTGTTGTAATTTACTTTCTTATCATGTTCCTCTAACCGTCACAGTTCTGTCTTTTGCCCCAAGAAACTCTATAATGGAGTTCATGCAATCTGCTGCAAGATACATCCAGCACCTGAGGTCTACATGCCTCTCATCATCAGTTGGGTGTGAAGCCCTAGGATAATCATCCAATCCAGAAGAAAGAGACTGCAAAGAATTTTTGAAAGATAAGGCTCTAGTTTTCTCTACCAAAGTCTGGTGAGGGCTAAAAACTAATATTTTGATTAACATTTCTACTGAGAATTTAAAAAAAAATGTACCTGAGGGTTTAGGTAGCGATTTGTTAAACTGTCTCTGCCATGCCAATAGTAACTTCCTATCTCCTTCCCTGGTACATCATATATATATATGAAATAGTTCAACGTAAGACCAGATGAAGTCAACACAATAGCTCATCTAAGTAGAACGGTACCCTGAAACTATGTAACAATGGACTCCTTCATGTTGTTACCTTTTTGAGAAGTATTGAACCATTGAAACCATGCATCTAGACGTACAAAAGCAAGGTCAAGGAATGACAAGATTTGATCTCTTTCTTCCTTGTTAAATTTATCTGCCCTTATCCCATTTATCAGGTCTGGTAAAAAAATTAACATTAATCTGCAAGCATGTAGCAAGGTGAACAATGTACTAGCAATCTTGACGACAAGATTTCTTACCGCGTATCACCAAAAGTAGTGTAGGTGGATTGCCATTACTTGGGATCTGAACAACGTACTCCTTTGGCATCTTACTGCAGAAAGAAATACACTTAAAAGAGTTATTGATATACAAACAACAAGAAGCAATAATGATGATGACTCTGTTGAGGTTAGTAGCTAAGAGTATGTATATAAGAACCTCAGAGCTTCATCTCCCAAGACTTGCTCACGGGGAATCCATCCATCTATGTTCATCAAGTCTAACCAGTTTCCAAGGATCTCCAAGGTTATACGGAAATCCCAGCGCCTGAAACCCATCCACATAGAACAATCCTTTAAAGAAACTTATCAAGAAAAATGTTTTTTCAGCCTACTGAATGATTCATATGTAACAACTAACCAGACCAACAGTTGATGGAAGCCTTCGTCCCACAAAAATCCTCTAGGAAAATTGGGCCTGCTTGGAACTGCTGTGTACAGCTCAGCTGGCCAATATAGCAAGAACTCATCCTCACTTTTATCCTGCAACTAAAAACTATTAGACTCTCTGAATCTGTTTCTTATAAGGGTGGGTTGGATGTAATTTGAAGCATCAGAAAAAAGCAAGAAAAATGAAAACCACCTTGGTACTTTTAGGAGCCTGAACTTTTGATTGACCATAGAAGTAACCAATGCCACCAAGCATGTTCCCAATTGCAGCTTTACCAACCATCAACGTTTCAGAATCAAGCTGTAATCAGAGGAACTAAGATGAAGAATGATTTTTCACAAGCCACACTTAAGTAGTAAGCAGTCTATGGTCAAATATACATCCAACTAGACCATTTGATGTGCTAAAGATCAGCTACTACATTGGTAGGTCTGAAGTTTCAAATTAATAAAAAGAGTAGAGTCAAACCTTTTCAGAAAGGTGGAAGCATTCCTTGAACTTTTCATCAAATGCTACATGTTTCTCTTCAAGTAGACTAGAGAGTGACGAACCTACATAGAAAATAAGATGGGAAATTAGCTCAAAGGCATATAAGTAGACAAAGATAAAACTAAAATGACTATGCAGAAGCTTTGTTATTCAGAAAATGTAATCTAATCTGCATCAAAATAACCAGAAAGATTACAGACCTGTAAGACTCATTATACGCTGCTCCATGTCAGAAGTTTCTCTTCTTATCCCAGAGACAAAGGCAATATCAATAGTAGACTGAGTTGTTGTGGTAATCTGCATGAAAAAATGGTGATTAGGGATGAAGCGCAACATTTAAGTCATATCTTGAATCTATATTGATTACCTGAAAAGCATAAATGCTGGAAGAATCCTCTGATGTATCAGAGAGCTGGACTCTTCCAGAGTTGTTTTCCTGAAAATATACAAGCCAAGAGGGCAAGATAATAAGCAGTGTTCTCTTCTTAAACAAAATAAAATAAAAGATATAACCTGTACAGAGAGATTTTTCTGAACAGCATCAGAGATATTGACAATGTCAGGCTTCTTGAAACCGCAGTAATGTGTTTCAAGCCGAGCCTGCAAACAAAAGAGCAGCGGTTATATTCAAGAAATAGAACAACTGATGTGAAGATCCTATGATCTTTAAAAAGTAGTGAAAATAAAACTTTACTTGTGACTGTGAAGTTAAGTGCATCTGCCAGATTCCTACGTCTGCACGTGAACCAGAAGCCAGGAGAGAACTCTTTTTAAGTCCCAATACATCTTTGCCTAAGTTTAGAGCATTGCCACTTTCATCGGCTACATAGAAGAAGAGATGTACGGTTCTCTTTACTTCATCATTCAACCTAAATTCCAGCCCAAAAATAATTTGTAAGCCCTACCAAACATTGGTATCTCATAAGCAACAATTATGTAAAGCATAGAGACAACAGTTAATACTTATGAGTAGTTACTTACTCTTTGTTTTTAAGATTGATTCGAACTGACCAATCCCCTCCATAACCAAGGCTTCCTTCTTTAGTCTTGACAAAACTTGTCTCCAATATCATGTCTTGATCAAGAAGCTCTTGCCTCCCAAAATCTATTCCATTGTGTTCTCTCCAACCAAATGACTTAAGATCTTCAGAGTTTTCACAGAAATGCCTCATGTGCTTCCCATCATCTTTCTCATCACTGAGCCACATCAAGCCAGCAACGAGAGACTGAGGAGTTCTGCATATGTCATATACAACTTAGCAGCTTATAAAACAAAGGAACACAGTTTCACATCATATGGGAGAATGATTAGCTTCACTTTAGCTGTCAGATCGTAAGATGATTTTAGTGTTCTCTCACTATTTCACATTTATCATCAGTACATTCATATCTGTGCAGAATAACTGATTCTCACATACAACATCATCTCAGACTATGATAGACAAACAAAGACTTATACTCCTATTGGTGTAATAAGTAGGACTGGTCACAAAAGCTGAATCCGATAATATTGAACCAAATCCAGTCCGATAAAATAGTACCAAACATGAATCTAAACAGTTAAATATCCGAACGGATTCCAAATTTTGGTATCTAAAAAACCCGAAACAGTCCCAGACAAAGATATATTAGATATATGAATTAGATGTATATGCTTAAATATATTAGTTATTTTAGATTTTTTTTTGAAACACAGTTATTTTAGATATAATATCCAAAAAATATATAAAATATTTTGAAACTGTCCAATATATCTTATATATTGGATATTTAGTTATCCAAATAATATACAAATAGTCATAAGTAAATAGGTAAAATATCTAAACAATATTTAAAACATCAAAATATTTAAAATATCTTTTAATTCTCTATTGAAATATTCAAGCAAAACCAATTGTTATGTTAAGTTAGATATTTTGGTATATGTTATTCAAATTTATATATTATTTCTATTAGATTTGGAGAAATTTAAAGTATATGAATTTTAAAATTTTAAAATAATTTAAACTGGTTATCCAAACTTGAACCGAAACCGAACCAAAATTTAATAAATATCTGAATGGGGTTGAGATCTTTAATCCCTAAAAATCAAAACTCGAATAGTTTCCAATCCAACCGAATGGGTATCTGATCACCCTACTTTTATAACAAGACTAAAGCAACAGGGTTTCTTTTCAAATTAATACCTCGCTCGAACTCCAAAGTACACTTGTGGACGATAAGTTCCCCAATACAAGCTTTCTTTATGATCACCTTGAAACTTGAAACAAGAAGCTCTAATTTCAGATTCACCACATAGAGAAGATCAACAAGAGAAAAGAAAAACAAATGAATAGTAGAGAGTATACCATAGGTAAGTGGGAGAGTTTAGGAGCAGGAAAAGGAGTGATAACACGAGGAATCTGAAATTCATCAGGTGCAATCATCTTATGGCTTGCTCCTCCAGTCATCATCTGAGGATCGGAGTATATGACAATACTAAGGTTCGGAGTAATGTTCTGCTTTGTGAATGATCTGAGAAAGCGAAGTCTATAGCAGGGTGGACTTTTTAACAAACCATGGGGTCTGGTCTTTTGTACTTCTTCTTTTAGTAGTTGTTGGGTGGTCACTTACTTTTTTAGTCATTTTTTAAAGAGACTTTCTAAGTCAAGAAAGTCTTTTTCTATCACCCTAGTTTTATTGAAGAGGTTCTGTCGTGATGGGATAGTGATCGTGACAGAATAACAACGTATATGTTGAATAAAAGAATTTACAAGCATATACTAAATTGCAAAAAATGATGCCTACTCATAAGTTGGTATCTAATTTTCCACCAAGCCGCTACTAAACTCAGTATAACTTCCTCTAGATCAGCTCTAGCGGAGCGCCGTGCGTTAAAGAAACTCATTGACAGGGCACGTGTGGAAGAAGACAAGCGTAAAGAGTCTATTGTAGCTCACTCCAAGCTCTTCAGAAATGAGATCACTGATGAGAATGACTCTCAGGGCTCACCACCATCTTCTCCCACTGCTAATGAAGACCGTGTTCATGCGTTTGGGCGTCAACTATCTAAGTTTGGTTCTGTTAACTTTAGGAAGTCAAGGACAGGTTCCAACTCCACCAGAAGAACTGAGATGTCCTATATCTTTGCAGCTTATGTGTGATCCTGTCATTGTTGCTTCTGGACAGACTTATGAACGGGTCTGTATTGAGAAATGGTTTAATGATGGACATAACTCTTGTCCCAAGACTCAGCAGCAGCTTCCACATCTTTCATTGACTCCCAAGACTCAGCAGCTGAATAGGATCTCAGTCCCTACTGAACCACCAGAATCTCTTGACCTCAACTACTGGAGACTAGCATAATCAGAACTCTCCAACTCCTAGCGTCAACAGGTGACCACTTGTGGATAGAGAAGTCACTAACCGTGTTACTGTACCTAGCCTCTAGCAAGGAAGGGAAAGAAGAGATGATATCATCACAAGGCATGAAGGATCAACACTCTTGCAACGGTGCTAGACAATGGTGACACCATCGAACAAGAGCAAGCAGTTTCTTGTCTTGTGATACTATGTACGGGAAGCGAGAAGTGTAGACAGATGGTTCTACAAGAAGGAGTGATTCCTTCTCTGGTTTCAATCTCGGTGAACGGAAGTCCCCGGGGGAGAGATAAGTCTCAGAAGCTTCTGATGCTGTTCAGGAAACATAGGCAGAGAGAACAGCCGTCGCTGAACAAAGATGAAGCTCCAAGGAAAAGCGTATCGGCACCGTTACCAATGTATGTAGGTTCTGAAGCTTCAGATCCAGAGTCAGAACTAAAACATTTGTCTAAATCAATCTCAAGAAGTAAGTCATTGACAAGACCATTCAGCTTCCTCTGGAAGAGAAGCTACTCGCTCCACCATTAAGATAGACACATTAACACACTCATTTGTAAAGTTTTGTTTTTTGTTTTGTTTTGTTTACAACTCGTACCTCTTTAGAAGTCATCTTGATAGATAAAGATAGATATGTACAGAACACTTTGTCATCACTCTATTTTTGCTCAGCTTTCCTCTCTCACCAGAGGTATCCATGTAGATAGCTTACCCATGTATCAGATATGAAACTACACTTTTAGTTACAAAACAAAAGCCTCTTCAGTTTTTGTTTCTTCTCAGCCTTGAAGCAGAACAGAACTTAATCTTCTTTTTCTTTGTCGTAACAAAAAAAGAAATTATAAAAAATATTTTCTGTGATAAAAAAAAAAGAGAATAATTATTATGGAAACTAACGAACCACGTATGAAATCGAGTTAGGCATTAATTAAAATAAAAAATATAAAAAGGGAAGTTCGTAAAACAGTCGGCCCCACCACTTGCCCGTCGGCGTCTCCGTCGTCCCTATCACAGTAACTCCGTCATCTCTCGTTTCTTAAACCCTACTTTTTTTTTTTTTTTTGGACAAATTCTTAAACCCTACTTAAAAGTTCGTCTTTGGAGTTTAATGTGTAACTCTTTCATGATTTAGATTCTTCAGAACCTGAAAAGTCTTCTTCTTCTTGATTGTATTTCAGGAGCTGAAGTCAGAGCTTTCCCTCTCAACGAGTTTCAAGCTCCAGCTCTAGCTTCTCGGCCATGGCATTTCTTGGCCTGATCAAGAGGGTTTCACGGATTAGCAGAAACAACTCGAGGGTCAGAGTGTACTCAGCGAGACACTTCCAAAGCAGAGACCTTTCAAACTCAAGTTTTGGAGATACTAAGCTTCCTGTTCTCATCGTCGGCGCTGGACCTGTAGGTCTCGTTTTATCCATCCTTCTCACCAAACTAGGTACTCTTTACATTGAAAAGTACTTCCTTTGTCATTTCCGAATACGTTTTGAGCTTTTCGTGAGTTCATGTCTTTGTTTGAATTGGATTCTCAACTTTCTCATATTTAGGTGTGAAATGTGCTGTTGTTGACAAATCCACAAGCTTTTCTAAACATCCACAAGCTCATTTTATCAACAACCGGTCCATGGAGGTTGGTTTGTTTTGTGTGTGTTCCTTGTGGTTAATTTTGTTTCTGGTGGTCGTCTTTGATTTATGATCCTTACTTTTCATATGCTTAGATCTTTCGTAAATTGGATGGATTAGCTGGAGAGATTGAAAGATCACAGCCTCCTGTAGATTTGTGGAGAAAATTTATTTACTGTACGTCTCTCTCTGGTTCAACTCTAGGCACAGTGGACCACATGCAGCCTCAAGGTGTGTTCTTCTCTACCATTTTTTCTTGTAAGGAAAATTTGCAAGGCCTTTCAGAGATGTTTATTGTTGTGTGTTTTAATCAGATTATGAAAAGGTTGTTAGCCCTGCTTCCGTTGCTCACTTCTCTCAGTATAAATTGACAAGCTTAATGCTTAAGCGGTTGAAAGATCTTGGCTTTAGTGTTCAAAGTTCGAAGGAATGGGATGGTCTTGACTCTGTTGTTGCGGGGAAAATTCTTATGGGTCATGAGTGTGTGGCCATTGATGCTGACAAGGAAAGTGTTACTGCAACTGTTGCTTTTTTCAAAGGAGGCAAGCGTGTGGAAAGAAACATCCAATGTGGTTTACTGGTTGGTGCTGATGGTGCTGGGAGTGTTGTAAGAAGGCTCACAAAAGTAGAAATGCGTGGGGAAAGAGATCTGCAGAAGCTTATTAGTGTACATTTCATGAGCAGGGAGCTCGGTGAGTACTTGATCAATAACAGACCAGGGATGTTGTTTTTCATTTTCAACACTGGAGGTATAGGAGTTCTCGTTGCCCATGATCTTCTACAAGGAGAGTTTGTTTTGCAGGTAGATATAGCCTAGGATGCTTTAGTCTCAATTAGTCTTACTTCATATACAGTTGCTTAGCGTGTAACCATTTCATTTTTACTGCAGATTCCATTCTATCCTCCTCAGCAGAGTCTATCTGATTTCAGTCCGGAGGTACACCTCCGTAGTCTTATCTCAGTCTCAACTGTGACCAAGTTCAAATGTGATTTGTGTAACGAGTGATATATTCTTGTAGATGTGCAAGATGCTGATATTCAATTTGGTGGGACATGAGCTTTCAGACTTGGATGTAGCTGATATTAAGCCATGGGTCATGCATGCTGAAGTCGCCGAGAAATTCATGTGCTGTGAGAACAGAGTGATACTTGCTGGTGATGCTGCTCACAGGTTCCCTCCTGCTGGAGGTTTTGGTATGTCTTCCAATTCTTTTCAAAAAGTGAACCATACACTGGTTCTTTCACAGTTTTGTCGTGTGTGATGATTAATTTTGAAAGAAATAAATGACTTTTGCAGGAATGAACACTGGAATTCAAGATGCTCATAATCTTGCATGGAAAATAGCAGCTCTTGTTCAGGGTTCTGCAAAATCTTCTATTCTTAATACTTATGAAACAGAGCGTAGACCGGTATTTTGCTTATCTTTTCTAACTTTTTCTTGCCATCCTCTCTTCTTAACTTGATTCATTTTTATATGCATCTCACTGTTACACTGCTAGATTGCCCTTTTCAACACTTCTCTCAGCATTCAGAACTTCAGAGCAGCTATGTCGGTTCCTGCAGCGCTAGGTCTTGACCCAACAATTGCAAACTCAGGTAAACTAAAACTAGCTTTTTCTTCTTGCTGAGTTCATCGTTCTGTAATCAGCTTTGCAGTAATTATATCTCTGTGGTGTTGTAGTTCATAGGTTTATAAACAAAACAGTCGGTTCCATCCTTCCAACGGGGCTGCAAAAGGCAATCTTGGATAATGTCTTTGCATTAGGTCGTGCACAGCTTTCGGAATCTGTGTTGAATGAGAGCAACCCCCTGGGACATCAGAGACTTAGCAGACTAAAGAGTATATTCGAAGGAGGAAAAAGCCTTCAGCTACAGTTTCCTGCAGAGGATCTTGGTTTCAGGTATCATCATCTTTTGTAAACTGATATCAGCGGGGAGAGTGTGACTTTTAATGTTCTAACCACTGTGTTTACTATTTAGGTATCTAGAGGGAGCCATTGTTACTGATAACGAGTCTGGAGCTGGTGATCTTGAAGCACCAAGTGGTCGTAGAAGAGACTATGTTCCTTGTGCTGAACCAGGTTTAAGACTGCCTCATATGTATGTGAAAGTTCTGTCAGATTCCACAAGAGAGGATATTGTTTCTACACTGGATCTTGTTTCAGTCGACAAAGTGGAGTTTCTACTTATAATATCTCCCTTACAAGAGTCCTATGAGCTAGCTCGCGCTACACTCAAAGTGGCAAAAGAATTTAAGGCTAATGTAAAGGTATGTGTAATCTGGCCTAGTAGTTGTAATGATGGTGCTGTAAGGGAGAGCAAATCAGCATTAGCTCCATGGGATTATGTTGTGGACGTTATGGAAGTTAAAGAACAAAGTGGTGAAGAAGCTTCTTGGTGGAGTATATGTAAGATGTCAGAGAGAGGTTCTATTTTAGTACGTCCAGACGAACACATTGCTTGGAGTATGAAGTCTAGTGTTCCTTTGGACCCTACTCTGCACATGAGAGATGTCTTCACCATCATACTTGGTAAACAATGAGTCAATGAACAATGCAAATTACTCCACAGATTCTTTGTATTCTATTTATTTCCAAATAAAATCACAGACGTCTTTCAAGTTTTCTTTACATAAAATGTAGAATGTTAAGGATACTACATTCACAAATAAGAAATGTATACTGTAGTGACTCAAACTAAAGGTTTTCATTGCAAATCTGTTTCGGTTCTGTCCACTACCCAGCGGTTTCAGTAGGCAGATGAGTTGTGTGTATGATTGTTTCGTTCACGTTAGCTAGTAGCTATCCTGGTAAATAAGTATCCAGTGACTGCTGTGACACTTCCAAGCATTCCACCAGCAACGACCTGATCTCTCAGCAAACGGAAAACATAATTTGATGAGAACAAGAACTCTATTCATACCAAAGCACAGCGACAAAACAAAGAGTAGTTCATATAACAATCAAAGTAAAAAGAAACTAGAGATTGTTCTAGAGATTGTTAAACCAACTGCGTAATACATACCTGGGGAGGGGTATGACCAAGAAGTTCACGCAATGGTCTGCTTTCAGAGAGTGGATGGTCTGCAGGAAGTTCGAACACAATCTGATTGAGAACCTGGAAAACGAATAAGCCCCCAAAGATCAGAATACCAGACCTCAAATGCATCATAACAAAATCAAAAGTAGTAGTTCTTTTATAGAAATAAAGGATAAAAAGTCCATAAAACAAAGAAAAAGCCGGAGAAGCAATTAAAACCTCAGCTTGGCGACCCGCATGTAATCTCACACCAGTGGCATCATACATCACCTGCCACCCAAATCAATAACATATAATAATATAAACAAACAACAGAGAAAGTAGCTTAAGAGAGTAACATCCCACGAGGTGAGCCAAACTTACAACAGAAGCCAAGATCAAAGCAATAGCGAAATGTGAACCACCAAAGCCTTCCTGTAAACCAATAGCAACAGCGAGAGCAGTAACGGTAGCTGAATGAGAAGAAGGCATTCCTCCGGAACCAAGAAGCTGTTTGAGATCCCATCTCCTTTCCTTATACCTGAAACATGTAAAAGAATCCTCTATTCTTGTCAAAATCGATCCTTTTCCTACTATAAGAGGATATAAGTCTATAACAAGATCACTCATTTTTACTATGAATGTAGGAAACAGGACGTACCAGGAGGTGAAGAGTTTGATGAACTGAGCGATGGTGAAAGCCGTGAGGGAGGAGATTAGAGGGTAGTTCGTGAAAATAGACCAGTAATGAGGCGAAGACGTAGCCGTATCTGTAGAATCCTCCATGGCTTCAAATGTGGGAGATAACTTCAGCTAGAGAGGAGGAGAAGAAGAAGAAGACAAATAGAGTAATCCATAAGGAATCGTTTTAGGGAATGTTCTTTGTTCCAAAAGTCTACCCAATGGCGTCTGCGTAGACGTTCAATCTTTATTACTCACTCTTCTTCTTCGTTATTTCCTTTGACCCAACACTCTGTTTTCGCCAGAACCGATAGAAATTTAAAAAGATTGGTTTGATTTGGTATATAACCGGGTTGGTTTACTACTAATCAAAGTTGAATTTGGTTCGTTTATACCCTCTTCCGACCATAAAACATAACTAAACACTGCACGACACAACAAGTTAACAACCTCGGTCGTATCGATTTTCGAACCTTTTATTTATTTTTCTCCTGAAATTATATATATATCTTTAGAAAATAATAAATACAAAAAAAAATTCAGGACTTTTTCTTTCTTCGCCTCTCTCTCTCTGAGTCGATCTTTACGAGGTTCACTAATCACTAGTACGGACGACCATTTCTATCTCCTCAACTCTCACAGTCTCAGTCCCATGGCCACCACCGTCGCGGCAACAAAGCTCACCTCCTTGAAAGCCACCACCGTCGGGAAGCTCGGTTACCGTGAGATCAGTCAGGTCCGGCAATGGGCTCCGCTTCAGTCTGCGATGCCTCATTTCGGTGTCCTGCGATGTGGATCACCACAGCCATTTGCAACCTCCACTGGTATTCAACTTTTCCTTGGCAGTTTTTTTCCTTTAAGATTTGATATCTCTCTGTTGTCATTAGATTGTAATCATCTTCTCGCACGCAGTTGTGAAAGCTCAAGCCACTGCTGTTGAGCAAACAACGGAAGAAGCTGTTCCGAAAGTGGAATCTCCAGTTGTTGTTGTGACTGGTGCCTCTAGAGGGATTGGTAAAGCTATTGCTCTTTCCTTGGGCAAAGCTGGCTGTAAGGTTTGGACTTTTACACATTGTCTCCCTTTGTTTTGAATTCATAATAGTTTTTATAAATTTTGTATGTAAAAGACATTCACTTTGCACTATGTTCGTCTTGAAGTAGTCTTTTGAGTCATCAAGATTTTAGCTCAGTTTGGCTTGCAGTGTCTCTCCCTAGTGTTGTAACCATAAGTTTTAGTTATTGGTTTTACAGAAATGAATTAGGTAAGGCCTAATGCTCTGAAACATTGTGTTTCCTACTTGCAGGTGTTGGTGAATTATGCTAGGTCAGCAAAGGAGGCTGAAGAAGTTTCTAAGCAGGTGATTGATGCTCTTAATTTCTTTGGTTTCGCAGCTTTAGACCGATAAATCATAAATCTTTGGTTTGCAAACGGGTGATTTTATTGCTACAAAAAGAAATGTGGCACCTTTTGAGTTTTGCAATGTATCCTTGAAATTTTTTTTTTGGTTTCTGAGACAAGAAATGAGTTAGAACTGGATTTTCTGGTTCTGGAAAATGTTTCATTGTTCGGTTTCTTGTTGATGCTTCATCCAATCCCTTTGTAATTTCATCTTTCACCTAATAAATAACATCTCTCACCTTATATATGCCAGTAGTGTTTTCATCTACCATGTCCCCTTATTTCCTTGTCTTATTTATGGACTTTGTAGATTGAAGAATATGGTGGCCAAGCTATTACTTTTGGAGGCGATGTCTCGAAAGAGGCTGATGTGGAAGCCATGATGAAAACCGTTAGTGATCATTTCTACTCTTTTATCTTATAATTCTCCTGCATCTTAACATTTTCCTTCCGTATAATTTTTCTGCAGGCTGTTGATAAATGGGGAACCATTGACGTCGTAGTTAACAATGCAGGTATATGAAAACCTTGGTTCCCCATTGATTTTTACTTAGTATCTTACTGACATAACTGCATAATAATCAGGAATTACCAGGGATACCTTGTTGATAAGAATGAAGAAATCCCAATGGGATGAAGTGATGGAGTTGAATCTCACTGGAGTGTTTCTCTGTACCCAGGTTAGTATTCCTGCTGAAGTTTTTGATACTCAGAATCTTAGAAACTGCAACTCATATATACTCCATGTAGGCTGCAACAAAGATCATGATGAAGAAGAGAAAGGTATTATTTCACTTCACCTTCTCCATTAAATCTCTAAATTGTCACTGCCTTCATTCTCACATGTTTTCCATTGTTTTCTTGACGAGCATGATTGATGGTATAGTTTTGCATATGATCTTGCAGGGAAGGATCATCAACATAGCGTCAGTTGTTGGTCTCATTGGTAATATTGGGCAAGCCAACTATGCTGCTGCTAAAGCTGGAGTTATTGGGTTTTCCAAGACTGCAGCCAGAGAGGGTGCAAGCAGGAATATAAATGTATGTAACCTATCTTCCTCATCATACTCCTTTTTTCTTTCCTTGGACAAAGATTTTAAACTTGGTCCATCGACGAATTTGTTCTTTTACAGGTCAATGTGGTTTGCCCTGGATTCATTGCATCTGACATGACTGCCAAGCTTGGAGAAGACATGGAAAAGAAAATCTTGGGAACAATCCCATTAGGTAAATAAATAGAGGATTCAACGATTACATTTGAATGTATCTGATACAAAGCAATTTTTCAGGACGATATGGACAACCGGAAGATGTAGCTGGCTTGGTAGAATTCTTGGCTCTCAGTCCTGCGGCGAGTTACATAACTGGACAGGTTAGCTTTCACTCGTATCAAGTGAAGATTTGGTATTAGCCTTGGTTTATGTTTATGTTCTCTGCCTAACCATGGTTAAAATGGTTGTTTGCAGACTTTCACCATCGATGGAGGTATTGCAATCTAGGCCTTAGGCAAAACGGTTTGGTAAAACAAACAAAGTTGGAGTTGTTGTTGGCACTTGGTCGAATTTCTGTTTTGTGGATTCTTTTTTGTTGATTCTTTTTTGGAGATAAAAGATTTAAAACACATTGCTTAAACAAGGTTATTATATGTTTTTCATAATTTGTAATAGCATAATTATCCAGACAAAGTTATTATATACTTCATCTATTCATAATATATATCATTGTAGATAAAATCACAAAAAAATGAAAATTTAGTATTTAAAAAGAAATATCATTTAATATATAAAATTTGATAAACAAATCATAAATATATCGGTATAATTTGATTGGTCACATTATACATAGAAGTAACATAGCAATGCAAAAACAATTTATATTTTGAAACACAAAAAGACAAATTCTAAAACTATTTATATTACAAAACAGTTGGAGTATACAAATCAAAATATTTTATGATGTCATTACTTAAGGTTCTAGGAACATGAAATCAGTTGAATGAAGTTTAACATTTTGAGATATCTCTTGTTTTTATAAACTTATTAATCCAAGCTCAAACACCTATATATCTTGTAGGATTATGTCAGTTTTCAAATTTGTCATTTTCATCATATAACATCGCATCTTAGACTATATGATCTAGTGATCAAGTCATCATCATACATCACCAAGCCATAAAGTTACGAAATGACAAAAGAACCGGGAAATGTAGAGCTTTAAATAATAAAAAGCAAAAAAAAACATACATTATTCCGAGTCTTCAACTAAATACTAAAAGCTTAAACAGGAAAACAGACAGCCGTAGAGAAAACGAGACAGGCCGCGATTATTTCCTTATATCAAACTTTTCTTGTGCAACAAGAAAACTAAGAGAAGAACTTGTAGGTGCTTGCATTGATAATGATGGTTCTGAGTCCACCAATGGGTGCTAGGACCGTCAATATAACTCCTACTATAATGCAAAACTGCAAATTTTCATTTTTTACACAAGAAAATGTATTAGCGTACAAGAAAAATACAAGAACTATAGATCATTAGTAACAAAAAAAAAGAACATACCCAGTTAATCGTCCAGGATAGACCAAACCTCTTTGGTTTCTTGAGAATGAGCCACATAATGCATGGAAGCTGCAGTGGCAACATTAATATGTGTGTGTTATATCATAAATCATAATTGTAGTTTTTATAAAAATCAATAATCAGGAATACTATACGTAGTAAGTTGTTGGGGCAAAGGCAAATCCTCCAAAGAAACCGAGTAGTCCACCAAAAAACGGGACACATATTGCAACGAACATAGTGAAAGCTGCACGGTCAAAATTACACCACAAATCAGATTAATGTATAGACTAATGGAAGTTGTATGTATAAAATAATGAGTACGTGTGACTTACCAACATAGAGACTGCGAGTGACGAATCGGAGTGTGAAGGAAGGATCAAAATTCATCTTCTTGACCAAAACGGTTTCAAGCATGTCAAACACCGGCATTGCAAAGATCTGTTACATGTCAAATATTCATGTTATATTCTTAAATACAATCAGTGATAAAATAAGTAGAATGTTTCTAGACCTGATAGCTTCCAATAACGTGGACGACCACAAACAAGTTAGCCATTGCGATAAGCCAAACTGGCTTCTCCAAAGTCATGAGAATGTTGTCATCAACACTGTTTCCAAAGATCCAGTAGCCTAGGAACGCTACAGGGAAGTAGCAAATGGCGACTACTATGTAAGCTACAACGACTCCTCTCCACATTGGAATCTTTGATGGCACCTCCGGAGTCGATGGGATCGTGGCCTGAATCTCCAACACGACGTTGTGACCTGCGTAAGCAAATGCCACATCTCCCATAGCGTTCAAGAAGTTGAATATTTTTCCAGCATCTGTCGAGGCTTTGTACGAGTAGTCTACATCTGGTTTAACCCCTTTGTGCACCGATGAAACCCAAGCGATAGTTGAGTAGCTACAAAACGCATCACACAAAAATTACAAACCAATATATTATCATCGCAATAAATGGAAGTGAAACGTTACGTTCAAGTTAAAAAACAAAACTTAACGAATGTGTTTAAGAGTTTTTTTTGCTTTTAAAGCAAAAAATGTAAATATCATTTCAAGAAATGAATTTAAGAGGTCTTACCTTAAGGACATAATGGCAGCGGCGAGTGAGATGCCCGAGATGGAGTTGAAGTTGGGTAGGTGAGAGATGACGAAATGGACCGAAGCAAAGATCATGATCCAATATGTGGTTCTGATGTCTTTGCAATCAGAGCAGAGGAGTTCATGGACTTTCTTGAGAGACTTTCCTCCCGTGACCATGTAAACGATGTCGACACCGACCTCCACGATGAGTTGTTGAGGCACAACGATCCAAAGACCAAGCTTCTCGCCAAAAGCTTCTTGGCCAAGCTCGTGATATCTGTCAAGCCTCTTCCCTGGTACAATCTCGTGCATCTCCACCATTTGCCATAGTGTGTACAAAGTTATCAGCCATGACAGTATCATTAACGTCACGCCAGGTCCCCTATGATCAACAAAAGAGTATATATATATAGTGAATACAAATCAAATAAGTGAATCATGGGCATAACAAGATGAAGCATTCGCTTATATATATCCCATAAAATATTAGTGGTTAATATGTATATATTATTTGATAACAAAAAAAAAATGTATATATTATTTGGTCTCCAAAATGATTATGAAAAATATATGTTTAGTAATTGTTTTCAAGCCCCATAAATCTCAGAGCCGGCTAACATACCATCCGAGATTGGACATAGCGTAGGGCAAGCTGAGAACACCAGCACCAACCATGGCAGTAACATTGTGGAAAGCAGAGTACCACCACTTGGCCTTTCTCGAGGATGTGATCGGTAACCAGTCGTCGACTTTCTTCTGCTTAGCAGCAGCAATCTCGCTCGCTGACATTTCGCTCTTACTCATATTGTTCTTTGAGGAATACTGTTTTGAGATATAAGAAGATTTTAGGGTGAGGTTGAAGAGATGAGAGTTATGTAGTATTTATAAGAGTGGACAAGATTCGAGATTCACTCACTTTAACGACTTAGTTATTATTATTTATTTTTGTAATAAACAGATTTGAGATTCAAGTTGGTTATGTTACTAAATATTTTGGTCTTAATCCGTTGTATAAGGCAACAACAGCTGAGAAACAGTTGATGTTTTATTCCCACCACTTGTTCTGTAATGACTGAATTCACATGTATTTTTTTCACATGTATTTTTTTTATTTGTGTAAAGATAAAAGATTTTCTCTTCATTCAGATCATCTGATTGCATTTCATGAATCTTTTAATCTGGAAATAAATATCTTGAAGATCTAACAAGATATTTTAGCCAACTGGATAATACATATAACTTTAATTTATTCTTAGGAAAAAAGAAAAACTTGCATCTGGATGATCCCAAGAGTTGATACCTTTCCTTATTTTAATATGTTTGCATCTCTTTTTCATTTTCTTACATCATTACATGTATATTACAGTGTTTTTTTAACTCAACGTCTAAAATAGGGTTACATTTCCATAATAACTGTGGGTATGGAGAGTGAATTAGTCTTGAATATATAACGAAGGTACCGTAATGGTTAAAAAGACTCACTTGCACCTCGTGATCTTTACAAAAAGAAAAAAACTTAACTATCGAGAAATAATTATTTTCTTTTTAGTTTCCTTATATCTGAATCAGTAGACCAAATATTTATTCTAATCATCAAAATTTACGCTAAAAGATAACATACCACTTTATACGAAGCATAAATAGTATCGTAAATGGATGTAAAAAGAAAATAGTACCGCAAATGAAACATATTTTTTTTTAAATGAAATTTAATTTGAAACGAAATGAACTGTTTCTTTAAATATGAGTCAACGGATGATACAAATAGTAATACTGTGATATTTTATGCCAGTGTGTATGTATACTCCCAAATAAGGAAAGGTGAATCACAAATAAAATAAGACGCAACAATCAAAAGCAGATAGTTTTTGAAAACTTTGATAATTGATTCCATGATTAACACAGTGGAAATGGAAATAATGCTGGGTATGACAGGCCAGAGATACTGAAGACTTAAAATAATTTATATATATATATATATATATATATTGCTTAAAATGCCAATATAGTAACAGGCTGGACATTTCTTCTCTTAATTTTGACTAGATTCCTTAGCAAAAAAAAAGTTTGATTCGATTTCTTTTCAATTCGATCCAAAACCCATATATCTATAAGTCTCTAAATCAAATTAAATATTAAAAATTAATATTCATTAAAAAACAAATCACAAATATTAAAAAAAGTTAGATTCGGATATCTGATGCATTCGAATATTTTTACAGATAGATATATATATATATATATATATATATATATATATATATATATATATATATATATATATATATATATATATATATATATATATATATATATATAATTTCTATAATAATTATTTTAGCATATAATTTTATTAGTTTTATTTACTTTATTTATAAATTACTTACAAAAGTATTAAATTAATAAAGGAGTATAAATTTTTTTATTCAATTACAATTCTCTGTAAAAAATTTAAATACTTTTAAAATTTTATGGAACTTTTAGTTTGTCTAATTGTTGCTTTTTATTTTATATCATGTAAAATATATTTTGTGAAAATAACCTTGTATAATTTTTTAATAAATCTATACTATTATATAAGAAGTAAATTTGTTTTGTTGTCATATTCTCCATAAATTTAGGTAATTTTGTTTATTTACTTTATTTATTATTTAATAAAAATGAATTTATATTAATAAATTATATTTTAGAAAATATGTTAATTATTTTGTATTAAATTGTTATCTTAAAAATATATTTTTCTATTATAAAATTCAAAGGAATTTACTAATTGATTTGTAACTTCTCCATGATTTTTGTAATTTTTCTTATTTGTTATATTTTTAATAATTTTATGAATAATTTATCAGATAATAAAACGAATTTCTATTAATAATATTAGAATTTTAGAAAATAAGATAATTCTTATGTATTATATTGTTATCTTTAAAATATATTTAAAAAACAATCATATAAATTAAAAATTAAGTTAAAATATAAATAGTTTTTTCATGTTTTTTATGTATTAATAAATAGTTAAATATAAAGAAAGCAATGTTGATTTATTAACTTCTCCATGGTTTTATATTTTGCTTATTTATCATATTTTAATAATTTCATATATAATTTATTAAATAATAAAAAGAATGTATACTAATAATACTAGATTTAAAAAATAAGATAATTCTTATGTATTAGACTGTTATCTTGAACATATATTTTCTATTAGAAAATTTAAGTGAATTATCTGATTTGTAATTTCTCCATGATTTATATAATTTTGATTATTTGTCATATTTTTAATAATTTCATATAAAATTTATTATAAAATAAAAAAGAATTTCTATTAAAAATTATATTTTGAGAAAATAAGATACTTCTTATGTATTATATTGTTATCTTGAAAATATATTTATTATTATAGAATAAAAAATTAAGATAGAAAAAAATTATAATTAAAATATATTTATAAAAATATTTTGTTATGTGAGTGTTGTCATTTATAATTAATTTTAAAACATAAATTATAACTTATTATATTAGTTTGAAATAATAAATTATAGACAAAATAATAAATTATACCAAAATTATGCCCGCATGTGCGGGTAAAACACCTAATGTAACTTGTATTAAACAAAGTAAATGAAATATTCGAAATAAAAAATTAGAAAATTAGATATTCATTAACTACTACGCAAATCACAAAAAAAAATATGATAATGTTATATCTGTGTCCAGCCCTAATAACGAATACATGCTAACATCAGAAGATATTAATGGTTTTCATAGATAATCGCAAAAAAAAAGGTATTATCTGTATCACACAACTCATTATCGTATCATCCAATCTAAACATTGCAATTGTATAATGATCTCTATTTGGGAGAAACAAAAGATATAAGATTTTCACTTTCATTTTCACAAGTCTGTCCGCAAAATAATGATCTCTATTTGTGATATTTGTTTTAAGTGCCCATGAACCATTTATCCTCTAAATCAGTATGTGCACTGCTGCTAGGGCTCTGATAGTCAATCGGGTAACATACGCACCAACAATAATATATACAAAACGTCAGACACACATCTCTATATGTCTTGTAATTTATGCATGTGAGTACTTTTTTTGTTGAAAAAGTATGTATGTGCGTACTGATTGTGGTTTTGTTGCTTACTTGCGTTACGTGTTTCTTTCATCTAAGAGCAGCTGCAACGCGGAATAAACCCGAATCCTTAGCGGTGAGACCTAGGCAAAATCGAATAAAAAAATAATATGTTAATTTGGTAAGCTAAGGATTAATCCTTATACAAGGAGTTTAAGAGGTCGATCCTTGCTGACGTGGCGAGTGTGATTGGGCCTGCTTTGGGAAAAAAAAATTTCATTCTCGCGTGAAAAATAAAATAAAACTTCTCTCGAGACAAGGCGATACGAAAGGCGACGGTCGTTGTTGAAGGTAAATCGAAGACTTTTACTTGATTTTTTGTGGATCTGGAGTTGATGCATGTTGATTTCAATAGTTTGTATCTCTCTCTCTCTCGCTATTTCATTATCTGTAGTTTGTGAATAGTAAAATCATTCGAGGTCGATTGAATACGGAGCAGTTTTGCATGTGTGTTGATCAGATTACTGTATTGTTTATTTTCTGATGTATATTTTGGTTTCTGCATCTGATTGTGACAGTACGATTGAAGAGATTCGCGGTGGTGAGGAGGTAAAGCGAATGATGGATGATAATAGAGGAGGCTCGTTCGTGGCCGTGAGGCGGATTTCACAAGGTCTTGAACGAGGAAACGCTTACCATTCTTCTTCCTCTGGTATGTTGTTAGTATTGTGTGTGGATTTTATTTGTAAGTGGTATTAAGTATCGAGCAGATGCCCGTCCTTCCTTTGATCTAACACCTGCTCAGGTTAACATTTTTTCACTCAACTCTGTTTTATTAGTATTGTGTGTTGTTGATTCTGTGATTTGATTTTTTACTCAACTCTGTTTTCTTTTGTGTTGTGTGTTGACTCTGTGTATTAAGGTTTGATTTTTTCACTCAACTCTGCAAAAATCTCAAAACAGTTGCAAACAAATAATTAACGTTTCAGTTTATAAGCTTTCTCTGCTCAGAAACTTGATAACCTTTATTCACTTATATATCAGTGTTGTTTGTTTTGTAGTTTACTATGGATCATGAAAGTATGGTACCGCGTCAGCTAGTTAAAGGTTTTATTCTCTTTATAATTGGTAGGGCACACAAGTTGAAAGTGTAGATGGTCCAAAGCATGTTAATGGCCAAAAGGCTCAACGGAAGCTAAAGCAGGAGAAACTCTCAGGTGGTAAGAATGGTCCATCTGTTCTTATCAAAAAGAAGAAAGAGATTAAAGGTGGAGATGCTAAAGTGGCATCAGCACCAAATGGCTCTGTTAATGGACAAGCAACAAAGTCTCTAAAGAGCACATCTTTCCACGGTAGAGTTTCTAAGGTCATTGAGGTAATCATATAGAAAAGCTGATGCTGAAAGATTATGTGTTACAAAAAGAAAGAAAAAAAGATTAGGATATGAGATAATCAAACACCAAAGAGAATAGAATATAGGCATCACCTTTGTCTCAGTACATAACTGTGTGTGTGTGAATCTAATGTTCATTGCAGGGAAACTTTGACAACAATGCAGTGGCGACAGCAAACATTCTGGACACAAACAGCCGATGGAGATGAAGGTGGTAAGCATCAGCTGATCACAGCAACCGTGAATGGAGGGAAGCTTTATATCTGCAAAGCACAAGCTGGAGACGAGAGGTGGTTCAAGGGAGCCAATAAATTTGTCGAGAAAGCAGCCACTTCTTTCAGTGTTGCTTAAATAAAAGCAACTATGCTCTGCTTGCTTATCTTCATTTGTCTCTTGTAGAAAATGGAACATGAAACTTAGCTTTTGAGGACTATGAAGATTATGTTTCTAAGATTCAATTCAAAAAAAAAAACTTCTAAGAATTCCCTAATAGATAACACCATTGGACATATAACTATGGGTAGAATCCTTAACTATTTAAAAAAAAAAAAAAACATTAATCTATTGTTAAGGATTCCAATGGTGGGTAACTTTGTTCTTTTTTATACTTACATACTTTGTTAACATTAATCAACTTACATACTTTGTTCTTTTTTATACTTACATACTTTGTTAACGTTGAATGGTTCCATAAATCTAATTTTCGAAACAGTTTTGAGAATTAACAAGTAAATTGGAACCTATTACTCTCCGATTGTTAATATTTTTACTCAAATCTATCAACTAGACTAACCAACCTTTAGTCTCGGCCTAAGGTTTGACCTGGTATACCCTCAAATAACAATCATGCAATTAGAACACTCTATATACGAGCGATGATATTAAAACACATCCCATTTTTATATGATTCGATGGAACAGAATAGATAAACAATAAATGTAAAAACACGCAAAAAAAATTCAAGACTGGACTATTTTGATGAATCCCTTTTCTTCCTAAAAACGACCTCCGTATCCAACCCAAGGCCGTCAACATTTCGTACGTGAACCACATCCGATCGTCTAAACAGCCTCACCAAGGCCTCCACACTGTACAAGTCGTTCGCAGAATATTTATCCGAACGTGTAGAGAGAGCCACATGTAATACACAAACACCTCCTGGTCTCAGGGTCCGTTCAATCTCTCCAACGAACTTCTCCGGGTAAAGCGCATGATCAAACACGTTAGAGAACTCGAAATCAAAAGTCTCATCATCGAACGGCTGGTGATGAAAGTCTCCTTGAACAACCAACGGTGGATACGGAACAAGATCCATCCCGACCGAATCGTTCACTCCCACACGTTTCAGCGCCACCACTTCTTGTCCGACTCTAGCTCCGATGCATAGACATTTAGAACCGTTGGATAAGAGGTTTTGACGCTTGAGATCTTGGAAGAATCTTGAGAATACTTTGATCTTACGGTCCCAGTCACGTGTCATCCATATCGTACGTAGCCTAGGGTTAAGCGTCTTGTTGAGCTGACGTTGGATGTAGTAATCGTAAGACGTGTAACCGGGTCGGATCTTGATGAGATCTTTTTGGGCGTTGAAGGAAGGTTTGTGTTGTTGTGTAGAGAAGAAGACAAGGATAGGGAGAGTGACCAAAATAAAGACGGAAACATATTTCAGAACCGTCTTTGATTGCTGCATTGTATCTTTTTTTTGTTCAAACGCAAACCTCTGAATCTCTCTCTTTCTACAGCATCGAAATTGGAAATGAAGTAATGAATAATGTATAGTAGAAGGCAAATCGAGGATATGACAGCTAATGAATTTACGACATGTGTTTATTGGTAATGATTGGTTATTTAAAGATGGAGTATTAGTTAAGAGAATAAATGGATAATGAGAATGTTGAGTGAATCAGAACGTGCGTGTTAATGCAGCTTTTAGTCTCAGCCGTCGATTTGCTTAAGAAGCATGCATCTCTGAATGTGATTATTATTTACGATTTCGTCATTTTTCTTTATTGAACGAGCTAACTCCTCTTCTGTAATTGTGCTGATATATTATCCTTTTCAATTAAAAAAAAATAATCCCTACGTATTAATATACACGAAACTTAGCCAAATTACAAAGAAAAAATATACACGAAACTTTTGGGGGAAAAAATCCATACAAAATGATAGGATCTTATGTAAAACATGTTTGCCCTTGCAATTGCTAATGTAAATTCTTACCTTGTCATACTAGTCATTTATCATCTTGAAGCTTCATTTTCAAATCATTATTACAACACGATATAGCTTCATTTTCAATTATATTTCCGTTTTCGGGTTGTTTTAATAAATTTCCTTAAAAGAAAAAAATAATAAAATAAAATAAAATGTAGTTTTTCAAGTTGCCTTCTAATCTAATCATAAGTCAAAGAAATCAGTCGATGTTTGGGCCTGAAATTATGCATTTTAAAACCAGCCTTGATCAAGGATGGATTTGTCTTTTCCACCTAATCCAGCCCATCGCTACATCCCTAATTAATCAGCCTAAAACGATTCACTGACTCGCCGAAAAAGCACCTTATGTTATCTTGGTAAAACAACAATCATATCCATAGAGTGAACTCTCCTTTTTTTTTTGTGGCCTCTCCTTTTCTTGCAACTAATTGTCACTCCATGCCGTTCCACTATGCTGGAGTGGGAAAATAAAGATGATTCCACTTAGACTGGGACGTAAATTGTGTGCGTGTTTTTTTGTAACAACTCCATCAGTAGTGACCATGGGCATAAGCATTAGAAGCATCTGATTCCGGCCCTCGATAATATAATCAATATTTCAACCTATTTCTAAAATATGCAAGTAGAGAAAATGGTCAAATTAGCTATTAACTTACCTTAAGGTGACATGTTCAACATCACCTAGCAGCCTTTTTTTTTGTTGAGCTTCCGGCCTTTGTTTTTGTAGGGCCGGGCCTGAACTCCATGTAAGTCTGTAGAGAAACGGATCATAGCGTCACGATCATCCACAGCTAATATGCCTTTCACACCCATTCATTTGATCATGTACCTCATTCCGTGTCATGGGCTCCACACAGAATGTGCGTTAATTTTTTGGAACAGTCAAAAATCTTGTTTACTAACTATACAATCATGACAACATTTCAACATTTCTCCGTGCTTGGACATCATTCAAACGATACTGTAAATTATTTTTCAGTAGATCATCCATCATTCCACTACTCCGGATAAATACATATGTTACCAAATTGACCTCTCTAAAAGAAATAGTGGTTAATTAAAATCAAACACACAAGATTAGTTCCAGCTATTTGTAGATAAATAAACTGAGCCAAGAGGTTATACAAGTTCAAGTTGCACTGAAGAATACTAGACTGACTTTTTAAAACTTAAATCTGTCTAGACAGCTGAAAGACATGCTTAAAATTGTTTTGTAAAGTTATTTTATATACAACTATTTGTTTAAAAATTTGCGGAAAAGCTGTCGTACGTAATTTTTCTATAATTCTATTAATTACAACAATGTCGTACAAACTAATGTAAACTATTTCCCAAGATAGTTGGGTAATTAGTCGGTACCACATTACGTATGATTGATACCTTGAACAACGGACGACGACCCCACCGAACTTCTAAAGTCGACTAAGTCTACTATCATTACTTTGAACATTCCTTAACCACAAACAGTTGGATTTCGAACCTCGTCGTACATTTTGGTGAACATGTACTAGCTTGTTGTCATCGAATTATTCGATCTTTATAAATGTATATTTTGTGACATTACCTCGACCCACGTTTTGATCATATTCAAATATAATGTGCTTAAAAAGAAAGCATAGTGTGTATTTTTAAGATTAAATTTCACTGAAAAAAAAATTCATTGAAAAGCGTTTACATCCGGAGCCCTAATAAATCATAACTCTGAACTATTTATATTGAGAAACCACATTTATGATTTCTTTCCGTCTTCGTCGATGTTATAGAACAATTAGAAATATCAGGGTTATCAAATGTTTTCTTTAAAATATAGGGACTATAGATGTAGAAACAATACTTGCCATGCACGTATAAATAAGCCCATGAAAAGCAGATTTTCGTCTCTTGGCGACCAAAGAAACAAGCATGGCTCAGGCTGCTTTTATTTGCCTTCTCCTCAGTTTTTCCATCATAATCCTTTCTAATGCAGCTGGTTAGTTATCCAACTTGAGGTTTTAAGTAACTCAAAATATTTAATTTTTTATGTAAATGGTTATGTTAGACTTAATTTTAGTTTGATGCGGCTTGGTTTCAGATATAAACATCGACTGTGGATCATCAAGCTCGCACACCGATACGGACAACAGAACGTGGGTAGGAGACACGGACTTTGTAACAACAGGTTTAACGTCAACATTTAAACCCCTAGTCACAACCGCTGAATCTCTAACAACGCTCCGGTATTTTCCTACGGGGGAGACCAACTGTTTTTCCAACATTCCGGTCGATAAAGGTGGGAAAGTGTTGGTTCGGACGAGATTCAACTATGGGAACTACGATGGAGAGAACAAGGCTCCCAAGTTCGATGTCGTGTATGACGGGAAACATCGAGATTCGGTCGTCACGGTGACATCGATCAGCGGTACACGATCCGAGGCGATATTTATTCCTGAGAGCGGGAATACTAGTGTATGCTTTTTTCGTATGTTCTTGGATGAAAACCCTTTTGTGTCAACCATTGAAGTACGGAGGTTGGATGACTCTATGTACACCGATCTTGGCCCAAAGGAAGGTTTCATTCTCCAGCAACGAACCGCCTATGGTAGGGTACAGGATTTAGTAAGGTAAGAGATAATCTTATTTTATGTAAATTAGGCGATTAACAATTTGCTTAATATGCATATTTAAATACATCTTAAGGAAAATCTTCATTTAAATCCGAACATGTCTGATTGTTCTTGTTACAACGAACCCGGAATGTTTTTGATAACTTCTAGCAGATCCAAAGTCAAAGAAAGCAGTTAAATCGGTTAAATAAACATAATACCGATCATTTACTCATTTAATTTGTTTTATCTTTTTATCAACATGGTTTCAATTTTTTTTTTCATTTTCTTATTAACTGATCTTTTGTTTATATATTTTGTTTTTTCATCTAGTATTTTTATTAGCCGATCTTTTTGTTTTTTTTTTTCACCAAGAAAGTTTCAATTAAATGATTTTTTTTGCTTAAATCTGGCGGTTTCAATTTTATGTTATGGTTTCAATTAAATGTTATGGATTTAACTCAAAAGAGAAAAGGATAAACATTTTTGCACTAAACGTGACAAAATATCGATTTTCCTGTTAATTCCGAGACTTACATTTTTACAGGTCCCCCTTTGATCCTTACGATAGAATTTGGGCACCAACACCACTTTCGACTGTAACTCTAACAAGTGCTGCCACTTCTATCAACACTTCAGGGGCTGATAATCGACCACCTGAGATTGTCCTACGGACCGCTTGGTCGCGGAAGGATATGGCTTTCTATGATATAAAGCTACCTTTTTCCGGAGTAACATTTTACATTGCCCTTTACTTCTCAGAACCACTAACCCTTGCTTCCGACCAAAAGCGGTCTTTCTTCGTTAACTACGATAACAAACAAGTGGGTCCAAGTCTAATTGTGCCACCTTTCGGGGCAGTGACTCAAGCTTCTCTGAGGGCTGTCGTGACGACAAGCCTTCCCTATCTAACATTTAAAGCTACACCAGACTCGAGTTTGAACCCACTCATCAACGCTCTCGAGCTCTATGTCATTAGCAATAGTGCTAGAAACGGGACGAATTCAACGAGCACTGGTGGTAGTGGCGGTAGTCCTAGCACTGGTGGTGGTGGCGGAAGTCCTAGCACTGGCGGTGGTGGTGGCAGTCCTAGCACTGGCGGTGGTGGTGACAGTCCTAGCACTGGCGGTAGTGGTGGGAGCTCAGGCTCCGGTGGTGGTGGAGGCAACTCAGGCTCCGGCGGTGGTGGAGGCAAATCCGGTACTTATTCTTTTCATAACCTCATATATATGCTATACTATTAAGGGAAATGTAACAATTATTAATTGATTACAATTATCTAAATAGTTCATTTAAAAAATGAGATAGTCACGTAAATAAAAAAAATTAATATGGACGGGAAAAACAATTATCACGTAGATAAATATATTAACTGAAATAGTTAATGGTTTTTTTTTAACTTATATAATTAATGGTTTTCATCACATGAGAATGAGATCATTGCTGGTTCAAGTCTAATTTGTGATAATGTGTATGAGGATTCTTCAGGGGAGAAAAGCGGCAATATAGTTTTGTCTCTTAGTATTTCAATTCCTTCCATAGCTATTTTTGGAACTGGTGGTGGTTGGTTCGCCTGGAAATATTTCTTCAAAGCCAAGCGCAAGCCCGAATCAGAAAGTATATATCAACCTCTATTCGTTATAACTAGCAACTACAAAACTCGATATATACAATTTATTTGAATTACATACACTGGTATAATTTTTATTGACATAAATCGACGTGCGTGATGTTTTTTTGCAGAGCCACTTACCACCACCATCACTCATCATCATTATGGGAATGAACAAACGGTCATCACAGGGAAGACAGAAACCGTAACACAAATACATAATGCAAAGTGATGACGTCTACTTCAATCATCACCGTCCGATCATATGTTATTATTCTTTCTCTTTGTTTTTTTTTGGAACACA